TAAACAGCAGCGTGTTTATGAAAAAGTTACCTATTTCAGAGATATTCATTCTTACAATATAAGAAATTATGGTAATTTTATGTTGAGAGAATGTCATTTTAGTCATGTATAAAACTCTATATTACATAAAGGCCTAAACCATTTTAACAATTTACCGCATGATATTAAAAGCTGCTATACTCTTGATAAATTTGAAAGACTTTTATGACGCCATGTACGGGGGGGTACCCATAAAAACCGGAATTGAATTGCCGCGCGCAGAGCTTGTACAGTACACCTTTCTGCCGCTGGGTTGTGGATAGTACAACTTATCGCGAGTTCAACGCCACCTTCGTTTTAAATTTAACTTGTTTTGTTCACTTGCAGTGCCATTTTTTGTTAACGTGTTTTTTTTTGTTATTTCGTTTTTTTCGATGGCAAGTTTAAAAGAACAGCGTGCAGCTGTGAAATTTTGTTTTCTGCTCGGTTAAAGTGCTGCTGAAACTGTTCCAATGTTATGGGAAAAACTCAAGTGTACCAGTGGTTTGTTCGCTTCAAAAATGGCGACGAGTCAATTGATGACCGACCTCGTTCTGGACGTCCACCAACTGCTCGAATCGACGAAAATATTGAAAAGATTCGAGAGTTTGTGCTCACGGACCGTCGACAGACAATTGAACAATTATCAAAGATTAGTGGGTTGTCTGGGAGCACGGTTCAGCGAATTTTAACCGAAGATTCGGGAATGAAAAGAGTTGCTGCCAAGTTTGTTCCTCGTGTTCTGACTGACATGCATCCAGATTTTCTGGTGACCAGTCATGGTCCTATGGTTACGATCCAGAAAACGAAGCAACAGTCCAGCCAATGGAAGACGTCACTGTCTCCCGTCCAAAAAAATGTCGTCAGGTCAAGTCCAACATCAAAACGATGCTGATTTGCTTTTTCGACATCAACGGCGTAGTTTGATTGACTTGATTAACGGTCTCACCTGGTGAGCTTTTTATCTGGAAGTTTTAAGAAGATTGCGCAACAGTATTCGATTTGTGGCGGATAGGGGACTGGTTCTTTCACCACGATAATGCACCTGCACACACAGCCATTTCTGTAAAGCAGTTTTTGCCTAAAAATGGCATGGTTCCTCTGCCCCGTGCACTTTACTCGCCTGATCTCGCTCCGTGTGACTCCTTCTTATTTCCACGTATGAAAAGGGACATGAAAGGACAGCGATTTGACAACATAGAAGAGGTCAAGAAAAAAACGAGAGATGACGTGTCGGCTATAGCCAAAGATGAATATAAAAAATGTTTCGAACAGTGGAAGCACCGCTGGGACAGTTGTATTAGTTGTAATGGAGAGTATTTTGAAGGGGATAATGTCATTCTGTGATTCCGGTTTTTTTTGGATACCTCCTCGTATTGTCCGAATTCTGATCTGAATTTTATATTTAGAATTTATGTTTTGTATTTTTAATGTAGCATAATGCTAACTAAAAATTGTATTATTATTGTAACTATAAACAATATAGTGCAACACACTAAGTACGCGAGTTTTGCAAGAACATTTCTGTCGCGAATAGATAGTCGATCAAAGGAGTGGAACTAGTTGAAAATACAGCATTAGATGAAAACATTTAAATGGCTGGAAGAAAAGAAAATAGCACATGGCAGTTTTACATTAAAACAACAGATCCAAATAAATCTTGATGTAGATCGATTTGTAAAATCCGCAAGAAAGAAATTCACTTTTCACAACAATTCACAACTTTTTTCTTTTTTATTTAACTTTCTGTGTCGTAAAAGGTAGAAGTGTGGTATTCACAAAAACGTTTTGAAAAGAATTAAGGCATTTGTTATTTAAAAAATAGTCTCTTCTGTCCAAAATTTGAATTCATTCATTTTTCATTTATATTATTTTCTTCTTCTTCTTATTTTTCTGTGTTTTTATTTTTCTTATACATAAAAAAGTACTTTGTATTCATATCATATAATTTATTTATCTCAGGAAGGAATGTACACGACTTTCAATGTATTTACAAAAAAAAGTTAACAAAATAAATTTAATAAAATCCAATAATCATATTTTGAATGTTTTTATTTTCTTTTTAGGCACTTTAATGTCGCTTGACTGTTCTGTCATAACAAGGAAAAAGAAAAAAAATGAAAATCAGCCTTGAGTAGTTTCGTAATGCTGAAACAGCAACAGCTGAAAAATGAAAAGATTGACAAACAAATAGCAAAAAAAGCTATTCATTTCTTAAGACTTGGTTGTACTCCGCCATTTAGAAAAACGTTGTCAACAAGCCTTTTAGATGACATCTATGAGGGGGAAAAGGCAAAATGTTTTTCTTCTCTATCAAAACAACGTGTGAATATGTTCATCGACGAGTGGTCAAACGTCCACAAAGAGCCAGTTCTATGGGCAACAATAACAACTGAAGATGGAAGAGTTCTTCTTTACGAAAAAATTGTTACTTCGGGAAAGCCTCACAATATTTCACTGAAGTAGTTGCTCAGTTGCTCTTGATACTTTGCAGAGAAAAAACGCTATTATCTCAAATGCTGAAGGGCAGTGGAAACATTTACAATATACATCTTCGAGAATATCGTAGAATTAGCTTTATCAAAAATATAAAAAAATCAGGATCGATATAAGCAGGCACTCACGCCATATCATTTTATGGCGTATATGTTACACCCTCAAAAGCAAATTTATGAGTTAACACCCGAAGAAAAGAATCTGGCTTTAGAAACACTTAAAAATTTGTAACAAAGATGAATGCCCGGAGTTGCCCACTCAAAAAAAATATATTTTCGAATGAAATAATAAAAAACGTAAATGGAATACAGTGGTGGACATGACAAAAGGATGAGCCAGAAATTGCGAAACAGCCACCAATAATAAAACAGTTCCAGTGTCAGCAGAACAAACTTTCAGCACTTTTGGTTTTGTACACTCAGATATAAGGAACAGGATGGGGATAGAAAAAGGAGGAAAATTAGTATTTGGGTTCAAACGAAAATGCAGAAGCATAAGGTGTATGTTATTATGTTATTTGTCTTATTTTTTTAAAGATTTATGTTTTCCTTTTTGTATGTGATAATATTTTTACCTTGTGGTTTTGGTGTCAATGAAAAAGATTTAAAAAAATAGGAGTTTCAATTTGATTTGATGAATCATAATTTTAATCGTAACCCTGGTGCTACATGTTAAATTTTAGTATCACACTAAAAAAAGAAAAATTTTTTGAGAATAAAGCAATTTTTCATTTGTTCTGCAAAAATTACTAAATCTTACGGTTTTTTATCGTTTGACTCTAAGTTATGGTAAGAAACATGTGTGTGAAGGTTTATGATAAATGGAAAATTCTAATGTGTTTTGCGTTTTCGTAATAGTTAAGTCCAAAGAATTAATAGAGTTATCCTGTTCAATCTCAATTTTATACGATTATGTAATGAGTTAATGTAATTTAAAAAAGAATTCAATTGTCTGTCCGTTCCAACAAAGCAAGCAAAGACATCATCCACTTATCTATACCACCGTACTTATAGAATGTTCTAGTATGATATTTTTCAAATTATCCATAAAAATTTCGGCTAACAAATTACTAAGTGGGTTTCCCATAATCAAACCTTCCTTAGAGATGTAAACCTGTCCATTAAATTCAAAATAATTTTGGTCTAAAGATACTATTAAGCAATCTACTAAATCTATCATATCCATAGGTGAAATACTGGGAAATAAGTTTTGTACATCAAAAGACAATAGTGTTTTGTTGATTAATTCAAAAGAAATTGTTATTGCAAATTTTAGTTTAAAAACTGAGTGAATTTTAAAATATTTACTAATTTTGTTGAGAGTTTTCCTGATGGAGCTGTTACATAAGACATGAAATTTAACTAAAGAATGTAATTTCGGCGGTTGTGGATCATAATTGTTAAAAAATATTTGTCTTTGTCACTAAATAGTGTGGACTTAGTAATTACTTCCTTGACTTGTCTTTGATATAACTCGGTAGTCACACTCATACATAACAGCTCAAATCACCCTTATACACACAAAATGGCTGCATTTCACTCTTTAATACACAGACTTCTTAATACGCCACTCTCAACAGAAAATTACAACAAAGAACTTAATATCATTAAACAAGTTGCACTGAGCAACGGCTACAATCCGTTCATTATAAATAAAAAAAATCCAGACAACAGTAAACTCTATTTATCTGAAACCTAATACAGAAAATGAACAATTTAAAAAAATTGCAAACATAGGAGAACCCAGTGAAAAAGTTTCAAAACATTTGTCAAAATGTAGTTTAAAAATAGCTTTCAGAACTAACAACACAATAGAAATTTTTTTAAAAAACAATAAAACGCAATGTCGAAAATCTCAAAAATCAGGTGTCTGCAGGTTGAAATGCGGATCTTGTCCTAAAATTTATATTGGACCAACAGGTAGAAAACCCATTAACTAACATAAAAGAGCATTTAGAAACAATAGTCTAGATTCTAATTATGCTACACACTTAAACACAGAAAAACACATGTTTGTTGACAACTTTGATATTTTACATGCAGCCACAAGAAGTAGAAAATAAAATTTCTTGGAAGTCATGGAGATTAACAAAATGGGACATTCAAATGTATTGCTTAACGTTCAATTAGATTTAAATACCTCTCCATTATTAAACTTAAATTCTCACATTAATTAAGGTTTTATGGTAATTTTTCGGTATATATAGTAGCAGGTAGTTTGTAAATATTACATTTGATAAAGACACGGTCTTGTCGAAACAATTGTCATGTGAAAATGTATAATTTCGTGAAAATCTGAACTTTTAGTTCTTATTTATTGAATAAATAAATAATTTTTGACTAAACTTAAAAGTCACCTTCTTACTTTTTGAACACTCCTCGTTTCTAGTAGCTATATGGATGGTATACAGCAACAATAGGAATGCAGACATCTTTTAGTAAACAGCCAGACCTACCGCAAACCAAACGCAAGTCCGAAAAAACTATTTATTTCGAAGTATTCGGTTGTTTTTCGAGTTTTTCGTCGAGTTTATCGTCTTCCGGCTCGCTAGTGTATCGAGGCCCTTCGGTTTTGATCGGCTCCTCTTCGTCCGTGCTGCTTTTTCTACGCCCCCGCGGTTTTGCCTGCATTTCCAGCTGTTCTTTGGTTATCAGATTGGGCGGGACCAGAGTTTTACTGTCCACGGATAATCTGCGTTCGTCGTCCGATTCCTGCTTTGAGAGACGACCAAAAAGAAAACTTCGTATGTATTCATGTCGTAATCATCTTTGAGGTACAGGGTGGTAAAGTTTTCAAAAATAAAATATTTTTTTCTTAATACAGTCGAAACTCTCTCTCTCTCTCTCTCTCTCTCTCTCTCTCTCTCTATATATATATATATATATATATATATATATATATATATATATATATATATATATATATATATATATATATATATATATATATATATATATATATATATATATATATATATATGTATATATATATATATATATATATATGTATATATATATATATATATATATATATATATATATATATATATATATATATATATATATATATATATATATATATATATATATATATATATATATATATATATATATATATATATATATATATATATATATATATATATATATATATATATATTGAAGGGACTGCTTTTTTTTTCGTTATAGAGTTATAGGCACATGAAAAATAACAATACGCACATGTGTTCTGTAATATTTAATTATTTTATTTATATACATATTTTAACATCTACTTGGGAACATTTTATTCATTCATTCATTTTCTTTTGAATCTTTTCACTATGCCAATATGTATCTCGTACTTTGGGTTGTATTTTCACCATTTCTTCGGGAGAAACATCTTCCCCATGATACATAAAAATATCTCTAGCAGCTTAACTGAATATAGGGCTTGTTGGTGGTGGTCCCAGATCAATTTCTTCATCTTCTTCTTCCTCTTGGTGCTCTTCCTCACCCTTTCTTGCTTGTTGTAATATGGCTTCCTCTGTCAAGTCTGCTGTTGTAGGCAAATCCTGATCTATCTTCTTGCAACTCCTCACTTGTAAACGTAATTGTTAATGGCTGATAATCTTCCAAATCCTGTTCGCATTCTGTATGGGCAATAAGTCCTGCATGACGTTAGGAGTGTTGAATTGTTTCTGCTGTCTTTTAAAGCTTTACTAATAAAGTTCACTGCATCTAGCATATTAATGGAAAATTTGTCTTCGAACTCGATCATTTCCACTAAAAACTTGTTATTTTGGCCACAAAAAATGCCTATTCAGGATTCCGTAGACTTGGAATATGGGGATATGCAGGGCAGTTATTTAAGAGAAGTACTATTTAATTTTACCTTTAATTCTCCTCTTTAAAAATTTGCGATGTCATCCATGCAGACTTGTTTGCCTTGTAAATGACCGGCAAATGCTTGATATTCTTAAAACATCGTAGGTTAGTTGATTTTCCAATCACGACTAGCTTTCTTTTTTCTGTCCCACTCATATTGGCAGCCACTAACACTGTTATAGTTCTTTAGAAAGTTTTCCACCCACACACTTTTCTCTTCGAAATTTAAGAGTTTTATCTGGCGTAATTTTGTAAAAAATACCAGTTTCGTCAGCGTTAGAAATGTCGTCAGCAGGGTACTTTTCTGCTAGTTTTGGCCACGTCTTCTCCAGCCACGGGCTTCGCCACTTGTCTGTCCATAATTTATACCATGTTTCTGTTTGAACTTCCCCAACTATCCTTCCGAAGCCTTGAAATAGATAATGCCAAGCTGTTCAGCAAACTTTTCTGCTTTTATTTTTAACATAGGTCCAGAGAGTGGCACATGTTTAAGACGTTGCTGTTGGAACCACTGCAACATTGCTCGATTCAAATCTTCAAATTTTGGCTTTCTTAGTTTTTTACTAGAACTGCCTGCCGCTTCATAAGTCGTATAGAGAGTTAGAAATTCGTTGTACACAGTGGATTAATACATAGCTTTGTATGGAGACCTAATAGTACAACACATTGTGTTCGTAATGCAGAGTTTTGTTATAGGGAGTTTTCTCTTTATTCACAATTTTTTAAAAATACACCTCGGGCGGGCGCAGGGAAGGTGAGGCAAGGCGGCCTACTTGAACTTTTTATTATTTTTTGTGGCTTTTTACTTTAATTAAATTTAAAAAGTAATTAATAAATAAAAAAAACCTTACTGATTAATAACTATTTTTCTATCGATTAAAAAATTTGTTATTGGTATTTATAAGATTTTCGAAAGCTCTGGGTTTAGGCTAAATCCATAAAATTATCCAAAAAATAACACTTTCAATTAATTAATTATGATTTGGTTATAATAATATGGAATAGCTTTTTTAATTTTTTTTGTAGCAAGTCGATTTCTTTTTGACCAACTTTAACTAAATTTACCCAAATTTTGGCGACGCTTCTGATCGTCTTGCCCCACTGTCTCCAATTTATAGTGTTATATATAATAATTATAATTATTTATTAAAAAGTATATAATGAAAAAAAAATTTAGAATTTTTTAAGCTGTCCATTTTAAAGGTGGTATTACGCAAACTGCTAAAAATGAACAAATAACCAGAATTTATAATCATTAGAAGAAAAAACGAAAAAAAAAATTGGTTAATTTTTGAGGTTGTCCTTGCCCCAGGGGGATCGCCTTCCCCCACACACCCCTACGGAATTTTAACTGTCTATGTTGGCAGAAATTAATGGTACGCCACTAATTTCTCTTAATATACAAATTATTCTTAGAATCTCCAATCATTACTAAACAAATTTAATTTCTTCATTTTTTCCAATCCAATGCACGGTTTTTGCTTAAAAAAAAATAAAAACCTCTTCTCTGCATGGTCATAACAATATCGTTAATATGACAGCATCCATGCAATTATTTTTATTGTTATTTGTTACTTAAGTAATTGTCTATCTATAAAAGAGTTGAAGGATCATATAAGAGCTTCTAAAAAATATACTTTTTTTCCGAAAGTTGTTTGGGTAAAAAGTCCCAAAATTTTTTTATTCTTCTACAAAAATGCAGATTCTGGAGAGAATTGTAGGTGAATGATATGACGAATAATGTTTTTTTGTTCTAAAATATGACACCTGGACTAAGTAGTATACCAAACCAAAGAATATTAAACGCGGGCCACAATTTTACCTGAATTTAAATTCCGAAACTTTAGGTAATAATCTTGCTGCATTGAAGTTTAGGGTGTTGTATTGTAAGAGTCCTTAATTTTTATAAGGTGTGGTATCAAATTTATAACACTGTGACTTAAAGTAGGAGTAACATTTTCTGCTCTGACCTTTGATTTTATGGATATGGAGGACGACGTAAAACAGCATGCTCAGCCTCTTCAGCCAAATTATCGCATACATACTGTTTTTTAATTGAAACTGAATTCAAAATAAATATCATTTTCGAACACAAATTACTGTGTTTTAATTGTCGAACTTGATAAAGCTGGTGCTTCGTTTAGCAGACAATTGTTGCAGCTTGCAACAATAAGACTGTTATTGCGAAAATTTTTTCAAAGATTAATTTTAAACCAATTTTTCAAAAGTTCAGCACTTGTATTGTCAATCAGGAATCCTTAATATTCTTTACAAACAGCACGCAGTTTGGAACAAATCCGTCTTCTGACGCAGCGAGTATTATGGTGACGCGTTTTCCTTTATTCAACCCATCCTTTGGATACAGTGTCGAATGTTTCGTCAAGGTAAATTATGGGTCTGTTGCCTAATCTAAATTTTTTAATTTCTTGAACAACTCGGTGGAGGGTGGCATGCCTTTAATTGATTTAATTGAAGATCTTATGATTCAAATTCTTGTCATGTACTTTTATCTATCGCGAACAAGATCTATGGTCTTAAAAGGACTGTTGTTAATCGACAGGCGCACAAGACAAAAATGATTATTTTCAAATATAAGATAAATAGAGTACCTTACCATTACTCTCCTAATTAAAGCAGAATAAAAATCTGTTGGGATGGGTTTTACCAGGGTCTTGCAAAAGGTCCGTGGTTAAGGTACCGTACAATACTAAAAACGTCAAAGCAATAAATGCACTATATTTTTGGTCGTATTATAACAAGATCGTTAAAATTTTATTGCTGAGGGTCAGTCGAAAACCAACACGATAAAGATTGAGACAGACTATACATACTATATACGCAACATTACTTTTCACCGACATTTGCTTTATTTACTATTATACAAAGGCATCTTCGCTACCAGCCTCGCTTTTGAAAAAAATCCCATATTCCTATATGCATGTTTATTGCAGTGCGTATAAACAAACGTGCAAAAAATTAGAACGCGTTCTATATTTTCTTTTATCTTTTTCGATACCATATCAATGTCAATATGAAAAATCTTATCGCGTTAGAGTGACTAAAAATTTAATTTTCGAAGGATTTTAAAAATTTCAAAACGTGTCAATTTGTGGAATATTGAAAAAAACGCACGAAAGTCTGCTTTAAAAATATTTTTATTTACAGTGTCACCTGTTGCTCTATGGCGGATAAAAATCTCTCAGTTCATCCCTTCCGATTTTTGCAATAACAATTATAAATTGACATTATAAATCATCGAGCTTATTTGGGCCGCCCTGTGATCTAGAAAACACTAGGAAACATTGTACGGGACGACTCAGCGATAGAGTAAAATTGGTTATATCACTGTTACGAGATATTAGTATAAATGCAAATGTTGTAAAGATTATTAGGACGCACAACTTAAAATTATTTTAAAGTCTACACGACGGCTCAAAAAAACATAACGAATAGAACATACGTTTTTTAAAATGACACACATAAATGTGACGTAAAATATATATGCAAATGAAAAATCTAGATATTCTTAAATGGCACACCATATATATTAATATTTTTTCTGAAAGATTTTACATAAACGTACAACTTTTATTAAGTATGTAATGCAGGGTGTTCGGAAAAATAAATCGTAATATTTTCCGAGTTTTTAATTTTTTTTTTATTTTATTTTTAACGGAATAAATTTAGACACAGCCCTGATTTCGAAAAATCATCGTTACAAAATAAAAGCGTTTCAGTGTCACTAGAGGGCACTTTACCTAGACCATTTTTTTTATTTTCCCTGTATTTTATTTATTTAGACTGATATTGCAAAACAGGCCCGATTGCCTTAAGCAGAATCAGAAATCCTCAAAAACTGTTACTCTTTTGTAAATGTCATTTTACCCAACGGGACTTAATGAAATTTGAAAAAGTCATTCTCGCAATCCGTTAAAAATTAGTTTCTATTAAAAGAGCTTATTATCCGAATGCTACTGTGCTGGCTCATCAGTAATATTCGAACATTGAATATCGCGATATGCATTTTTGCATAATGGGCAAATGTATTTGCAATTTCTTCAAGAGGAACTACCACTTTAGCTGGGAGAGGTACCCTTGCAGTGGAGAGAAACCATGGTTAATTTCAGAAACTTGTACAAGATATTGAAGTAAATGAATAACAGAATTACCAGTTTTATAAAACAAACAAAAAAAATGAATTATGAAATTTGTGGAAACAAAAATTGAATTCTATTTTAAATGAACCCGTTGAGAAATATTCAATTACGATACTCAATTGTGATTAAAGTAAAATTATAAAAGAAAGATTGGTGAATAATTGAAAACATTTCGAGATACAGTGAAAACTCTCTATAGCGAAACTCTGTATTACGAATGTCTCACTCTATATAAAGTGATGTGAGACTTCCGAGTTTATACCGTATATTGTATCCACGATTTGGAAGTGCAAAGAAAAAATCATTCAGGCTGAAGCGACAGGCAGTTCTAGTAAAAAATTAAGAAAGCCAAAATTTGAAAATTTGGATCGGGCAATGTTGCAGTGGTTCCAACGGCAACGTCTTAAAAATGTACCACTCTCTGGACCTATCGTAAAACTAAAAGCAGAAAAGTTTGCTGAACAGCTTGGCATTATCGATTTCAAGGCTTCGGAAGGATAGTTGGGGAAGTTCAAACAGAAACGTGGTATAAATTATGGACAGATAAGGCGAAGCCCGGGATGTCGACCGAGACGTCACTAACGGTTCACTGGAGAAGACGTGGCCGAAACTAGCAGAAAAGTACCCTGCTGACGAAATTGGTATTTTTTACAAAATGACGCCAGATAAAATGTCGAAGCGAAAAGTGTGTGGGTGGAAAACGTTCTAAACAACGTATAACAGTGTTTGTAGCTGCCAATATGAGTGGGAGAGAAAAAAAAATGCTAGTCGTAATTGGAAAATCAACTAACCCCCGATGTTTTAAGAACATCAAGCATTTGCCGGTCACTTACGAGGCAAACAAGTCTGCATGGATGACATCGCAAATTTTTGAAAAGGAGATGCGGAAATGGGATGCAGAATTAAAAGGGAGGAAAATGTTACTTCTCTTAGGTAACTGCCCTGCACATCCCCATATTCCAAATCTACGGAATATTGAACTGGCATTCCTTCCAGCCAAAACAAATGTATTACAGCCGATGGACCAGAGCGTAATAAAAGGTCTTAAGAGTCGATATAGGAAAAACCTTTTAATGGAAATGATCGAGTCCGAAGACAAATTTTCCATTAATATATTAGTAAACCTTGAAAAAAGGTGACAGCAGAAACAATTCAGCAGAATTCGAACGGGACTTGGAAGATGATCAGCCACTAACCATTTGCCTACAACAGCAGACTTGACAGAGGAAGCCATATTACAACAAGCAAGAAAGGGTGAGGAAGAGTATCAAGAGGAAGAAGAAGATGTAGAAATTGATCTGAGACCACCATCAACCATTCAACAAACATATTCAGTTAAGCTGCTGGAGAATTTTTTTATGTATCATGGAGAAGATGCTCCTCTCGAGGAAATGGTGAAAATACAAGCCAAAGTAGGAGATGCGTATTGGCATACTAAAAAAATTCAAAAGGAAATGACCGATTATTTGAAACATTAAATGTAGTTCTTACATATTTATATAATATGTTCCTAAGCTAAAATATGTATATAAAATAACTAAATATTACAGAACACATATGCGTATTGTTATTTTTCAAGTGCCTATAAGTCTTTATAACGAGAAAAAAAAGCAGTCCCTTCCTATAAAAATTATCAATGAAATTGACTTAATGATCTATCGGTGATAAGATATGATTATATGCGACTAAATCTAAAATGCAAAACTATATTAAGTGCTCATACTTGGTAAGTAGGGGTAACCAGCAACTAGTTTTCGCGTGTCAGATCCAAAAAAAAGATTTGTTACATCCATTTTTTTGCCAATTATACCTTGCTCATTAGATAACACCAATTAATAATTTCCTGTTATGGCCATGTGGAGGCATTTTTCAATGTTCAGTGTTAATTGGTTTGTCGCGAATTATTTTCAACTTTTTTTTCACAATACAACAAACTCACGGACAATGTCGAGGAGCAGAAAAAAGATATTACCAGTATACTAGACTTCCTCTCTTTGCTCGAGCTCGCCTGCTGCTCCTCATCGTAGATGAACCAGGGGTCGAGTTTGATGCCACTGATGCGAATCCGGGATTTCAGAGGGGCCAGAATTTTGTTAATCAACGATTTGCAATTGAGCGTCACCCGCGGCTCTTTTGGAAAACGTACCTTATTGGAGACTTGCTGAAACACATAGATTTAACGAACAAAACTATGTATATAAGAACTAACAATAAATAAGAACTAAGAGTTCAGATTTTCACGAAATTATATATTTTTACCTGACAATTGTTTCGACAACACCGTGTCTTTATTAAATGTAATATTTGCAAATTACCTGCTACTATATATACCGAAAAATAACAATAAAACCTCAATTAATGTTGTTGCGAGAATTTAAGTTCAGTAAAGGAGAGGTATTTAAATCTAATTGATCGTTAAGCAATACATTTGAATGTCTCATTTTGTTAATCTCCAGGGCTTCCAATAAATTTAATTTTCCACTTTTTGTGGCTATAAGTAAAATATCAAAATTGTCGTCAAAAATGTGTTTCTCTGTGTTTAAATGTGTAGCATAATTAGAATCTAGACTATTGTTTTTAAACGCTCTTTTATGTTCGTTAATGCGTTTCTTGAAGGATCTACCTGTTTATCCAATATAAGTTTTAGGACAAGATCCGCATTTCAACCTGTAGACACCTGATTTTTGAGATTTTGGATATTTTGTTTTATTGTTTTTTAAAAAATTTCCTATTGTGTTGTTAGTTCTAAAAGCTATTTTTAAACCACATTTTGACAAATGTTTTGAAACTTTTTCGCTAGGTTCTCCTATGTATGTTATTGTTTTAAATTGTTCGTATTCTATATTAGGTTTCGGATGCATAGAGTGTACTGTTGTTTGGATTTGTTTTTTATTTATAATTTTATCTATAACGGACGTTGTTGAGTGCAATTCGTTTAATGATATTAAGTTCTTTGTTGTAATTTTCTGTTGAGAGTGGCGTATTAAGAAGTCTGTGTATATAAGAGGGAAATGAAGTCATTTTGTATGTATAAGCTCTTATGACTGTCTGCGTGTGTGAAGGTTTATGGTAAATGGAAAAATCTAATTTGTTTTGCGTTTTCGTAATAGGTAAGTTTAAAAAATTAATAGAGTTATCCTGTTCAATCTCGATAATGACTTTTATACGATTACGTAATAAGTTAATATAAATTAAAAAATAATTCAATTGTCTGTCCGTTCCAACAAAGCAAGCAAAGAGATTATCCACGTATCTATACCACCATAGAAAACTTTTGCTTAAAGGATGTTCTAGTATATTTTCCAAATTATCCATAAAAATCTCGGCTAGCAAAGGACTAAGTGGGTTTCCCATAATCAAACCTTCCTTAGAAGCGTAAATATGTCCATAATTCAAAATAATTTTGGTCTAAAGATACTATTAAACAATCTAATAAATCTTGTTTCACCAATGGAATAACCTGTTTCAGAGCTAGGGTGAAATCTACTAAATCTATCACATCCATAAGTGGAATACTGGGAAATAAGTTTTGTCCATCAAAAGACAATAGTGTTGCGTTAGAAGGGATTTTGATATTTTTAATTTTGTTGATTAATTCAAAAGAATTTTTTATTGCAAATTTTGGTTTAAAATCTGTGTGGAAAAGACACGGTGGTGTCGAAACGATTGTCCTGTAAAAGTATATAATTTCGTGAAAATCCGAACTTGTAGTTCTTATTTATTTTGAGAAGGTTATCTCTTTGAACACTTTTGGTGATTAAATTATGTTTATTTTTAATATGGGTATCAAGATAGTATAGCACAAATTGTTAATGTAAACTAATTTGTTGTCTGCTTTTTTTTGTAAAAACTCGTATTTCATTTCATGGAAGTTTATGTTAATAAAGTAATTTCCGCTGTTAGATATCAATGAGTTGCAAGAAAAACATCACGAAAATGTAATAAGTTTTTTTTACATCACCTAAAAATGTAGTACTATGGTTAAATAAATATAACCAGTGACGATATATAGTGTTTTAAGAGTGATGAAAGGATTTAATTAATATCAACAACAAAGTCCGAATTTTAAAAAAATAAGTTGATGACGGTGGCCAGAAGCGGAAACATCAGATTTCATATTTAATAATATCTGCTGAATTATAGAGCAGAAAAGTGGCGATGAAAATGTGTTTTTTATATTTAGTTATCTTAACATCATAAAACATAATAACATAATAAAGAGAAGAAACAATAGAAATTTTGGGAAGTATTTGGAATTTTTGAAAATGCAAAACGAAATTATATTAAGTTTGAAATTGCGCAACTTTATCTCTTTTTAACCGACCCTGTATCTCTCACGATTTAGAAATTGCACCGGTCAACAAAAAAAAATTCTTTGGGTTTCTGTTCTAATTTGTAAATTCTGATTTTAGATATTGAAGAACATTGAAATTTCCATTTTTAGTTGATAAAGTTTGCTTTCGTCTGATCTACGTCGACAAGTATACTGTAATTTATTTTTTAAGCCAAAGATGGCGGCAGGGCTTTGATTGACCTGAAAATCAACTGTGTTATTATTTGTAAGTAGCTCCAAAATTAGTAGCAACTGGGCTATCTAGTAACAACTGTATTTTTGTATTACTCGGTTAGAAAATGGTATCAAGGCAGTGCAAATATGTTGTTGACTCATTTTGTTTTATTTGTGGTGAATTCATTCAAGTTAGAGTAAAAAATTTGCTTTTACAACAAAGAGAATTTTTTCCTAAGTTATCTAACGCTAAAGTCAAAGGGGGTATTTCGGTTGGATCACAAATGAAACAAAGAATGAAAAATAACTTCATCCAGCTTCTTTCTGTTTGTAAAAATCGAGCCTGGAAGAATTTTAAAGCAGTAGTTGATGGCTAGAGTTGACAATTATAAACAATTGATTGAAAACATTCTTCAAAGCTTTAAAACTATGTGCTGCTGAATGTCTCGTAAACTTTATATGGTACATTCTCATTTAGACGAGTTTAAAGATAACACGGGTGACTACTACTACAAGGAGAACGTTTTCACCAAAATGTGGTGGACTTTGAACGGCGTTATCAAGGGCATTACGACAAGAATATGATGGAAGATTACATTTGAGGTTTAATGCGATACAGGCCATACGAACATAAACGAAATACGAAATATATTTATTTTTAAACACTTATTTCTTTTTATTTTACATTTATATCCTAAATTTTGAATAAAAAAGACACTGGTATTTAAAAAAAATGTTTCTTACCATAACTTAGAGTAAAACGATAAAAAACCGTAAGAGTTAGTAATTTTTGCAGAACAAAAGAAAAGTTGCTTTAGTCTCAAAAAAAAAATATTTTCTTTTTTTTTAGTGTAAGAGAAACTGAAATTTAACATGTAGCACCAGGGTTACGATTAAAATTATGATTCATCAAATCAAATTGAAACTCCTATTTTTTAAATCTTTTTTATTGACACCAAAACCACAACGTAAAACACAAATCTTTAAAAAAATAAGACAAATAACATAATAACATACACCTTATGCTTCTGCATTTTCGTTGTATAGTTTGAACCAAAATACTAATTTTCCCCCTTTTTCTATCCCCATCCTGTTCTTTATATCTGAGTGTACAAAACCAAAAGTGCTGAAAGTTCGTTCTGCTGACATTGAGGAAGCAGTTGCATACAGGAACTGTTCTATTATTGGTGGCTGTTTCGCAATTTTTGGCTCATCCTTTTGTGATGTCCACCACTGTATTCCATTTACGTTTTTTATTATTTCATTCGAAAATATATTTTTTTTGAGTGGGCAACTGCGGGCATTCATCTTTGTTACAAATTTTTAAGTGTTTCTAAAGCCAGATTCTTTTCTTCGGGTGTTAACTCATATTTTTGATTTTGAGGGTGTAACATATACGCCATAAAATGATATGGCGTGAGTGCCTGCTTATATCGATCCTGATTTTTTTATATTTTTGATAAAGCTAATTCTACGATATTCTCGAAGATGTATATTGTAAATGTTTCCACTGCCCTACAGCATTTGAGATAATAGCGTTTTTTCTCTGCAAAGTATCAAGAGCAACTGAGCAACTACTTCAGTGAAATATTGTGAAGTATTTTGAAGGTTTCCCGAAGTATCAATGGTTTCGTAAAGAAGAGCTCTTCCATCTTCAGTTGTTATTGTTGCCCATAGAACTGGCTCTTTGTGGACGTTTGACCACTCGTCGATGAACATATTCACACATTGTTTTGACAGAGAAGAAAAACATTTTGCCTTTTCCTCCTCATAGATATCATCTACTTGTTGACTTGTTGACGAAGTTTTTCTAAATGGTGGAGTGTAACCAGGTCTTAATAAATAAATATCTTTTTTTACTTCGGAGTTTTCAATGTCTTTATAAAATTCTTCAATCCTACATCAGTTCTCGGACTCAGTTTGTAAAATTGAATTCTGCAAAATCCCAAATGACCCGCATCACATCTGGAATTCCTCAAGGGTCCCATTTGGGACCATTGTTATTTTCACTGTTTATCGCAGATGTCAGTAAATGTTTTCTTTTTGCTAAATCAGCATCATACGCAGATGATCAGAAATCATACGTGCCCGTGAAAAGCCGTAACGACTGTCATAAGTTTCAAGAAGATCTTGATCGTTTTTATGAATACTGTGTGAAAAATCGTCTATTTTTAAATATTGATAAATGTTACTGTCAAGTTCAGCAAGCGGATAAATGATATAAACTTTGACTACACATTCAATGGTGTAAAAATAAAAAAAGTAGAGCAGATTAGGGATCTTGGAATAACTATAGATGTAAAATTAAGTTTTGATATCCACATTGAGAATATAGTAAAAAAAGCTTATAAAAATTTTGGTTTTATATTAAGAGTTAGCAAGGAATTTCAGGATCACAAATCGCTTATTATTCTATACAATTCCTACGTTCGATCTCACCTTGACTATGGCGGTGTGATATGGAGTCCTCAGTATCATAAATATATAGACAGAATCGAGAGAATACAAAAAAGTTTGTTTTCCATTTAAATTTTAGATTTAACCGTAACTTACTAACTCATTCGTATGAAGCTAGTCTTAATTTCTACCATATACTGAAGTTATCTGTTAGAAGAATTATCTCCAGTGCTATATTTTTGCATAATATTATTAATAGTAGGATTGACTGTCCTTTACTGTTGGAAAAACTATCCTTCAATGCCAGAGTCGTTATAACAAGAACTCCTTCATTATTTTACGTGCCTAGATTTAATACAAACTTAGGTAACAATTCCCCAATATCTCTTTTACATAGACATTACAATAATTATTTTTCGCACGTTGACATCTTTGCGTTATCACTTAATTCGTTTCGAAATCAAGCAATTAGGGTTTTTCTATAAATTTATTTTAATTTTTGATTTGTTTTCCTTATTTTTTCACATTTGTTTTTTATAATTCACGCACTTAATATACAGTGTTAGTTTTGGTTTAGTTTGGTAAGTTTGATTGTTATTATTTTCTACTTATCGTAGATATAGGTAGGTACCTACTTATAAGTTTTACTTTGTTAATTAAATAATGGTATAATTGTTAGTGTGTCCTTGGAAATTGTGAAGTTATTTCTTCATGTTAGGGCACCTTTGTAATAAATAAATAAATAAATTAATAAATGTATCGAAAGCTCAAATTAGTAGCAAAAATTGCCTTTGCTATTTGTTTGTCAATTTCAGCATTACGATACTACTACTCAAGGCCGATTTTCAGTTTTTTTATTTTTCTTTGTTTTGACTTTGCAGAGATTTCCAAAGGCTTGACGGATTGGTCATTAAAGTGCCTAAAAAGAAAATAAAAACATTAAAAACATTATTTACAAATGATAAACCAAATACGCGCCCAATTATCCATTATAAAATTAGGATTTTATTAATTTATACGTTGAACATCGTGTACATTCTTTTCTAAGACAAAGAAATTATTTGATATGAATACGAAATACTTTTTTTTAAGTATGTAAATAATAAAAACAAAAATTTATCTAAAAAATAAATAAAAAATTAATTCAAATTTTGGCAAGAAATGACAAAAAGGACCTGATATTTCTTAAATAATAAATGGCTTAAATCTTTTGAAAAATAACACAAAATATTATTTACCTACCTGTATTCGTTTCTTTATTATGACAAACATTATGGTGCGCTTTAAGTATTTAAATTATCTCTTGAATTTCTTGCAGATTTTCCAAATCGATCTACACCAAGATTTATTTATTTAATCTTTTCACCTAATGCTGTATTTGCAACTAGTTCCACTCCTTTGACCAATTACATAACCGAGATGTATTCGTATTAGATCGGGAAAAAAACAGGTCGAGACAGAAATTTTCTTACAAAAAGCACGTTCTGACGAATAATTAGTGCGTAGATTGTGCTATAATATTAAAATATTAAAAAAAAAACATACATATTATTATGAAATTAAAAAAAAAGTCGATTAAAATTTAAAAAAATCAATGATTTTTGATTTTTTTAATAACAATCAAAGTTTGTCCAACACTTTATAGGACTCAGATCCAAAAATCGTGTGACCCGTGTTATTCCGTTCCTCAAAATCGATCGGAGCGTTAAATAACACGTGACGTCAGAGATACCCCATTCGATGTTTTTCTTTTCCGAGCCTCTACCTTAACGAGTTCTTTGTAATCCCGATCGTCGAACGGCAAACGGCCGTAGACCATCGCGAACAGAACCACGCCCATCGACCATATATCAGCGAACTGCGGTTGGTAGGGGATGCCGCGCAGGATTTCCGGTGACGCGTAAGCGTAACTGCCGCAAAACGTCTCGCTAAAGATCGGCTGGCCGTTTTTCGGTTTCATGTGGCCCCTGGCGAATCCGAAATCCGACAATTTCACGTTCCACCCGTTGTCCATCAGCATGTTTTCGCATTTCACGTCCCTGCGGCAAGCGTTCCGTATATTCCCTGCCCTAAACACGTGGCTGCAGCCAACTCGGGATTGGGATTGAAATCTGCGTCAAATTACAACGGACCAAACAAATACCGGTCAATATTTAAAAGATGCTATATTAATCTTACTTTTGAAGCAAAATTAATAAAACCGCACGCCCCTGACAGATTTTTTCCCCATTCCCACCTCTCTGTAGGGGAGTGAAAATACGACGGCCATATACCTAAATACGAAAACTTGTACGATTCAATGATATTCAATTCGCCTGGGTATGGAATGTAATCCGTTCAGTTTTAATGATTTTAAAATCCATTCAGAACATAAGGGTGCGGGATGCTTAAAATATTGTAATTCACAAGTTCACGCTTGCGGGGCATCAATTAAAAGGTAATTAAGAGTAGATCATAAAAAAATATATTTACAAATACTTTCTGTCAAATTGACATTTTTCATAGGTTTTCATAATTTCACAAGTTGTTGGACATATGTTAGAAGTATATATTGTAAAAATGCTAAAAAAAAATAATTTAACAGTACTGAAATATTCCCAAATTTTGCTTGCTCTGTACAGCATGGTATAGCAAAAGTGTTTAAACAGACTACCATTGAACAATTTGCCTTTACTAAAAAAAAATGACACTGCTTTTATTGAATTTAATAAGCATGATCAGTTTGTTAAATGTGAAACCTTGAAAAGCTACCCAGATAATAACGTTTCTTTCTATAGATTTTGTGCCGCTTCAAAAATATGTGGAATATTAATTTAATTTTGCTCTCTTTATTAGTACTGGGCAGCTTGTAATTTTTTCGCCGTCGAGGGTGACGAAAATCACATTTTTATCAAAAAATTGTATGTTTCACCCTGTAGACGATTTTGTGCCGTGTCAAAAATATGAGGAATATGAAGTTAATTGTGCTCTCCTTATTAGTACTGGGCAGTTTGTAATTCTTTCGCCGTCGAAGGTGTCGAAAATCACATTTTTATGAAAAAATTGTATGTTTCGCCCTGTAGACGATTTTGTGCCTTGTCAAAAATATGGGGAATATGAAGTTAATTTTGGTCTATTTTTTAGTACTGGACAGCTTGTAATTTTTTCGCCGTCGAAGGTGTCGAAAATCACATTTTTATGAAAAAATTGTATGTTTCGCCCTGTAGACGATTTTGTGCCGTGTCAAAAATATGGGGAATATGAAGTTAATTTTGGTCTATTTTTTAGTACTGGACAGCTTGTAATTTTTTCGCCGTCGAATGAGTCGAAAAACACATTTATATCCAAAAAATTGTGTTTCACCCTGTAGACGATTTCGTGCCGCTTCAAAAATATGTGGAATATGAATTTAATTTTGCTCTCTTTATTAGTACTAGCTAGCTTGTAATTTTTTCGCCGTCGAATGAGTCGAAAAACACATTTATATCAAAAAAATTGTGTTTCACCCTGTAGACGATTTTGTGCCTTGTCTAAAATATGGAGAATATGAAGTTAATTTTGCTCTCTTTATTAGTACTGGGCAGCTTGTAATTTTTTCGCCGTCGAATGAGTCGAAAAACACATTTATATCCAAAAAATTGTGTTTCACCCTGTAGACGATTTCGTGCCGCTTCAAAAATATGTGGAATATGAATTTAATTTTGCTCTCTTTATTAGTACTAGCTAGCTTGTAATTTTTTCGCCGTCGAATGAGTCGAAAAACACATTTATATCAAAAAACTTGTGTTTCACCCTGTAGACGATTTTGTGCCTTGTCTAAAATATGGGGAATATGAAGTTAATTTTGCTCTCTTTATTAGTACTGGGCAGCTTGTAATTTTTTCGCCGTCGAATGAGTCGAAAAACACATTTATATCCAAAAAATTGTGTTTCACCCTGTAGACGATTTTGTGCCGTGTCAAAAATATGGGGAATATGAAGTTAATTTTGCTCTCTTTATTAGTACTGGGCAGCTTGTAATTATTTCGCCGTCGAAGGTGTCGAAAATCACATTTTTATGAAAAAAATGTATGTTTCGCCCTGTAGACGATTTTGTGGCGTGTCTAAAATATGGGGAATATGAAGTTAATTTTGGCCTATTTTTTAGTACTGGGCAGCTTGTAATTTTTTCACCGTCGAAGGTGTCGAAAATCATATTGTGGAATCACATTACAAGATAACGTAAACACTTTTTTATACTTCAAATTATATTAACTTTTCATGCCTTTTTCAAGAAACCAAATCTGGCTTTTCTAGTTATTTTTACTTGGGGGGCGGGGGGGGGGGGGATGTATTAAAAGGAGTGGGTAAAGTAATCGAATTTTGGATATCATACCCTTTTATACTTGAAAACAAGTAGGGGTATCCCATATAGAGTCACAGTGAACCAAAATTAGACTGTCATGTATATAACCAATTGATGATATGACTACAATTTATCTGACCAAGATGAGGATTATAAACTAACCAATGTCACCAACAACATCTGAAGTATTGACGTATTCATATACGTATATCATCTATACCCGGTCCAAACACATAAATTAACTAGGTAATAAGGTAATACAAAAAGGAGAAATATCAACCAGTATTACTTACTATCTAGTCTTATTAAAGAGGGTAAAATTAAGTTGATATTCCACATATTTTTGACGCGACACAAAATCGTCTACAGGGTGAAACATACAATTTTTTGATAAAAATGTGATTTTCGTCACCCTCGACGGCGAAAAAATTACTAGCTGTCCAGTACTAATAAAGAGAGCAAAATTAACTTCATATTCCGTATTTTTTTGAAGCGGCACAAAATCGTCTACAGAGTGAAAAACACAATTTTTTTATAAAAATGTGATTTTCGCGACCTTTGACGGCGCAAAAATTACAAGCTGCCCTGTACTAATAAAGATGGTAAAATTAACTTCATATTCCACATATTTTTGACGCGGCACAAAATCGTCTACAGGGTGAAACATACAATTTTTTGATAAAAATGTGATTTTCGAGACTTTCAACGAGGCAAAAATTACAAACTGTCCAGTCCTAATAAAGAGAGCAAAATTAACTTCATATTCCATATATTTTTGACGCCGTACAAAATCGTTTACAGGGTGAAACATACAATTTTTTGATAAAAATATGATTTTCGACACCTTCGACGGCGCAAAAATTACATGCTGCCCATTATTAATAAAGAGAGCAAAATTAATTTCATATTCCACATATTTTTGACGCGACACAAAATCGTACACAGGGTGAAACATACAATTTTTTGATAAAAATGTGATTTTCGACACCTTCGAAGGCGAAAAAATTACAAACTGTCCAGTACTAATAAAGAGAGCAAAATTATCTTCATATTCCGTATATTTTTGACGCTGCACAAAATCGTCTACAGGGTGAAACACACAATTTTTTGATGTAAATGTGTTTTTCGACTCCTTCGAGGCCAAAAAATTACAAAGCTGCCTAGTCCTACTGAAGAAAGCAAAATTAAAGTCATATTCCACACATTTTGACGAGGCACAAAATCGTCTATAGAATGAAAAGTTATTATCTTGGTAGCTTTTTCAAGGTTTCACATTTAACAAACTGTCCATGATAATTAAATTCAATAAAAGCAGCTTTTTCTTTTTTTTTAGTAAGGGCAAATTGTTCAATGGTAGTCTATTTTTACTTTTACTATACAGTACAGTACTGTACAGAGCAAGCAAAATTTGGGAATATTTCAGTACTGTTAAATTATTTTTTTTCTAGTACTTTTACAATATATACTTCTAACATGTGTCCAATAATTTGTGAAATTATGAAAACCTATGAAAAATGTCAATTTGACACATAACATTTGTAAATATATTTTTTTATAATCTACTCTTAATTACCTCTTAATTGATGCCCCGCAAGCTATAGTTTGCGTGAATTTGTGAATTACAATATTTTAGGCATCCCGCACCCTTACGTTCTGAATGGACTTTAAAATTATTGAAACTGAACGGATTACATCCCATACCCAGGCGAATTGAATATAACTGAAATCGTACAAAAATTTTCGTATTTAGGCACCGTATTTTCACTCCCCTACAGAGGGGTGGGGATGGGGAAAAAATCTGCTAGGGGCGTCTGGTGGAGAATTAGTTGAGAAACATGTGTACCAAATTAATTTTGCTTCAAAAATAAGGTTAATGCAGTATTTTTTAAATATTGACTTAAATATTTGTTTGATCCGCTGTAGGTTGACGCAGATTTCAATCGCAATCCCGAGCTAACTTCAGCCACGTGTCGTAAACGCATATCGTGACGTCACCTGTGAACCACGCCCCGTTCGTGGCAGTAATCGACCGCGTTCACCAACTGCCTGAACCATTTTCGCGATCGCGTCTCGTCGATGTGCTGATCCGTGCGGATAATGTCCAAGAGGCTGCCGTTTTCTGCGAATTCCATTATAATATACACCCTAGAAACGTCGCATTAGTTGTAGAGGTTCCCTAGTGGTGTAAAAAAGCGGTAAAAATGTTCATTTTTTGTTTTCGGCATAGACCCAGATAAAACCTCACCCAAATCCACGCGTTCAATTTAGCTTGATAACATTTTAATTGGCGGTAAACGGAAACAAACAAAATGTGGTGTTATTAGCCAGTGACGTATAAAACAAAACACTATCAATTTTCTGACATATAAGCCTACATCATATTTTTTAAACGGAACGCCCTGTATATTATATATGTTTTTAATAGAATATCTTATTCTGATTACAATGATAACACAAACGAAAACCATTCTCACCCGAGCCAGCCAAGCCATACTAAGGGAGACTATTCATAACACCAGAAAGAATATCGCGAGCTTAGAAAGCAATTTACTCAAGCTACACTTACAGCTAAGCAATACAATAATACCAGTCCTATTGGGATATAGCAACTAACTTGGCTTTCTGGCGTTCCGAAAAGGACAAACAACTGAAGAGCCAAAAACTAGAACGCAAGTATCAAGCTCTTCTTAGGAAAGACGATCACCGAATGATGACAAGAGGGCTAAACGTGGCAAAAACCGTTCACAACATCTCGAGGTACAACATGTCCCAGTCTGAAATAGCCGTTCTGCACAAGGGGTTCGACTTCGCAGTAGCACCCAAAACGATTCCAAAAGAAGAAATTATATCCGAGATAGAAACAGTCATCGACCACCTGGAATCGAACACTGCTGAAGAAGTGAGACAAGATGTGGCCCGCATTCTTAGAAAAGCAAAAACACCAGCTTCAAACATCACCAAGGAGGAAGAACGAGCGCTAATCTGACTTAGAAAGAACAAGGAAATAACGATTCTACCAGCAGACAAAGGAAACGCCACCGCAGTCATGAATACAGAGGACTACAAAAGGAAGATGCAACAGATACTGGAAGCCGACTGCTACAATAAAGGTATCAAGGGACCCAACAACTTATCTGGAAAAAACCACCAAAGCAAAGATCAAGGAAGTTATCCAGGATGAGCAGCTGCAAAAGAAACTTATACCTCGATAAAAGTCAAGCAGGTGTCCCAAACTTTACGGTTTACCAAAAATCCACAAGAACGACGTACCACTGAGACCAATCGTAAGCGCCTTCAATTCCCCAACACAGAAGCTGGAGAAGTATCTAGCTAACATCTTAGGTAAAGAACTCCGAACACTTTTTACAACTGATAAAGGAAATCAACATCGATCCACAAGATGTCTTGGCTAGCTTCGATGTGAAATCTCTGTACCCGAGTATACCTATTGACGAGGCTTTGGACCTGATTGCAATGAACGAAGAGATCCCATCACATGTCATACAGCTAGCGGAGGACTGCCTAAAGAACACGTATTTTAGATACGATGGTCAGCTCTATAGACAGACAGATGGCGCCCCAATGGGGTCATCACTTTCGCCAGCGATAGGAAACCTGTTCATGGCCTATTTCGAAGCTCAAGCGAACCGAGAAAGTCAACTCAAGCCGAAGCTCTGGGGAGGCTAAGCTAGATCATTTTCTAACTTACTTGAATTCTTTACAAGATAGAATTGAGTTCACCATAGAAAAGGAGAAGGACAAACAACTACCATTTCTGGACGTCCTTTTGACACGATCAGACGGGAGAAAACTGCAACATCAAGTATATCGCAAACCTACTCACACCGACAGGTACCTGAATACACAATCGCACCATCACCCTAGTCAAATCCACAGACGAAATCCATAACAAGCGAGAAATGGAAAAAATCACACGAACACTCCGAGACAATAACTATACGGAGTCTACTATACGAAATGCCAAGAGGACGAACACAAGGACACGGCGAGACTCAACTAAAGAACAGGAAAGGGAAGACATACCTTCAACTACTTTGCCATATGTAAAAGCAGTAACTGATCAAATAGGAAGGATTCTGAAACGACATCACATCAGAACAACATAAAAACCACACAAAACAGTGGGTCAACTAATAGGAAATCCAAAGGACCCTTCTCACCTAGAAAATCAAGGAGTCTATCTAATCCCGTGTAGAGACTGTCCAAAATATTACATAGCTACATATATATATATATATATATATATATATATATATATATATATATATATATATATATATATATATATATATATATATATATATATATATATATATATATATATATATATATATATATATATATATATATATATATATATATATATATATATTCTCACGTATTGATTCACGGATGGAAAAATGTGATGACACTATATTCCGGGATATCATCCGTTCGCTCGTTGAACTCCGACTGGAATCCTGCATCCGACTGGAATCCTGCAAATCTTGCATCCGACTGGAATCCTGCAGACGTTTCGCCAAAATCTCACTTGGCATCTTCAATGCTCGCGCTCCGAAAACACTTCGAACACTGGGAGGTTATCGGCGGTGCGTGAGGTATTTATACTCTGCGCCGGAGATGGTAACGGTGCTGCTTGTGCGTGGGGGGAGGTGGCTCCGCCCCCTGAATTGTCGCGTTGTTAATTTCGCCCGATCGTAGTTGCGATGTCCCCGTTGGCTGCTGCGCATCGCTCTGCTGTTTGATTATCGTTCTCCACGTGTTGGATAAATGCAGAGCGTCGTCTCTCGTATTGAGGTGTCCGGACTTTTCTATTTCGATGGCCTCTCGTATAATCCTAGTCCTAAAATCAGGAATATTAGCTATTTGTTTGCAAGTGCCGAAATCAATTTTATGGCCTGTCTGATGTTGGTGCTGAAACAAAGCAGATGTTGTTTGTTTGTTTCTTATGGCTAAACGATGTTCCTCGAGCCTGGCTGAAATCCTTCTGTTGGTCTGTCCCACATACGTCAGGCTGCACGATCCGCATGCTACACTGTATACTCCTTGGTTTTCCAGAGTAATTTTTTGTTTTGGGTTTCTTAGTATTGCTCCGATGGTATGGTCAGGTTTGTATGCCGTTGATATGTCGTGTTTCCGTAATATTCGGCCGATTTTGTCAGTAACCCCCTTGATGTATGGCAGGACAGCGATCGATCTTCGTTGGGTCTCGTCCTGCACTCTCTGCTGCGGCTGTTGTTGTTTACTGATTGCCTTGCTGATGGTGCGCCTTTGGTATCCGTTTTGTTGAAGACAGGTACTAATTTTCTTCAGTTCTTTATCTCTGTTCCTCTCGTTTGTGAGCCTGAAGGACCGAGCAATTAATGTATTTGCCACTGCCTGTATCTGTGATGGGTGGTGATGAGATTTAGCGTTCAGATATCTATTAGTGTGTGTTGGTTTTCTATAGACAGTGTGTTCCAAGTGTCCATCTTCGGTCCTTGTGATGTGCACATCTAAAAAGGGCAGACTGTTATCCTCTTCAAGTTCTATTGTAAATTGAATCCTTGGGTGAATGGAATTCAGATGATCTAGGAATTTCAAAAGCTCCTCCTTGCCAAAAGGCCATACAACAAATACGTCATCAACGTATCTTGTCCATAGTTTTGGCTTCAGATTTGCCTTCTCTATTGCTTTCTTTTCGAAGTAAATCATGAAGAGGTTGGCAATCACAGGTGAGAGAGATGATCCCATTGCTGCTCCATCTATTTGTCGGTAAATTTTCCCGTTGTGCATAAAGTAAGCGTTTTTCAGGCAATGTCTTGACAGATCCATTATGTATGGCGGAAGATCTTCGTTTTCTTCTATAAGCAAGAGTGCCTCTTCTACTGGAATACTCGGGTAGAGGGATTTGACATCGAAACTTGCCATAATGTCGTCCTTGTCCATCCTTGTCCTTGTCAGAACATTTCACTCAGATTTTAGGTTCTCTCAGGATGGACATATATATATATATATATATATATATATATATATATATATATATATATATATATATATATAGAACGTCCTTCGAAGTTGTCCGACACCACACTCCAACCCCGTCGATTTTCACAATCTGCAGGAGTCTCGTTTTCTTCTACCTGTTGGTTGCAGGTGGAGTATCCTTTTCGGCCATCGGGTATTTGACATTCTTTCCACGTGTCCGTACCAAGTAAGTTGTTTTTTCTCTATATCCTGCGTTATTGTGCCTTCTACTCCCATCCGCTGTTTTATGGTATCGTTTCTTATTCTTTCTCTTCGTGAAATGCGCATCGATCTTCGAATTGCATCCATCTCGACAGCTTCCACCCTTTTCTTCTTTTCATATAGAAGGGTGCTTTTTACAATTGCTTCATAGCTATTAAATTTCCGTTTCTTGGATATTTCTTTGCTTCATAGGATACCATTCAGAGCTCCTATTACTTTTTTGGCTTTTTTGGGAATACATTATATGTATCAAAAAAAAATTATAAAAACTCGATACATACACAAAAATACTGATGTGTAAACGAATCACTGGGAAAAAACATTAAATAATGTTTTGGGGCACATAAGATGTAACATATAATTTATACATAAATATACCAAAAAAATTAGATTGTTCCCCAAAAAGAACCTGATTTGGTACAAAAAAACGCATTCGTGTTGTTTTTTTGGTTCCCTTGATATCCCTAAAAACAAACCAATTAAAATGTTATCAAATGGGTAATTACGACTTTTTTTAGTGGTACTGCGTTTTGTAATATTGAAAAAGCTGGAAAAAATACAGAAATTCAAAAAAAAAATACTTTTTATCACTAACCCTACAATAACTCTGAAACTATTCAACCTATCCCAATAATTTTTTGTTTGACTTGAAGGCTATAGATAAGCGGTAATAACTGAGGCGCTTTAATTTGAAGATTTTTCGTTTTCCATTTTTCGTATTGAAAATTGTAGTATGCGAGAAATTTAAGTTTTCGTACTAGATGCTACGAAAGAAATGTATTAAAATATATGAGGAAGTTTAAAAAACCGCAGCCTCTTGTCTATAATAGTGTTTGAAATATGATTTTTTGATATAATACTGCCTCATGTTAGCATATGTTCATATGTAGACGTTCAATTAGAAAACACCCCGTATATCTCTAGTAGCTACATGGGTGTACCCAATGAACAAAACTTTTGCCAAAAGTTGGTAAATGACGATAAAATTTTTGTATAACATTCAATGAATGAATTTAATTGAACCTGTGCGTGGTCTCGATGGCCTGCAAGAATCGTATCAGGTTATGATGACGTAACCCTTTGACAACTTCGATTTCTCGCGGTAAAAACTTTTTTAGGTAATCGGCAGGCGCGGAAAACTTGCTGACAATTTTAATGGCAACGTCGGCACCGTGTCGTTCGCTGTGAGCCATCTGAAATAATCGTTCAGTTACGAATGTCCCCGAATTGGTGGAATTAAAGTCTGTTCATAGATATAAGAAAGTGACTGACTGATACGAATTAAGGAAAGACCCGGGCAAGCTGTAAGAATGAAATATGGCCGAACAGGTTTGCACTTTGCTTAGAATTTAATTATTTGGGGTTTTGTTACGAAAGATACTAAACAATATTTATTTATTTATGTATGTATTATGTTTAAATATAAAATAAAATTACAAATTATTTTTATTAACTACTTAAATTACTTAAAATTATTCGCATAATATATCAGTATCACTATCGCTATCATCGCCTGTTCTAATTATTATTTCTTCTATATTATTTGCAATATGGATATGGATATTTAAGAGAATTTGTGAGGGGATGTTGAAAACTTCGCGTTCTATAAGTTTGAGGGCATTGGAGTTAACACGGGGAAAAACATTGTTACGATGAATGGCAGATTTCAGTTGGTGCAAACATGTTCAATGATATTAAATATACAGTGGTAAAACTGTATGCCCTAGATTTTTTGCATAATTATCACAGACATGTTCCTTTTGTAGGTTCAATCTTCGTGAAAATAAATGTTATTATACATGCAGTTTTGAATTGTTGCTTTTGTGTCACATGAGGAAGGGGTTTTAGTCAACTGTCTACTGTGATAACTTGCATTGTCCATTACAATGACGCTATTAGGAGGAATATTAGGAACTAGTTTGTTTTGGTGTCTTTAATATTTGATATAGTTATTCTTTTACCTATTTTTGATGGCGCGTTTGTTTTACACTTATCATTTGAGTCAACCCAACCCTTTTCCGGGGTATCATAAGTGTCGAACCAGATTAATTTTTTAAAGAATATTTATAACAGACTCGGCGAAACTGGTTTGTTCCGCCTCAATAGCCACCAAAAATGATTACACCGGAGCTGGAAGAGGAAACTTTAGTCCAAGTAGATGAAATTCCGGAAATAAACACAAGAACAATGGAGTGAGCAAATCTACAGTTTGTAGAGTTTCTCAGCAAGAATAGTATGTTATGCAATAAGTGCGGTAAACGACATTTGACTCACGAGTTTATTTGACACGAGCGGAGCGCAGCGGAGCGAGTTTTTAATAACCGAGTGAGTTAAAAAGTTTACCGAACATGTTGCATACTATACTTTTTCTACGACCGTTAGTTTTTGGGTATATTTTCGCAAAACACGAATACATTCACTGACATGACCGTCAGAATAAGATTGGGAATTCTTTAAACTTGAACTTTTACAATAAATTACTTTGTAATATAAAACGAATTGGTAACAATTCTTTTAAGAGAACATCTATTGACAATCAACCCTTTTTACAGTACTGATAAGTAACTAAATTTCAAATGTTAAACCTGTGTAATCTGTTTACTTTTACAATTTTTTGTCGGGACTTTTTTATTCATATATTGTTTTGTTATCATTATATGTATTTATTTATTTCGTTTCGACTTGCTACACATACGTTTTGTATACTGTGGTTAAATACATAAAACTAAACCTAAACCCAATAAATTTAAAATCCCAGCCGTGATCAATGCGAGATCCAAATAATAAACAAAACTGACGTAGAAATATCATGAACAAACCAGCCTTTCTTGAGAATAAATGTCGTTATTATACATGCAGTTTTGGATTGTTGCTTTTGTGTCACATGAGGAAGGGGTTTTAGTCAACTGTCTACTATGATAACTTGCATTGTCCATTACAATTACGCTATTAGGAGAGATGTTTGGAACTAGTTTGTTTTTAAACCAACTTTCAAATAAATCAGCGGTGGTGTCTTTAATATTTTTCGCAGACAGAGAAAGCCCATTTGGAATCCAACCATTTTTAGAGCCAGCATTCAAAATAGTTATTCTTTTACCTCTTTTTGATGGCGCGTTTGTTTTACACTTATCAGTTGAGTCAACCCAACCCTTTTCCGGAGTATCGTAAGTGTCGAACCAGGTTTCATCCAAGTAAATAATTGGCCTTTGTTGTTCTCTGTAAATCCTAATTTTTTCTAGATATTCCAGTCGCCATTTCCGAATTCTAAAAGATTCCATTAAAACTTGCCTTTTGTCAATTTTTTTAAATCTAAAACCCATCTATTGAACACACTTCCATAAGGTATTTCTGCCACATTTAACACCGGTTTCATGTTGTTCAAGCCTCTTAATTAAGATATCTAATGTAAGCACGCTTTGTTCCTCGTATAACCGATAATAAACTAAAGACTATTAAACACAGGTAGGTATAAAATTATTTTCTATTACGCACCACAATTTTACCTAAATTTAAATTCGGAAACTTTAGGTAATAATCTTGTCGCATTGTATGTTAATGACCCCACCCTCGGATAATCCCATTCAAGAGCAATTGGTCACTTTCTTATATCTATGAACAGACCATACCTACACGGACTGTCGCGTACGATCCGTTTCCGATAGTTTTTCCCAGCGAATATCCGTGCGATTCTAGAACGGTGGGTTTTTTAACTGACGGCAGGTCCTTTCCGATTTCAGGGGCATCAGTAATTGCAGAAACCGATGGCTGGTGAATACTGCTAACAGGGGAATGCATGGCAATAGTTCGTTTATCATTTTACGATAAATTTGGTTGATATCATTATGTCGCGAGAGTTAATTTTGAATGACGGATTATGTCACGATCGCGTATACAACTGGTACTTGTTTTTCATCTGCTGGTACTATATGCGGAAGTTTACAAAAAACGCAGCCCATTGTCTATAATAGCGTTTGAAATACGATTTTTTGAATCGCTGCCTCCAGTTAGCATCACTTAGAATCTGCTGTATTTCAAAACTTGGATATATGGTTATATGTAGACATTCGATTAGAAAACACCCTGTATATCTCTAGTAGCTACATGGGTGTACCCAATGAACGAAACCTTTGCCGAAAGTCGATAAATGACTATAAAATTTTTGTATAACATTGAAATGTACTTTCAATGAACTTTAAAAGCTTGAACATTAGAGTAGATGCAATTATTCGACTTCGGAGTTAGGTGAAGCTTCCGACCTAAATTTTGAATAAAAAAGCTACTTATATTTTTTTAAAAATGTTTCTTTTGAGCAAAATCATAAAAAGACCGTAAGATTTAGTAATAAAAAATTGCTTGCTTGCTGATTTTAATCAAGTGATTTAAATTACGATTAAAATTATGATTCATCAAATCAAATTAAATTACTATGTTTTATAATCTTTTTTGTTGACACAAAAAACACGTCTTAAAAATATTATCACTGTTGTGACTCCAATATTTAAAAGCGGCAACAAACAAGAGATGACAAACTACAGCAAAATTTCCCTAATATCTACAGTGGCGAAAGTTTTTGCAAACTAAAACAAAATTGCTAGACAAATTTAAAATAATTTCTGAGAAACAATATGGCTTACGAAAAAATATAAGCACAAGATGCTATAACATCGCTAACGTCAAAAATTTATGAGAGTCTGGACAAAAGTAAACCAACCTCCTTTATGCATATTCCTAGATCTGGCAAAGGCATTTGACACCGTTAACCACGCACAGATGTTTGAAGCTTTGGAGGATATAGGCGAAAAAAATATATCTCTTGATCTTTTTAAAAGTTACTTAACTGGGAGAAAACACGTCTTGATTGAAGATGTCACACATCTGGTTTTGGGCCCAGTTTTATTTATAATTTACTTAAGTAATATACTCCTAAAGGAATTTCCTGGATATGTTATAAGTTTTGCAGATGATACCGTAATATATCTTACAGCAGATGACTGTAAAGAGCTTAAATTAATTTCTGCAGAACCATTAAAAGATATAATTGATTGCTTCCATTATAAACTATTGACAATTAATTATCAAAAAACAAAATTTGTCACATTTAGTTGTACCAGCAGATTTTGATACACTTATCGCTGGTAACACGGAAAAGGCAGAGATCATGTTGACAGACAAAATCAAATACTTTTTTTAAAGACCGTCATTCAATGAATTATCCATTTACAATCAAATATAACTTATTATATAAATTTTATTTATAATAATAACAAAAAATATTAAGTACATCATATACAACCAATTTTTACATTTTAAAGTTTCCTAGATATATTATTTGTTCCCCTCAGTATTTATATCAAAAATAATTTCATCTTCATCTTCGGATAAGGGCAATGGTTCCATTTCGACATCATTTTGCCTAGCTCTCACCCCATACCTTATAATTGTGTGCCTTTTGTCCATTCGCTTCCTAAATCGTAAATACAGGTTTAACAAAATATTGGAAACTAATATCACCATACTCACTTAAATAATTTAACGCTGACGTATACAATAAGCAAAAGTACTTGGAGCCCTACAAAAACGTATATACCTCTCATTAGGGCACCATCTTTAACATTCACTTTTGTGGGGATTGGCTTGATAGTTTTGGAAAAATTTGAATTTTGGGACAGATGGGAATTGTTCGCTAAATCCAGATTTATAGAGGGAACTCGGTGTTCCGTTCGATTATCAGGGTTTGATTCAAAAATGCTATAATTTTTCGTTGATTTGTCTTTAAACACTTGGTTTAAAAAAGGCGGATTTACAGCTAGTAAGCGAATAGATAAATTTAGGAGTACTACTAATATTAACATGTTCATGCATTTCTTTACCTAACAAGAACAGCTTAAAACTTTTACTTATTTTTACCCGAAATCTAACATTTTACAACGTATATTAACTACAAAACTTCGCAAATTTTGCATAAAGTAAACACCTGCTAAACTAAATTTTAATATATAATTGTAGGTTATATGCAGAGATAATTAACTCGTTCCTCCAACATTTGGGCCAGAGCACCGTGATCATTCGCTCATTACCGTGGTCCGTAAAGGTGATTCGATCTGCGCCAAGAAAGCAGATAAGGATATTCTTCATTCCATAGCGAAAATCAGAAAATTATTACAACAAAATGGAAAAATTGTACTCTGCAGGCAGCCCAAAAACACGACTAACAACCAGTGAAACACAACTGAAAAAAAGCAATTGGGATACTAACATTAATCAAAGTATACAAAATACTAGAATTTATCCGATCAAGAGTTAAAACAGTTAAAACTGTACATGCACCCTGTATAAAGTGTCCTTCACTTCTGGTCGAACTTCAAAGTTACAATAAACACCGGTAAATATTTAAAATTGCACAAATAATAGCTTTGTGGAATGATATTTTTTCAAATATCTCGTACATAATTGATGAAACCTGAAACTCTCACTCGACACAGTTTACGATACTGTTCAAATAAAATTATCCCATCTCTAACGGTTTTTCATTTATCGCCAATAATTTGCCCAGAACGGAAATTTTTAGGATCTTATAGATTTTTTGTCCATAAACGACACACCTTGTATATGATTTAAACAATGTTCGAAGTAAAGGTTAGAGCTTTACATTAAAACAACAGATCCAAATAAATCTTGGTGTAGATCGATTTGAAAAATCTGCAAGAAAGAAATTCAAGAGATAATTTAAATACCTAAAGCGCACCATGATGTTTGTGATAATAAGCAGGAAGAAACAAATACAGGTAGGTATATAATATTTTGTGTTATTATTAGTTGTTTCATTTTTATTTAACTTTTTATATCGTAAAATATATGGTAGAGGTGGATCTTCGAGGTTTCCTGGTCCAAGAATTTTTTGAAAATAGTGAATGGTTTTCGCGCCGTAATAATCAATGACGTCATCGCATCTTGACAGCCCCCGAAATAGTTATTTCAATATGGATTTTTTCAAGTATCCCGAGCAGCGTATGTGATAGACGAAAACCACAAATACAAAAGCTGTAACACTTGATGCGGCCTATGACACTGTTTGAACCTATTACCCATATTTTTTACGATTTTGGATTTGCGGCTAATAATTTACTTTGTAAAAGAACAATTTTTTAGGTCTTTTAGATTTTGCCTATAATTTTAAAACCCTGTATATAATCAAGAAAATGCCTAAAATAAAATTTTTTGCAAGTTAACGGTTCTCGTCTTTTGGTTTTGGTTAGTTGGAGCTACAAAATTGAAATTTGCCTTCTTTTTAACCCTACTCGAGATACGTAAGGTTGTAAGGAATGGCCTCGATCCGACGCCGGCATCCATCTTTTTTTCGCGATTTTCGACTGTATTTTGAAAACTGCTATGAAACACTATAAGTGTCCGAAATTTGGAGCAATCGATTTCATATTTGGCATACATATGCAGTTTTGTCCTGTGTCAGAACTTATTGAAAATGGGGGGGCTGGAGGGTCGGGAAGTATTCTAAAAAAAATTAAAAATCGCGTGTGCAAGGGTCTACATAAAACATCATTTTTCAAAAACTGCGTACGAGACCCAAAAAATTCTTGAACCAGAAGACGCAGAAGATACGGCTCCATTAACTTTTATTTTTGACAATTTTTCAAAAATATGCAGGGTGTGCCGCAAATTCAAAAAAACTGAAAAATGAACCCCCTTTATTATTGAAAATTGGTTTTTAACTGAAAGACTGTGAATCAGTTCTCACATTCTTTTATATTGCGATATAGCCTGTATAGACAGCAAAAACTTTTGCATTTAAGGATTTCATCTATTGTACAGGGTGTTCCCGATATTCCGTCCTTAATGAAAAATGTGTTAAGTGTCCTAAATTTGCAGATATTAACTTCAAATTTAGCAGAGAAGTAAAAGTCCGTGTCCACATTTAAACGGTAGAAATCGGGTGCAACCAAATTTTTCGACAACGTTATTATTTGTGCAAATTTTAATATTTACCGATGTTTACTGTAACTTTGAAGTTCGACGAGATGTGAAGCACATTTTATACAGGGTGCATGCACAATTAAATCACATCGGTTTTACGAAAGTTTCATAGTGCTCCGCGGGAGCACGATAGAAAAACATTGCGTTCCTTTACCACACGAAACCGCGAAGTTCTTTCCTTTTATAATAAAAATTATCAATTAAAAAAAAAACGGAATCTGGGCTTAAAGTTTAGTTATTTTATCATACATCTCAAAAGCAGTCAGCAATGGGCGAATGATCCCAGTCAATTTGCCAGCAACAAGTGATTAAAAGAAGAAGTGTGTTTTCGCTGTTGCAAAAAAATATAAATTTTTAATCCTATGGATATTTCCGTCTGGTGCGAATATGGCAGATAGGCTTGTCGACGAACGAATTCGAAAGCCTCGTAGAACTAAAGGCACACCTCTCTATATTCAGAGAAACTATTTCGCTGGGGCGTTTATAGCGTTCGGTGCTTTATCTTGGTTCATCTTTGAGTAATTTTAATAAAAATAAAGTAAAATGGAAAATAACCTATGGATAAAACATTTTAGATGCACAGCTACTGCTCAAGAAATTAAGAAACTTCAAAAGAAAGGTGAAAAATTCGTTGTGCCTGCAGCCCTACAGAGTAAAGCAGACCATATTCGAGCGAGTTTTGAGAATCCTACTGTAGGTCTATTATTATCGAAGGCAAGGGATCGTGCTGCTTACAAAGATGAAGACCCGGAGGAAACACCCAGCTGGTTCAAACGGCTCACCTCAAACCCAGATGTCTAAACCAAACTTTAGGTTTGCATAGTCACTACTGATTGTTATTATTATGTTGTCCTCTAAATAGAATAAATATTTCGTCAGATGTGTTTTTTTAGCTCTCTAGATGCATACTTTAAAACAAACGCCAATTTGAAACCTAAATCTGATTTTAAAACTTTTGAATCGCCATACAAAAACCTGCTCTCTGAAATAGAAACGGCAGATGGTGGTGAAGAATCTCCCTTCCAAACGCCAAAGCCTACTCAACCAAAGAGGAACATAAAATGGGAAATTTCTAAATCAAAAGTACCCTCAAAAAAACGGTCTAAAAAAAGGAAATGTTTAGCAAACTCTACCATTAAAATTATCGAAAACAACCTCAGAAGTTCTGATGTTAACTCTGAACATCTCCAAATGGGTATCATGCTTTCAAAATCCTCATTTGAGGCCGAGAATAATACCCAGAGCTCATCTTCCTTGGATGATATGCCGGACATGAGCGCCTTGACCAGTACAATTTTGGAAAGATTTGGTTTTAGATCTAATAAGACGGTAGAGCCCAGGAAATGGAACGAGGTATTTTATTAGGAGAATACTAAATGTGCACGTTTTATTTTCCTAATTTTGAACTTTCTTTTTCTAGCTTTCTAAGCAAAGGAAACGTTTTAAATACGTAACTCCAATCTTGTTAAGCCGCTCAGAAGAAGACCGAGAAGCTTTGATATCATCAAAAATTTCACTCATACTGCAAAACGTTCACCAAGCACCACGTTCGACCTCAGCATCGCCGCTCTCTCTGCACAGCATAAAGCTAAATGAACTTTATTGCAGACAAAAGTGTGTTTTTAACATCGATAACATATACGACTCTGGCAGATTTAAAATTCCCAGCTTAAATTTACCGCCTAATGTTCCATCTTGCGGGCGCCTTTTAAAAAAGTGGAACGAGATTCCAGGTAGAGATATTTCACCTTTGAGAACCGATGAAAAAATAAAAAGCACTCCTGAAAAAACTATTGAGCCTACTTTATCACCAAGTCCTGGATTGAGCAGAAGTATGTCTCCCGAATTGTTTGGATCAGAGGATGAGCTTACATTTAATAAAGTAAGGGGCAACGATTCACCCATCATTAACAAAAATCCAACCCAATATGCGATTCCTGTGCCATCAGAAGATGTAACGAGGTTCAATTCCCAAGAAACTTTTCCATCTGTCTTTAGTAGATTGACAGGTGAAGAGCATAGTTTTACTGAGGTCGACTTGGAAGATGTATGTAGCAACATTGACTTTGAACATGTTTCTGCCAGTCAAATAGAAAAAAGTCTGTCCAGTTCCAACAAATTACAAACTTCAGGCAATTCTGATTACTCACTTTTAGACACCTTAGAAACAGATAAAGTTATCCGGGGTAGTTCCCCAATAGTCAGTCATCCAAATAAACTACTTGGTAGCACAGGACAACCTATAGTTGATGAAACGGATTTTTTTGATGATGTTGAATTAAAAAGTCCTGTGACTCCCGACAGAGTAGAAAAGATCTCCGTCACACCGAAGAGGTCAGTCGCAGACCATCCAAATTTTATATACATTTCATCAGGTTCTTCGAGCAACGATTATTTTCCTATTGTCAAACGGGCAGAACAAGAAACACACAAAGATTGCAGCCTTAGTAGATCGAAAAGTGAGGGATTGGAAAATAAAAGTACCTCAAGCCTGCGCAGGACTTTTTCAGAAAGTCTAAATGTTACGAGTTACATAATGGAAATGTTGAACTCCCAAGAATCGTTTATGGAATCTGAAGTGGAAGGCTGTAATTTAAGTCAGCAATCGACTAGCAGCGCCCTATGCGATGAAGAGCTTAACTATTCTTCTTACCATGGTGCACCGATAGACACAGACCTACAGTTTGATGGATTTTCAATGGAAAAGGAAGCCAGATCCGCTGATGAAAATGTTTTCGGTGAGTATAATATAATGAATTGATCAAAAATTAAATACTCACAAATGAATCAGTGAATTTTTAATTAAACTGATATTTGTTATCCTTAAAACTTTGTTATGGTATCCTACCATAACAATCAATCATCCGATTGACTTACTGCGGATGGTTCATCAAAATTAGGTACCTTAAAGGCTTCTTTCTTCCCCTTGAATATATATAAAATCATCTATTTTACAGCCTGGAAAAAGAGTTCTTTACCTTCCACTAAATTCATTTAAAATCATAAATTTATCTTTATCCATGGTAATTATGGCCCTCTGGTAAAAGATGGATCGAATTAAAGGAAATTTCTTTATATTTTTTTAAATAAAAAGTTGAACTATTTTTTACGTATGTGTTTGTTTTCCTGTTTTTTACATACATATAATACAAGTAAACGTTTTTTCTTAAAAAATATCAGAATTGCTGTGTTATATTCAAATAGTTATTAGATAACCCCCTAGACAAATATATTGGTTAATTAACCCCTTGATCAAAAAGTACCATTTGACGCACCCATTGTTCTGATTTGAGTTTTTTTTTTGTTAATTTGGTACATCTGTTGTTGACATTTCCTCCATCTTAACGTCAATACATCGACGATTGTGTGTGTTCGCGATTTTTGCCAATTTTAAAAGTGCATTTAAATTTGCAACAACGAACTTGTATTAAACGCTGGAAATGTTGGAAAAGTGATTCGGCGACGATATTCTAAAGAAAACAGTCGTTTACTAGTGGCACGACGTTTCAACCGAACTGAATCAACCGAAGACGATAACAACGAACGACGAAAACATTGATAAAGTAACAGAAATATTGGCCAATAATCGCAAATTAACCGTCAGAGAGATATCCTGAACATTGTCTATGGATCCGTCCAAGACATTTTCGTTAATGATATCCGTTTCCGTCGTGTAGCAGCAAAGTTGGTTCCAAAAGTCCTAAATTTCATGCAAAAGAGAGACCGTGTTAAAGTCACAAAAGAAAAGGCCATTACTGGACATAACATGTGGGATAAGTACAGCACGTAATCCAGGCATCAAATGAATGGTATTCATCAAAACCACTAACTAACTAAAAACACCATGTCGTTTTCAGTCATGAAAGAAGACAATGCTCGCAAGAGGCCAGAATTGTGGCCAGAAAACTCGCGAATTCTGCACCATGAAACCGCACCGTCGCACAATTCCATCATTATTCACTTTTTTTTTTACAAAAAATGCAACAAATACAACACCACACAAACAAAAGCAGCCACCCAATTCACCGGATTTGGCTCCCTGTGACTTCTTTCTGTTCAATTGAGTGATATACACAATCTTCCGAGTATTGGACTAAGTGCTGGCATAAACTTGTATTTTTAATTTTCTGAATAAATTCCCGGAACTTTTTGATCTAGGTGGTATAGTGGCTTCAGGACGCCGCAAGCGGCATTGATGTTTTTTTGTAGAGATATCTGCATTTTGCGTCATTTTCTCTGCAAACAGCGACCTCCACACACATATCTCTGGTCAATATTTTGAGAAAATACTGCCGTAAAAATGCCTCGTCCAAACTTATTGACGGCCTGTCAGCGGCCATGTTGGTTGTTGAGTGGCGCATGGTCGGTAAAAAAAGAAATTTTAAATCACACGCAACTTCTCAATTTTTTTTTATAGTTTCATAAGTTCCTGCATTGTAGCATAGAGGATATGGTATAACCTTATAGCTACTAGATATATAGAGCTATGCTATCATAGAAAAAAATTTATCCATTCAATATGCGCATGCGCGAGATTTAAAATCCCGCTTTCAACCAATAGCCTTGCGACATTGAACAACCAACATTTTGTCTAAATATGCATAAATCTCGTTAAATGTTCGAGGCAAACTAGGTAGATGTTTAGAAAACTACAAAAATATCGGTGCCGAGGCACCAATCACAATTTTTGTCCAATATGTGGCGGAAATGTGGCATCTTGTAAATTCTTCTGGCACAAATTACGGAAAATTATTACGGATTGTATTTCGAGGTCGTGACAGTCGTGATTATATCATTTAAATGTTACATATTTTCATATATCCTTGAAAATTGCCAATTTTATATTGATTACCCGTCTCTTGTAGATATTGATTGTTTAGAGGAAGACACAGATTGTCATAAGTCGATGTTGAAAGACAAAGTCGGCGAATTCATTTCTATCGATGAAGCTACCACCGGCACAAGTGAAATCAACGTTAAAATTAACGATGTTGTGACCCCGAATAGAAACGGTTCAGAGTTGCCAAATGTAGTTGTTAAAACCAAGAATGTAACGCCCATGTTGGATTACGACAACATGAACACGCCTACTATAGCTGAAGAGCTGGACAAGTTTGGAATTAAACCTCTGAAAAGGAAACGAGGAGCGATGCTTTTGAAGTACATATATGATTCGACTCATCCTGTAATTGAAAAGAAAAGCAAGACGGATGAGAATGATCAATTAATTAAGAAACGCAGAAATAATAGAAGCTACGTGGATGGTATAAAGTGCAGCCCACCGATCGAAATTGCAGAAGATATCTTAGAAAAGTAGGTTAATTTTGTGATAAAACTTTCTATTTTATTATATATATAAAAAAAAACAAAATATTCTGGGGGTGCTTAAATATTGATAATTTCTCGCAAATCAAAATATCTTTCAATCCACGAATCACAACTCGTTGAACTACACATTCGTGTTTAATCAGATTTATATTAAAAACTGATTAAAATAAAAGATTACAAAAAAATACAAAACATCCACAATGCATGGACAACGGACGATAAGCTGCTCTGATGATTGACATTTGTCAAAAGTCCACAGCATTACGACTATCGATGGTCCGTGACCCTTGCAATGTCACGCCTATCGCATCAATTTTTTAGAAGAAATGTTCCTGTATGAATTGTTAAAGCACCCGTTACATTTTTCCTGTATATTTTTATAGAAATAAAACATGTGAAACTTGCTCCTTATTTTTTGGTCTTATGAATACATTTTAGGTAAAAGTGCTTGGTCCAAAAAATCTAAAACCAGGGGGTACATAGTTTTTTCAAAATATGAAAAATAACTTTCGGTTAATCATTTTTATCACCTTGCTTATTTAATTTAATTATTTTTCTGAACATTTTGCATGCTACTAGAAGTAACAGCGCACTCCAGATTATTTATGTATTGATGTGTAAAGTTATGTTTTTGAATTTCATTGTCATAGTTAGAATGTTGAAAAACTACTTCTGATACCATACGCAATAATTGACATTTGATATCGAAAATTTAAAGCACTAACGAAAATCCTATAAAATTGATATCATTTTAGGTTTTAGAGGGGGTATGGTTTTTTAGGAATATATTTTTTTATATTTTCTATATGCCGACATCTTAGAGAAGTACGTTGTATATGAATGTATAATTTCAGCGAAAATTTGGACGACTTGATATTTGAGAGAAAGCAGTCTACAAAGATTTGTTCGTGCCGAATACCCTTGCAAATTGTCTGGCACAATTTGGTTTCATCCAATCCAATTATTAGAGAAAATATTCTTTTGTATGAGCCCCTGCAACTAGAGTCGCTTTATATGATGATAAAAGACCTCGGATTCAGGTTTCATATTCAGGTAATTTTTTAAAATAAAATCACGCAGGGTACTTACTTTTTCTTTTAGGATTTGTTGACATTCCTCGACAAAAAGTGCATCACGGTGAGGATAAAACAAAATCAGGCAAAAAAATCCATTTTTAATGTAAAAGCTTACGCTGTAAATAAAAAATAATTTTTCAAGCCACTTATATTGACATTAATGACAACTACAATATTTTAATCCAACTAGTTCATAATTATCACATCCTTTCAGTACTTATTCGAAACTATTCCTTATTTGGGTTTTGTTTAATCTTGTAGTCTGACAAAGCAGCTTTAATGGCATCTTCGGCTAACATTGAACAATGCAGTTTTACTGGTGGTAGAGACAACTCTTTAGCAATCTCAGTATTTTTTAATTTCAAAGCCTCGTCTACTGTTTTTCCTTTTACCCATTCTGTCGTATACGAGCTACTTGCTATAGCCGAGCCGCAACCAAAGGTTTTAAATCTAGCGTCGATGATCTTTCCATTCTCATCCACTTTGATTTGTAGCTTCATGACGTCACCACAGGCTGGAGCACCAACCAGTCCAGTACCAACATTCTTATCGTTTTTGTCCAGAGAGCCTACATTTCTTGGATTTTCATAATGATCGATCACCTTGGGGTGGTAAGAGGATACGGATAATTTTAGAGGATGACGAAGTGATTTCAACAGATTCGCACTGGTATTTAAAGCCATGCTTCTGCTGAAATTAAAAAGCTCTAATTATACACCCCTGCAATCTTGTTTTGTTTCACAAAATATCTTACAATCAATCAAACGTCATGCCCGCAAACAGTTGCACAACAATCTTTTTTTTGTTGGGGTTTATTTTTTATAATGAATTGTTTTGACTGTGCCTTCCACCACAATTGGCCACTTCTTAATACGTTTCACAAACGGGAGGGCAGGTGGCAATGGTCATTCGCCCATTGTAGACGAGGTCACAGATTATCAAAGTTACGCCGGCAAAAAATTTAAATTTAATCTGTCGTTTGTGGGCAAAGAGGGAGATTTTTAAGGTTAGGAACTTACTGTTTTAATAATTTGGATAATTAATTTATTATAAACGAAAATTTTGGTGCAAAATGCTTAATAAATATGTTCACGTTACCCTACGATATAAAACAGGACACTTAAATTTTGTATTTCGAAAAATTAGTAAATATTTAGACAAGGATATATCATCCAAAGTTATTAGGGAGAAATTTTTGAATTATTTTATTGAAGAAAAGGGTCATAAATTTGTTAAATCGAGTCCAGTAATACCGTTTTGCGATCCAACTGTTCCGTTTGTAAACGCGGGTATGAACCAAGTAAGTTACAGTTACAGAATATCATGAATATTATAACCTATTATTAATTAAGTTCAAAGGAATATTTCTTGGATTACAAACTCCTCAGTATCCGAAGGTAGTAAACTCGCAGAAATGTATTCGAATTGGAGGAAAACATAATGACCTAAATAATGTTGGAAGAGATGGATATCACCACACATTTTTTGAAATGCTTGGAAACTGGTCTTTTGGGAATTATTTTAAGGTACCTTTAAGTAATGCTCAATATTGATTAACTTTTTTGAATTACTTCTTCTCTTAGAAAGAAGCATGCCAAATGGCTTGGGAACTTTTAACAAAAGTTTACAAATTACCAGCATCTCGTTTGTATGTAACTTATTTTAGTGGAAATACAGAATTAAATTTGCCACCTGACGAGGAGACTAAGCACATATGGAGTACAATTGGGTAAAAGTTATTGTTATAAAGGTATAAAAAGCATTTATAATATTTCATTGCAGTGTGGAAGAGGAAAGAATTCTACCCTTTGGTGAAACTGATAATTTTTGGGAAATGGGCTTGGTAGGCCCTTGCGGTCCTTGCACCGAAATTCATTATGATCATATGGGAACTGTAAATAGAGCGCAGCTTGTCAACAGAGGGTTGCATGACCTGACGGAAATATGGAACATAGTTTTTATAGAGCATAATAGGTATGTGAGAAATAATTGTTCAACGGATTTAGTTAATTTGATAAAAATGTAGAAAGCAAGATGGCTCAGTGCAGTTATTACCCAAAAAGCATATTGATACAGGCTTGGGATTTGAAAGGCTGACATGCGCTTTGCAAGGCAAGGTCAGCAGTTATGATACAGATAATTTCACTTATTTAATGAAAGCAATTCAAAAAGTAAGCTTTTTATTAAGAACGGTCAGTTTTAGCTTAATTGTAGAATTGTAGTGGAATTTCTGAATATTCGGGCCATTTTGGAGAACAAGATTGGAACAATGTTGACATGTCTTACAGGACATTGGCGGATCATGTTAGAATGATTACAGTTTCTTTGGGCGATGGGGCTATACCTGAACAAAAGTAAGCAAATAAATAATAATAATATAGTATTAAACATTATAATTTGTATATTGTGTTGAACATTTCAGTCATAAACTAAGACGAATATTGAGAAAATGTTTCTACTTGAGTGAGACTGTTTTTAAAAAAGATAAAGGATTGACAAAAGAGTTAAGTAATTATGTTGTTGAAAATTTGGGTCAGGTGTATCCCGAAATAGAGAGAAATGTGGATCAAGTATGTAAACGAAATTTGTAAGCACCATGTATATAGAAGTGATATAATTTATTTATAGATTCATCAAATAATAGACTATGAAGAAAATGTCTATCACAACTTAAGAAAATCTTCAGAGAAGGAGTTGCAAAAATTAATTAAAGAGAATGCCAAACTTACAACCATCGATCCCATTGATATTGCCCCAAATGTGTTAACAGCATATAAGGAGTTGCACGAGTCAAAGTGTAAAATTATAGATGACAAATTGGCATACAGATTGTATGACACTCACGGCATGGACGAAGAACTAATACTACAAGTGTCCAATGTTCTGGATATTGAATTCAACCCGCTCAGTTTTGCCAAAGGTCTTGACGACGCAAAACTCGAGTCTAAGAAAAAGTCGGCCGAAATGAAATTTTCGATTAATATTGAACCAACAATACCAAGAACTGACGATTCGAGTAAATATTTCTACAGCAAAGGAAGAAGGGGGTATAGTTTTCCACCCGTGGAGTGCAAAGTTCTCAATATTATACAGAACGACTTGTCCACTTCTGAAGCGGGAGAAAATTGTGTGTGTTCACTCATTTTAGATAAAACAAATATGTACTGTGCCGCCGGAGGTCAAGACTCTGACAGAGGCACTATAATTTTTGAGCATTCTCAGTTTGACGTTAAAGAGTTGCTTAACATTGATGGCCGGATACTCCATAGAGGTGTGGTCAGAAGTGGGACGGTCAGATCAGGTTCCTTGGGTACAATAAAACCGGACGAAGCCGCGAGGATTGCTAACATGTGTAACCACACCGGCACCCACTTGTTGAACGCTGCTGTAAAGAAAATTAAGAGAGCTAGCTGTCAGAAATCCAGCAAAGTGACTGACTCGTACTTAAATTTAGATGTAGCTATTTTCGGAGCAAAATTAGACATAAGTGATGTAGTCAGCATTGAGGACACAATCAGTAGTCTCATTAAGAAGCAAATAGAAGTTAAAGTTAGTATAGTAGATAGTCAACAGCTCTACAAGTATGATGAGATTACATTGATACCTGGCGAGGTGTATCCAGATAATAACATAAGAATTATTGAAGTAACGGATGGTTCAGCCTTTATTTCAAGGTATGCTTTTTCTAGAAATCTTTCATCAGATTGCTGAAATCAGTAGTGAAGAAAAATTCAGAGTCTCGTTTTCATTTAGGGAACCCTGTTGCGGTACTCACGTCTTAAACACCTCAGACCTGGAAGATTTTTGTGTAATCGGGATGAAATCCTTAGGTAGAAGCACTCAGTCGGTCACAGCTGTTACTGGCGATCGAGCCAAATTAGCGAGGCAAAATGCCGTGCGTTTATCCGAAGAAATTTCACTGTTAAAGAAATCGTTGGGGGATAATATGGACAAGGTACGATCATTGAGCATCAGCATGGTGATAATAACCGTTTCGCGTCTTCCTAGCCGGAATTAATAGAAGTTGCGGTGGGAAGAATAAAGAAGAAGCTAAATTTTGATGCCCGGGACAATACGATCATCCCTCTGGTATTTAAGGATGCAGCTCTGGCAGATTTGCAAGTTGTAAATGGGCAGTTAAAACAAATCGGCAAACAAAACTTGAAGTAAGTTTTGATAACGCTAGATCTATTTCCCATACTATTTGCTTTTTTTGTTCTCTAGTCCATAAATTCGTAGTTAAAAGGAATTGTGTTTTGGCACGTTGATAGATTTTATTCCCATATTCGAATGTCAAAGCCAGGGATTTCAAATTTTTGGGACGCTTTTTGACCTGTTAATTTCTCAAAGAAACTTGCACAGGCTACTGTAATACTATTTACAAATCTTCTGGTTTCCTCCTGCATCGGTTGTTTATAAATCAAACTTGCTGACGTTTCATTAATCATAATATTGGCTTCTTCAGGACTTAACTGAAACTGGCTCTCATTCTATTGCGTGCCTGCTTATTTACTGTTTGAGGGAGGCGGAGCTAAAGGAGGGGAGGGATGAACATTGTCTCGGATAACCCATATTGGTGAAAGGTCAAAACCTAAGTCGCGGTTAAGATTGTTTTGTTATGCATTCTAGGATTTTTTGTGTGGTAGTGCTGATGAGTTTATATGTATGTATGTTTATAAAATATTTAAAACATTTTCCTGTGTTCTTTTTAAGGTAATGCTTCTGTAGACTTTACCACAATGAGATATAACTAGAAGAAAATTTTATTAGGGTGTTTTTTTTTCAACTTTAAACTCCGAGATATTTGTCTAGTTCACTTTGGTTTTGTTATCGTCTTCACGGATAGTTAATACTCATTAATTTTTTTGATAAAACATTAAAGTCTAAAAAATCTGTACATTTTAAGTTTTTTTATGGCATTGCAATAGAAATTCGCGCTCTTAGGCCTTAGTCTAAAGCGGTTTACGAAACAGTTACAGTGAACCATTCTGTATCCACAAAATATGCGTATTAATTTCGATTACGACCTGCCTTTAGATCTCATATGGAACGACAAACAAACCCTGTTTTGGCAAAATGTGATATGACAGTCTGATGATGATTCCTCAAAATATGAAACTAGCTGTATATGCTATACACTGCAGAAATTGTTAAATCTGGGCTTAGATATTCTCTAGAAGAGCTCTTGCGACAGTAGTGAGATTCGGCTCTAGGAAATCTATTTATATGGTTATGCATTGCATGTCTCACCATTATATTTTTAATTATAGTCAGCAGAATTTTTGTACATGAGCATTTTCTAACAGAATTAAATTGGCTAAAATGTCACTTTCTGTAGTTTCAACGCTAGCTTTTCAATAGATGCTGAAATTTTAGTTGATGTGTTCTCTTGATTTCTTTTCCGATTTTTTATTAAGTGGGAAGGGGGTAGAATGTCTGCCAAGGACCAGTCAGAATCCGAGTCGTTGCACACTGCACAACGTATGTATTTTCCATAAAACGGCTGATTATAAATGATAATAAAAAAGAAGTAGGTAATTATGTTAATGCATTCTATTAAATTACTAATTACATATTAACAGTTGCTTATAATTTCACCAAATTTTGTTAATTTAATCCTTGTCCAGATATTTAACCCAAATATTATCACTCAATAATTTTTCTTAAGAAAGCGTAACTCAACAATTGAGGCCTTGATTATGAAAGTGGTATCAGTCGTATGTTTGTTTCAAGATATAAAGAGGTTTGCATTTTAAATATTATAAAATATTTTTATATAATAGAATATAATATTTTTGACAATGAAATAGTGCCAACAAATAAGTATTTATTGTGATTACGAAATTTATAACCATTTTTAAAAGAAAATGTGATTTTGAAAGGTTGAAATGACATACCATTTTCAAAATGAACTGCATGACTTTATAAGTGACTTAAACCATCAAGAATTTTTTTTTTATTAAAAATTAGCATTTTATTCAAACTCATTACATTGTAACTAAATAAATTGTTTTTTAGTATTTAGGGAAATAAAATGTTTGTGGAAATCTAATTGGACATAGGGTAGTAATTCAATACAATAGATTGTGGAGTATACTTGCTGGGGAAAATACGTAAAAAAAAATGTGCTTCGTAGGTGGTGCGGAAATGTGTGCGTATTATGTAAAATATGAATTTTCTAATAGTGGAAACCGCGATATCTCGCGAATGGTGAGTCGTGAGAAAAAAAGTGGCAGAACAATTTTTGTAGAAGAGAGAAACTTACCGTTTTCGAGAAAAATAAAATTTTTTGCACAAGTCGAATCGAAGGGGATTTTTGACATTTCATGTAAACTGCTATATATAACGTCTCTGCCATTTTCCAGCTTTATGCGAACTTTGCCTATGTTTTGGACTGATTTTTGTCTGTTTTGATTGGATTATAACTAAATATAGGAGTAGTTGGGATCCGTCTTGTCGGTTACTTTTACAAATACAATATGAAGAAAAACTGAGGACATTATCTCAAAAAGTCGATTTTCTGAGATACGCCCTTCGTATGCTTCACGTCCTTATAATTATTTTTCTAAGAGATGAATACAATTTTCTCTCCAACTATTTAGTAGGCGTATATATAAAAAATTTCTGTTAGGAACTTCATCGAGATGGAAATGGAGGATGCTCTACAATCGAACATTGGCACGTCGAAATCCAATAAAAAATATATTGTGCATTATTTGCGAAGCTCCGTCGTTTTAGACTCCGTGCCTCTACAAAAAGCCACTAAACTATGCCCCAACATGCCCGTATTGATTGTTTCCTATTCGGACAACATAGTCAAAGCACGTTGTTGCGTGCCCAAGGTAGACGAGGCTTATATTATCCTGTTAATTTAAACGAGTGTTCTTTGGTGTATCGTAGGAATTTCAAAACGAATACTTCGACGCTCAAACGTGGCTGACCGAAACCGTTGCCACCGTGTTCGATTCAGAGGTGAGGCCCTCCAAAAACCAGGCAGGAGATGCGATTTGCAACATGAAGCCCAAAAAGGTTCACATACAGGAATGGGACACGTTGCTCAAAGAGGCCATGAAGTTGGCGAAGAAATATGTTCATGATAATTTGTGATCGATTCCTATTGAAATAAAGTCAGATTTTTTTTGTTGGAAATTGTTTTGGTTAAAATGGGGCTCAAATAAAACTCCTTCGGCGATCAGGCCAAATTACTTTATTGCTTAAAAAACTGGCCTTTACGAGAGTACTTCAAAAATACACAAAGATGTCCGATACACATGCAAATCAAATTCAAAAGCTTTACCGGTACTCTTAGCTGTTAAGTTATGTAAAACAGTCTTAATTCTACTCCACAACGTATGGGCTAGTATTATAAAAAATAATTTAAAACAACCTTACGCAACTATCAACATTTGTTATTTATATTCGTGTAATAACAATACTCCTGGTTATGCGGCATGAAAATGTTACATTTTGAAGCGATTGCGCAGAGTTTTACACACATAATACGCAGCAGGTTGGAGAATGAAGCATCCTTGTTCGAACCTGGGAACGTTAGTCAAAATCGAGTTCAGCAACAACGATCCTTCACCGTCATTAACCTTCATTAATATTCTATTGGGTACATTAGTAACACAGGCCAACAAACATTTTGTGATTTGGTATTTTTCATATTTTCGGAGTTGTACGGTGTAAACGAATAGAAAAACAATTAATTTTTGAGATGTCGTATTTAGTGTATTAAAAATGGGAACATTAAAGGACCTGGGTATATCATTGGATTCGGGGTTTTTTTTCGAGATGCAAGTAGAAAGCATTGTTCAAAAGGAGCTAAAGGTATGGATGCATTTTTTTTCACAGTCTTGTCAGACACGTGTTGGAATATGCTACGCCAGTCTGGAATAAAATGTATTTGAAATATATCGAACGGCTGGAGAATGTACAACGAAAATTTATAAATGCTATAAATTATAGATTTAATAGACAGAGACATTTTTTTAGTAATAGTGAAAACCTTCATTTCAATTGTATGCAGTCTTTGAAAAATCGTAGAACAAATTTTGATTTAAAGTTGGAAACAATTTGATTGAATCTCCTTTTGTTTTTGAAAAAACATACTTCTAACTCTCCAATTATCAGATGTACCCGTACTTATAGCAGGGTAGAGAACGCGTTTCCGGATATTGACCTATTTGCTCTGACCTTAAGACCGTATACCAATTAACATACTGTAATAAAAAGCTGTAATTAGTTCTTAATTAGATTTAGCCGGTAAAAAATAATTTTTTGTGACATTTTGTGCTTTCTTTTTATTGAACAGTTGCGCCTGTCTCTCTGTAAATAAATAAATAAACATTCAAAAAAACGACAATGCTAAGATTTTGTAAAAACATTTCAGATACGTTATGCTATGTTGTGGTTCTTTTGGAGTCAAGAAATTTAGACGAAAAATTACACTCCTGTTTGATATGGAGAGAGCCAAAAAATCACTATGATGACTGCTACTTCTGCATGAGCAATGTTTATTTATTTTTATTAATTTATTTAAAGGCATGAAGCCCAACTAAAGCTAAACTTAACTTAAGTCTAGCTTAGGTGAAAATTTTAAAATATTAGTTCTTGGTGTAGGCACAAAGAACATGTTACTACGTCTAGAGAGTTAGTATGGGGAACCAATGTCATTAACGAAAATGTTGAATAATAATGGCCCCAACATTGAGCCTTGAGGGACGCCTGAGGAAGCAATGTACAAATTAGAAGGCGATTCGGAAAATCCAAAGGCGCGGAGCGTGTGATCAAACGCTTTCGAAAAATCAAGACATATGACGTTCATTTGACAACCTTCATCAATAGCCTCAGAAATATACTGAGACGTAGTCGTTACATTGGTAATGGTGGATCTTCATTTAAAAGAGGTATTGGGCGACTATTTGGTTCTTGATAACATGAAATATTTTGTTCCGTAAAACTTTACAGAAGTTACAGATAAGGGAAATAACCCTACAGCTTGTGATTTGCGATCTACAGTCTTATTGTGTACGGGAATAACACTGTACGTGGATATAATACTAAAAACCCATCTGAGAATCTAGAGTTTAATGACTCAATGAGAGATAGGTTTACCAAAGGATCTTTCCGAAATTGTAGCATCTAGACTTCAAAATAATTTTGAACAAAGCGGTTCATTTGTTTATTGCACCGGATATTCCTAATCTAATAAAGAGATTTGAGTACTGGTGCTTTTTTATTGACTCATCCAAGAGATGTTCTTTTGCACAACGGAAATGTTTTTGCTTTTTCTGTACAAATGAAAGAATCCTACGAAGACTTGGAACCACTGCTTGAGAAAATCGAATGACTATAGTTCGATGATTTGTGAGTGGGGCAACAGAAAAATAGTTAATTTAACTTCACGACAGTCTTATTGTTCTTCGAGAAATTCTCTTACATATTAAATTAGGACTGATGAAGCAGTATGTTAAAGCTTCAAATAAAGATGGAGCATGTTTTTATAGGGCTTCAAATAAGTCGATTAATGGAATATCAAGATTTTGAGAATACCATGATTGAAGCTGAAAAACTTGTTACAAATTTTTTTCTAGGAAACAACAAATATCCAAATTACAAAGACATTGTAGAAAACATGTTAAGAGATATTTAGAAAAATAGGATGCAATGTGAGTATAAAACTATAATTTGTTGACCACTGCTGGGCATTAAAAAAGGACAGTCCGGAAAATCCATTAAATCAAGTTTTTCGGCCAACAGAGAGAGATTTTCCAAAAATAAATGGACTTAACTATTGTTTGAGACATTGTTATTGAATTTAGATGTTGCAATTCGGTTTGTCTTCTTGACATTTTCATTAATTAACTCTTTTAATGTTGACAAAAAACCTTACATGATAGAAAAAAATGCTTATCAGATTTAAATTTAGGCGGCTTCAATTATACAGAATCCAATACATTAAACAAATCCAAATCAACTTTCAAAGGTTTAAAAATTGCTGGCCTGTGTTATCTGTAGACCGTTCATAAATTATGTCATTTGTTCTCCTTTTTCTCTCATCCCACAAAACTTACACCATTTTGGTTGTCGTTTACAGATACATGACTGAAACCTCTTCTCAAAAATTTAAAAATTTTTGGTGACATGCTTCGTTTTAAATTCGATGAAATTTCGGGAGCTTTATCCTCATTTCTGGAAATATCTATGGATGGCCCAAAGAGACGAAAATATTCGTTTCAGACAATCTCCTTATAATCACTGTTTCTATTGCCCTTTTAAAGAGTAAAAATATACCACGTATTTAATAATTTTATTGTTTCTATTTTTAATTCGTTTTTTTTTTAGTCTCAGTTTCAAATAAATATTTTTGTACTTCGTCGAGAGAGTCTTCTTACGGATGAGCCTGCTTCAATAACCGACCAATATATCTTTCCCGATAGGCCTTTTTCAACGCAACTTAAAACCCTAAATATACTACGAAATCATATTGCTTTGTGTTGAGTTAATTAACATTTGTTTTCCTCTAGAGAACGATTTTTGAAATGCGTCAAGCCGGCACTAAAATTTATTTATTTCCGTACGGCTGTACAGCAACTCTACCTAGAGTCTAATACACCGAAAAGCATACTTTCGTTTTATTTTATTTTTTTGTGTAAGCGACGTTACATTTTCACTGGTTGCTATTAAACACTCTAAAAACTTGCAATGATAACAAAATCAGACTCGTATTCCAGTTATTTGTCGGCTAGTGTAAAAATTAAAATGTTACTTAGCTACAAGGTACCGGTTTGGTGGTTAGATGACTTAGCGACCACGTTTCGACGGACGTCCTCCAGCTGAATCAACTGTAAAGAGAAGAAAAAATAGGTAATCAACACCCTTAGTAATATTCGGCAATCACGGACGCCTATATCAATACAACAAGCAGCAACGAATATTATAAATAAAAGTTCGTTTACAATAAGTATTGATATTTGATTTCACACATTGAAAATGACCTAAGTATATGGGTAGATCTTTTTTTTTTTCGTTCATCATGTTTTTCTTAGGATCAAACTCATACTTAAGACCTCCTTCTTGTCCCTTAAAGCGTTCTTGAAATGATTTTGACCCTCAAGCCTATTATTAAAAATAAATGGGTGTTATATGTGACGTTTTATACGAATGCCGATTTCATAAAGAATAAATTTTCGAAAAATATTAATTTTATATCTAGGATGGGAAAAAATTGTCAATTAACGCCAAAATCTTTTTTATGACAGGCTAGCTGCTCCGCATTTAGAATTTTATTCCATCCTTTTGTTCGATTTGCCAAAATTATAAATTAGAGCAATTGTAGATTGCTCAAAATAGGACCATGAGAAATATACTATAATGTAACAGATATACGCCAGTTCAAAGCATGTCGAGTGTACTTATTTTTTTGTCTGTAAAACAAAAAGTAATGTTTGATGTCTATGTATTTATTTTTAAAATTAAACGGAAGTATGTTTGTTCCTGATTATCTTTTTGAAAAAGTTACCTATTCTTAGAATAAAAGACATTTTGGTAATTTTATGCTCAGAGAATATTATTCTAGTCATGTACAAAACTACGCACAGTGGAAATTCCTTATAGAGAAATCGAATTTTCGAAAGTATCTGCGCTCACATAAAAATTTTATATCTCGGTAACGGTAAGTCCTACGGGATCGCCGTTGGTACAGAAACGATCACCGTCGAAAAAAAAAATTTTGTTTGTCTGTTCTCCGTTCTCGTCTTTTGGTTTTTTCTGAATAACTTTCGAACCATTGGAGCTACAAAATTGAAATTTGCCTCCTTTTTAACCATCCACGAGGCACATAAGCTTATAAGAAATGGGCCTGATCCGAAGCCGGTATCCATCTTTTTTTCGCGATTTTCGACTGATTTTTGGACCTTGTTATCAAACACGATAAGTGTCAGAAATTTGAAGCAATCGACTTCATATTTGGCACATATATGCAGCTTTGCCTCGTGACGGAACCTATTGAAAATGGGGGGGCTGGGGGGTCGGACAGTATTTAAAAAAATCGCGCGTGCAGGGGCTACAAAAAACATCATTTTTCAAAAACTGTTTACGAGACCAAAAAAAAATCTTGAAGCAGAAGATACGGCTCTATAAACTTTTATACGCGACAATTTTTCAAGAATATACAGGGTGCGCCGCAAATTCAAAAAAACTGAAAAATGGATCCCCCTATTATTGAAAATTGGCAATAATTTTAAATATATGTGTTTTAGATGTCAGTTTCTTTTACATGACGATATAGCCCATATAGACAGCTTAAAGTTTTGTATTTACGGTTTTTAAGTATTGTACAGGGTGTTCGCGTTATTTCGTGCAATATTAAAAAACATAATAAGTACTCGAAATTTGCAGCAACCGACTTCAGACTTGGGAGAGAAGTAGAAGTCTGGACCCGCATTTAGACTCTTTAAATTGAGAACAATAAAATTACGTGAAGTATTTTTTTTACGTTTCGAATTTTTTTGTAGTTATTTTGGCATCCAGAAAAACATCTTTTCCTCCAAAGCCATTCATCCGATCTGAAAAATTTTCCATCCGTAATACGTGGGAGACCCGGGGTTCTATAACTTTTGTTTTACGCATTTTTTGCATTATATACAAGGTGTTTTAGTTATAGACAAAAATTGTTCTTTTCGAGAGTAAATTGTTAACCGTAAATCAAAATTCGTACAAACGATAGCTAATCCGTTCAGGGCTACAATTTTTGAATTTACGGTTTTCGTCTATCACATACGCTGTTCGAGATATTTGAAATAATCCAAATGAAAATCACTATTTCTCGTCCTCAATCTAGACGCGATGACGTCATTTAATATTGCAAGTAGGTTTTTGAAAACCATTGGACAACCATTGGAAAAATTCGAATACCAGGAAACTAAGGAGATCCAGGGCTATATGATCTAATTCGAACATTTTTGAATTTGAATTTGAATTATCCGCGATACATGAAAAACTTTTAAAGATGTGATAATTTGATATGAACAGTACCGTAAACTGTGTCGAGAGAAAGTTTAAGGTTTCGTCTATAATACAGGGGTCGCAAGATATTCGAAAAAATATAATTTTAAATTGCAATTAGCAGTACAAATTTTAATATTTACCGAAGGACACTTTATATAGGGTGTATTCCACAATCAAATTACATCGATTTTGCGAAAGTTCCATAGCGGTCCGCAGGAGCACGATAGAAAAACAAGGCGTCCCTCTAGGACAAGAATCCGCGAAGCGCCTTCTTTTTAAAATAAAAAGGTGATTCGCGCTATTTGCCGCGCTCACTGATGATTTTTCGAAAGCAATCTTGTTTTTAATCGATAAGTATTATCATTTAGCCAAAAATCGACTTGTTTATTCTCGGTTCGAATTTTACCTGTAAATGTGTTTTTGCCTAACAGGACTTAATGAAATTTGAAAAAGTCATTCTCGCAATCCGTTAAAAATTAGTTTCTATTAAAAGAGCTTATTATCCAACTGCTACTGGGATGGCCCATCACGAATATTCAAATACTGAATATCGCGACATGCATTTTTGTTACGGAAGAGCAAATGGAAATGCAAATCAAGCACGACGGCTTTATTATTATTATTATTATTATTATTATTATTATTATTATTATTATTAGAGACGCTTTCACATTTAAGGCTAGTTGCGTTAATACTGCCTAGAAATTGATAAAAACCGTCAATAAATTCGACACGGCGCATCACAGACCAATGTTCACGTATAAAGTGGGATTCGTCTTTTAAAGGGCTATCAGAAAATGCGAAAAAATATATAGGGTGTTTGATTTTGCAAAACTATCATTTTCATAGTGACAAAGCTTCCTCTTCTTCTTTAACTCTAGGAGATTTTAGAGCATTGTTAACATATATAACGTCTCTTATACATTTCCACGTTGCACGATTTATTTTTTCGACTGACTGGCGGCACTTCGCCTTGGTAGCAGTGTCTGCTCGCGACCTTCCCAGGAAGCGGCTTCTGTGATTCCGCCCCGATTCACCATAGTGTTATAGAAAATATTTATTCCGCTAATAATCATTCCGAACAATTTGCAAAAAAAAGGAATTAATAGTTTTCTGCAGTTAAAATCCTGTTTTTTTCGTTCATTTGTTTTTGCCTTTAATACTTTGCCCTTCTTTAATCGCCCACCCTGTACAAATTAACCTCTAGATATCCTCGTCACATGAACAATTGTATTTTCTTATAAACAATAAATACACAAAAATAAATGTGAATGAGACACAATGACGATCCGTAAAGCTCGAATCTTAAAATTATGCGTTTACCTTTTCAATTGGTATACAGGAAAGTTCGCCGCCCCCGCACTGCGGAGGCGGCAAAGGGGTGGAGGGTGTTCCCGCCGCTTTCATGGCTTTCTCCTGAGCCTCCCTTGCCCGTCTCTCTTTCAGCTTAAGCGAGAAAATGGCCACCGAACGCGCGCGCTTCATCAGGCTCTGCTTCACCCTGATCTTCTTCGCCGCCAATTCTTCCGCTGCTAGAAGCAAAACGTTGTCATTGTCACGATTGTTATTTTTCATTTATAATGATATTAATTTTTCATTGATCCAGATAAATGACAAATACATATGTTGGACAAGACAAGAAGCAAAGAAAAAAATAAATACAAAAAATTGTATAAAATAGGTATAAATTAACGCAGACACATAATTTAATTGAAGATTTAAAATTTTATAAATTTGTTGATACAGGGTGTTCCAAAAGTGTCTCCCTCCCCCACGACATCAACATTGCTAATTTAAATGGAACACCCTGTATATTTCTTCATTTTTGGAATCCTTGGTTAAAATAAAGGTCACTTTCTTGAGAAATTTCTATTCAAATTAAGCATAGTTTAGGCAGAAATTGAAGTTATATTTTTTTTTTGCATATTTTGATTGTCCGATATAAAATTGTCTTGCGACGCTACTGATCCGGGTATTGCAACGAAAATTTAACCGCAGACTAAGGAGATGGTGCACCACTCAAATAAGTGGTGCCGTTTTGGCCAATTCAATTAACAAAATCTCAAGATTTTTAAATGGAACACACTATATTTTTATTCAGATATCAATTCTAGGATAGGGTAAATTTGTAATTTAACTTATATTTAAATTTTACTTACTTTTTGAGATATTCGAGATTTAAGATAACATCCGTATTAATTCTTGTTGAATTTAATGCTGCAGACATTACGTCACAATATTATGTACTTAAACATATTTAATAAAACAGAAACACTTAATAGTTAATTATCTCGCTTGATTGAAAATACCTGATAATAAAAATAAATTAATAAAGTATATAGGGTAAATAAACATGGTAACAAATTTGTTAAGTTAACTAAAAAGTGTTCGTTAAGTCGGCCCATAAAGTTTAATTAAAACAGTTCCTCTCAAAATGCTCATATCTAAAAATGTAGTTGGCTATGACTTCACAATCTTTTTTATTTGACGCGCTGTGACATTTCTGTTTGTTTTTGTTGTTTTTCAAATTTCCATTTAAAAAGTTCGTTGTTATTAAGTTTTTTGTTAGTATATATTTTATTTGTATTTTAAACAAGTTATAGTTTTTTGGATACAATGCCGCAATATTCTGCTCAAGAACGGCTAAAATTGTATGACCTGACAGGTCCTGGATAATTCTATTAAATATTGATTTTGTTGATATTTTAGCCTCAGTAACTTTCTTTGCTAAGGCTAAGGCTGCAGTTTTACCATTGGTCAGGTAGCACTAAAAAAATTTTGAGTTATTAATTTTAGTTTAGTTACTTAAAATACAAATAAAATTTATACTAACAAAAAACTTGACAACTATGAACTTTTTAAATGGAAATATGAAAAACAACAAAAACAAATGAAAATGTCAAAGTTTGTTTATTCCTTAATGAGTCAAAAAAAAAGATTGTGTAGTCATAGCCAGCTACATTTCTAAATATTTTGTTATTTCTTTGTTGTTTTGATGCCAGATGAAACGCGCATTTTAAGGGGAACATTTTTAACTAAACTTTATGGACCGTATTAACAAAATCTTTTTGGTTAACTTTTTGTTTTATAGATTTATTTATTCAAATTTGTTACCTTGTTTAATTAGTCTATAAACTTTTATATATTTTTCTTATTAGGTAGTGTGCGTTTAGAGTAGATTTTTTTCCAAAATTTCCACATATTAATGGACACCCTGTATTGTTAGCAATAGATTTTATTCGTATATCTGGAGTATTATATCTTAAAATAAAACCGAATTTTTCGAAAGTATACGCGCTTGGCAACGAAACATATCTCGGCAAATGATGGGCATTGGTACGGAAATGATCAGCGTCGAAAAAGAAACTTTTTTGTCTGTTTTCAGTTCTCTGTTTCTCTGTAGACGCGGCAATAATTGGCCATAACTTTCGAGCGGTTTGACGTACGATGTTCAAATTTGGCTCCTTGTAATAAGCCCACGGAACACATAAGTCAGTGAAAAAAGGCCGCGATCGGACCTCGGCGTCCATCTTTTTTTTCGATTTTCGACCGTTTTTTTTTTTCATTCTTTTCCATTCCATTTTTGACACACATATGAAGCTTTGTTCTCTTTACGGAACCTATTGAAATTGGGGGGCTGGAAGGTCGGGAAGTATTAAAAAAAAATAAAAATCGCGTTTGCAGGGGTCCAAAAAAAAATCATTTCTCGAAAATGGTTTACTTTATTCCTCAAAATTTTTTAAAAATGTACAAGGCGCGCCGCAAATTCAAAAAAACTGAAAAATGGGTCCCCCTGTTATTGAAAATTCGCTATAACTGAAAGACTGTACTTCGAATTTCAGTTTCTTTTGCATGACAGCTAAAACTCTTGTCTTTAAGGTTTTCCCCTGTTGTACAGGGTGTTCAAGATATTAAGTGCTATATTCAAAAAATAAAAGGTGTCTTAAATTTGCGGCTATCAACTTCAGATTTGGCAGAAGGGTTCACACCCGTATTTCATCTCCCGGAAAAAGACTTACTCAAATCCGGCAAAGTTTTTTTTAAAAGTTTTGCAAAATGTTTTTGGTATATTTTATTATTTATTGATTATTTATTATAATTATATAATGCATTATAAACAGGGTTTTTAAAAATCGTTCTTTTCGCTAGTGAATTATTAGCCGTAAATCAAAATAGATATTTGAAAAAATCTAAATGAAAATCACCATTTCTCGAACTCAATCTAAACGCGATGACGTCATTTACTATTACCACGTACTGCATGGTTTTCAGAAAACAAGCGTTTTCTTGAAAACCACTCACTTTGTTGGAAAAAATCATATACCAAGAAACGTGGGAGATCCAGGGCTACAACTTCCATTTCGAACATTGTTTGAATTATATACAGGGTGTGTCGTTTATGGGAAAAAACATCTAAAAGATCTTAAAAATTTTCGTTTTTGTGGGTAAATTATTTGAGATACATCAAAAACTGCGAAAGATCCGATAATTCGATTTGAACAGTATCGCAAACTGTGTTGAGAGTTTCAGGTTTCGTCAATTATGCAAGGCGCGCGAGATATTTGAAAAAAATTCATTCGACAACATTATCGGTACAAATTTTAATATTTAACCAAGTTTGTCGTCGATTTTGCGAACGTTGAAATGTGGTCGGCAGGAGGAGCACGATATAAAAACAATGCGTCCCCCCAGGCCAAGAAATCGCGAAGCGCCTTCATTTAAAATAAAAAGCTGCTTCGCACTACGCCCTACGAACTTGCCCCGCTTAGCTACGATTTTTCGAAATCAATCTTGTTATATATGGAAATTGCAGAAGCATAGAATGAATTTTTATTTGTCAAAAGAGAGCCCAGCGAACTATATTACAGTCAAACTTTCGAGAGTCATGTATGGGAAAATTTAAGGAAAATAAAATTTCAACTTTCGCTGCAAGCTTTAAACAAGGGAGTAGGTTCGTCTTTAAAAACAGAAACCTTTTTAAAAATAGGCACAAGCCGACTGCGAGGGAGAAGGGTGTTTTTTACGTGTTATTTGCCGGACAACATATATGTTAATGTTAAAGAAAACAATTTTTAATTTACTCGTACAAATAGAACCATACAGTGCAGAAAAATAATATAGATTTATTCGAAACATGTAGGACAACCACTGTAAATGACATTACTTCAATGTAATTATGCTGTGAAATAAAGATGATTTATTATTATTATTGTTATTATTATTATTGTTATTTTTTAACAATTTATATTACAGAATGTAAAAATAACAAGTTTTCAATTATTAAGGCAAAAACAGGGTAAAAAAAGTTACTTTAAAAGTAAAAGTCCTATATACCTTTGGCTGCTTCGTCAGACGTCTCCTGGCTGGATATGCTTTTGGCGCTGTCACTAAGTGACGGGTCTATCGGCACAATCGGTGGTGGTTTCGCTCTGGAAGAGACCAGGTGATCGGGAGATCGGGGCCTAGGCGGCCATAGAGGACTGCTTTTCAACAGGTCCGAGTCGGAACTAGACGCGTCCTAAATCAAGAGAGAAACACCTTAATAAAGACAAATTTCCGAGGTTGCGTGAGAAAAATCTTCGCCCCAATAGCCGGAATAACCTCACTCCAAAGAAAGAAGAGTTAAGCGAAGAACTCGCATTGTATTTAATTTTTCGAGGAACTTTAAACTTAACTTTAAAAAATGCAACGTTAAATCTGCTATTCAAGCTTCGTAGAGACTGTATAAATAAGCGACGGAAATACACAAGAACTGTCAAACATGGCATTATTCGAGATACACTAAGAACATGGGAGGAATATAGAGAAAGCAAGATAGCGCTCAGAGACAAAATCAAGAAGGCAAAGAAAGAGTGCTGGACGCGGCTCCTTGACGACGTTGATCGTGACATCTGGGGCGATGGTTACAAAATCGCGATGAAGAGCTTTTTTGGATTTCCGCCACGACCTAACCTAAGCATGGAAGCAACAGAGAAGATCGTACGACATTTATTTCCGTGTCATGACGCGGTATCGTTTGCTCGCGACGATGGTGCGAAGCCTATAGTATTCACCGTGGATGAACTAAGCAACGCTGCTGCGAAACTTAAGAACAAGAAGGCGGCAGGCCCTGGAGGGGTCCCGGCCGAAATCCTTAAGGAGCTGGTGGCGACAAAGCCTGAATATGTATTAGCCACTTATAATAAGCTAGCAGGGAAAAGCTGCTTTCCAGCGGAGTGCAAGGCAGCTAGGATGATCCTGCTGAGGAAAGGCGACCATACGCTGGAGAACCCATCGTCCTATAGACCAATCTGCAGAGGGAAAACTTTACGAGCAACTAGTGATTGCACGCCTGCACCGGGAAATTGAGCGTACTGGTGGTCTGTCGGCTAGGCAGTATGGCTTCAGGAGCGGTAGACAAACAGTTGATGCCATAGCAAGGGTTATTGAAATCTCCAACAAGGCTTCAAATTTCGCGCATGCAAATCGTAGACTGGCGGTTATAATAACTCTTGATGTCCGAAATGCCTTTAATAGTGCCTCGTGGCAATTAATCCTGGAGGAATTAAGAAAGCGCCAAATGGACGAAGGCCTAATAAACTTAATAGCGTCATACCTCTCTGACAGGGAGATCCTACTGGAGGCACAGGGACAGGCAAAGGGGATCGGCATATCAAGCGGAGTACCACAGGGCTCGGTCCTTGGACCCACACTGTGGAACGTGCTCTATGATGGGCTTTTTGCGTTGGAGATGCCAAACGGAGTGACACTAATAGGGTTTGCCGACGACATCGGCATGATTGTGGTAGCAAAGAACGAGGAGCTCCTGATGTGCAACGCAAACACGGCGCTACAGAGAGTTGCGCGATGGCTCGAGCAGAGAGGGTTGGCCCTAGCGCCGGAGAAAACCAAAGCAGTGTTGCTAACCACAAAACGGAAGATAGGCCACGTTGTTTTCGATGTTATGGGTAGTGAGATTGGCTTGAGTGACGCTGTCAAATACCTGGGAGTGTGGCTTGACAGAAAGCTAAGTTTCGCTGAGCACGTAAAGCGAACTGTGCGAACTAATGCCAAACATAGGCGGACCAAGATCATCCAAACGGAGACTTCTAGCGAGTGTGGTACACTCTCAGATACTGTATGGGGCCCCAGTCTGGAGCAAGATTACCGAGAATAAGAGACTAATAGCTGTGTTATCAACACCACAAAGAAAGCTATCACTGAGAGTGTGCAGCGCGTACAGAACGGTGTCCACGGAGGGAATTAGCGTAATAGCGGGGATCCCGCCGATAGCGCTACTTATAGAGGAACGGCGGCAAAGATACTCAGGAGCAACAAAAAACGAAGCACGAAATATCCTCCAAACCAGCTGGCAAAAGAAATGGGACACGGGGACCTATGGCCGATGGACACACCAGTTAATCCCGGACATACAACAGTGGATTAATCGCCCGCGTGGGGAAGTGGACTACTTTCTCACGCAGGCTCTATCGGGGCATGGTTGCTTTGGAAAATATCTGTCCGACCGAGGATGCGCCCAGACCAGTGACTGTCAGTACTGCGGCCTGTTGGACGACGTGGAGCACACACTGTTTCACTGCCACAGGTGGAAGGAACAAAGAACTATGTACTGATGGGTGGAGAAAATACGTGGGGGGAGGCGTACAGAGTGATTCGGAAAATTATCGAGACCAAGGAGAGAGATATTAGGGCAAACCGTAGTACATAGGTGGAGAACCTGAGACCGGCCCTTGTACCGAAGTAATGCGTAAGCGGTTTCCGGTACAAAGGTGCCTGCGTGGTAGATAGGGTGGGTTTTTTTAGTCGGTAGGCGGCAACACCACACTCTGTGTGGTGTCTGAATCCGACACAAGGCTAGCCAATTAAACACCAGGCTAGTATCGTCTTTTGAAGATTTTTTTAGCACCCTCCAATATATATATATATATATATATATATATATATATATATATATATATATATATATATATATATATATATATATATGATGACACTATATTCCGGGATATCATCCGTTCGCTTGTTGAACTCCGACTGGAATCCTGCAGACGTTTCGCCAAAATCTCACTTGACATATTCAATGCTGCCAGTGTTCTTCCTTTGTCTAGTACGCCCCGGTGTCGTACATTTGATAGAGATAGAACCAGAACTGCTTATGAACCTTCAAAGACCGTCTTTACTTATTATGGATAATGCACGATATCATTCTAGTGTACCAAATGCATCGACACGAAAAGAAGAAATGGTCTAAAATGTGAGTTGTTAAAAATTACCAAAAATTATAAATAAGTTTTGAGATTGTCTCTTACCATTGTATATTTAATGCCGTAGAACTGGTGTGGGCTCAGTGCAAAATATATCTTAATAAAGGCAAAGCACGGTGATCGGTTTGAAATGCAGATCTCCAGGCAATTACCAAAGAAAACTGGAGCAGTTGTATAATACGTACAGGAAATATTAAAAAAGAATATTGGGAAAAACAGGTGATTAACTATGGTTACTGTTTATTACTCCAAAACCGCAACCCCTTATAGAATACCTTGCTGAGCGGGATATAAGTATATTTTCAATCTTTTTCGCAGTGCAATTCTTGAAACACGTGCATAAAAAAAATCACATAACATCATTATTACTATACAAAATATCAGTCACTTAAAAACTCATCACTATCACTAAGTGTCGTCACTTAGTTCAATCATCACTATTCGCTCTCGATAAATATTTTCTTCTTTTATTAATCGTTTTTCACAGTTAGACCAGCTTCGTACTGATATTTTAGCTACCTCTTGCCGTGCTTGCGGTGCAGTGCTTTTCTTTTTATATGCACTTTCAACGCAGACCAAATCATCTCAATCGGGTTAAATATACAATGATACGGTGGTAATGTCATGATTTCATGTCCGTTTTGTTGTGCTATCGAATCGATTTTGTGGTCTTTATTAAAATGTCTTATTTTCAATAATTCCACAAGCTGTTTTTCGATCTAGTTCTCTTCAAAATATAAATCATTTTCGTATAGAAACTCTTTAATTTCTTCTTAATTTGGGCTGAATGATACGAGGCATTATCCAACACAATCCAAATGGCGATGGTTTTGGGCAACAGTTTAGTTACAAACCAGTCCTCAAATATTTCCGCGGTCATGTTTTCATCCACACTTGAATCGTAGACGTTTATGGCAGACAAAAATGACCTATCTTCCACCCAACCATTTTTGGACTGAACATGAAGCATTTGGAACTAAAAATCCATTTTCTTCAAAAAATTACGCAACGACTCTGTGGAACAACTAATATTTACTCCGTCAGTGGTTTTTTATACAGTTCCTCTAGGGATAAAAAACTATACACTTCATAAGCGTCTTAGATTATACGCCTATACGCATCTTCCCTCACTTTCCTTTTTACTATCCCATTTGCAACAGTTTTTCTTATAGTTGACTTCGGCACTTTGGTCATGTCACTTGTGTTTATTGCTGCTCCTACTTCCCCTTCAGAATTTCTCATAAAATTGTCAATATTCAAAATAATTTGTTTAATATCCGAAGACCAATGGATCCGTTTTTTTATTTGCTGCGACAGTTCGTCTTCTAAATTGTCATTAGGTTTGACTAAATTCTGTGTTGTTTTCCATGTCTTCTAACAGGGGAACATCTGCTTCATTCCACGGTCTCCACATGTTAAAGTGTGAAAAAAACAGGAACCATTAAAAAATGTTTAATTGTAAGATTCTAATAAATATTTATCTGTATTCTTATGACGCACATATACAGTCTTAAAAAAGAATCGAACAACTATGTAGAAGACACAAAAATACAGATAATCGACAGGCACACACAAGACAAAAATGAGTATTTTCAAACTTACCAGTACCAGAGTACAGGTACGAAGAATCACATACTTATTGGAAGGATCACAGTCAAATACCTCAGTAATATAGCAAGCAATCAATGCTTAACCAAATTTAAACCGTCCGAAATAAAAATTTCAAGTTTCTACAAATATTCATTACGGTTCATCTCAGGCTAGACCTACTTGACGCAAAATAAACATCTGTTGGGATGCGTTTTACCACGGTCCTGCGAAGGTCAAAAGCACTATATTTTTGGTCGTGTTATACGCGAATAAAACCCTACAGACTCGGAGGATATTATCTCATAATCCAAATTAATAATACTGAGAATAAGTCTGAGAATACGAGTTCTGCGGCAAAATCACCGAATGTCTCTGCTACCTACCGCCCGATAAATAATCAAAAAATTCCAGCTTGGGTAATTAAAACTTTTCGATTTTTTTTTATGATAAAACGATTTTCGTAATCGCACTCACCTTAGGAGAAATACACTCGCTACTACGATGAATGTCCTGGTTTTCCTTCAGCCTTCTGGCCCATTCGACGCCGCCGCTCGGACCGATCGTCAAGTGGTGCGACGGTTCGGTCTAAACAAAACCGGTAAGATATTTCCGACACGACCGAAACTAACAACGTACTGATGGTCTTACTTCGGAGGGGATCCATTCCTTCGATTTCCTCGGCTTATAGGGCGGGATCTGTTGAATACTATCCGGCGTGATCCCCAACGGTGTTCGATGACTGGAAGAAGACGTGCTCGCGGAAGTACTGGGAGTCGTGGGTGACGGTACCGGCGTGGTGCTAGATATCAGCTTCTTCAAGTCGGATTCGGGAGTTTTCATCTTTTCGTCGACTTGTTTGGGACGAGAGGGCATAACCGACCCGTGACGTATCGGCGATACGGAAAACCTTCCGATGGTTCTTTCGTTGATCTCTTCCGGGGATGGAGATGGCGTGGCGGTCGCGGCAGTTCGACTAGAATTCCTGCGAGCCCATTCAATCTTCGCCATTTCGGTTGCCAACCAACCCGGTATATCGGGGATGGCGCAGGTAATAATAAACCTGATCACCAACATTATGTGCTGTAAATAAAAGACGATTTAAAAGCTTAACTAGACCGCTCGTCTCATGGGTCGCGTTTTGGAAGTTTTTCGAAGGGCTGAATCTGAATTTGAATCTGGTAGCCAAGCAGTTGGTTTTTTGGAAGAATTAAAGGAAGTTAGTTTGATAATGTTTAGATATTTCTATGGATTCTCGGATTATATGAAAGAATTTTAGTTGGGTCCAATAAGATTTGATGTCCGGTTTCGTGATTGTATTCAGCAGCTGCTGATGAGTTCATTTGTCTTAGTCTTAAGGGCCTTTTATCTTTTTTTTAGCCTAGTTGATATTTCCTTTTTCTAACATTAATCTTTGTCCTGATATCTCAAACGAAATTTCTTCTTTGACGGATCACAGAAATTAGTCACTTGCGATTAAGATTGTTTGGTTAGTTTAGATGTTTAGATATTCATATGAATCCTCGGATTATATAAAAGAATTTTACTTTGGTCCAATAAAATTTGATATCCGATTTCATAATTGTGCTCGCCAACTACAGATGAGTTTATTTGTCTTAGTCTTAAGGGTCTTTTATCTTTTTTTAGCTTAGTTGATATTCCCTGTTTCTTCAATGTAATCATTCTTTGACGCATAACTTCTGGCATCTCAAACGGAATTTTGTCTTTGACGGATCGAAGAGATCTTTGGACAAATGGTAAATCTCGTTTTGACGTTATATTTCTTTAGAACTTGTGGGATTGCTTTCGGCCTCATTGCTATTGGAAGGTTGCGGTGAAGTGTATTGTGTGCTCTGCTTAATATTTTTAATGTGGAAATTATTAGAGAGAAGAGGAGAGGTAAAGTATTTTAATTCTGGGTTCAGTGACTCGGACTGAGATAGTTTTACGGTTCTGTAAACGAGAGAGTTGATAAACGATGATTTTTGGGCCGGATGGTGATGTAAATACAATGACCCAATGTCAGGTCTGATTTTCTATTGATAAGAATATCTAATTCAATGATAATGTTAGGGTGAATAGAGTTTAAATGTCTAGGAAAATCTACTAGGGATTCTTGACCACGAGGCCAAATAACAAAAGTATCATCGACGTAGCGTTTCCATAATTTTGGTTTTAGATGGAAGGTGTCGAGAGCTTTCATCTCAAAGGCTTCCATATTCGCGATGACTGGTGATAGTAGAGAACCCATAGCTGTTTAGTTTGTTTAAAAAATCGACCGTTATAAGAAAAATATTAATTAATTAATTAAGGTGAGAAGGTTTGGTTCCAAATTCTCGGATCTTAATATAGTAAAATGAGATTCTACGTCGAAACAAACCAAAATATTTTGTGTATCTAATGTAACGCTTTTTAATTGTTTGTTAAGGGTTTTAATAAGGAAGTCATATATTTTTCTAGATAATTTGTTGGAGAACCAAAAGTGCTGACAATAGGTCGACAAAAACCGACGCAGGAGGAATCCAGAAGTTTTGTAAAAAGTATTACAGTAGCCTGTGGAAGTTTCTTTCAAAAATTTAACAATACTACAGTTAAAAAAAAAGGTATTCTTTGCAATTTTCTTGAAAGGGACGCGTTTCTATTTGATTTAAACAGGAAAAAAAAGTATCGAAAAAAACTTCCACCAAAAGTGACAAAAAAGGTGATTAATAGTGCAATAATAAAAATACCTCGAGTGCTACGATCAACAGGATCGTCTGGGTCGCGGTCATGTCGGGAAACATCCTGTGAACCTGACCCGACAAACCGATAAGCGCGCAATTGACCAGCACCGCCATGATGCTCATGTATTCCATGCAATTCTGCAAGCAAAACCGCACACGGACCGCGATAAGTTTTGGGCGATTCTCGGGGAGTTACATAGAGAAAACTAATGAAAAAGAGAGTTGCAGATTGTTTTTGTCATATTGAAACTGTAGCGCCACTGTGAAGTACAGGGCGAACTATTTTTTTTGGTGCCAGGTGGAGGCTAATATGAATAAGAATTTTACAAAAAGGTGCTTTTTAACTGACATCGTTTCATTTCAAAAATAAAAAATATAAAATGCAACAAAAAGCAAAAATCATAGGGCGGAACCGTACCATAACTGAAAACTAAAATAATGGCAGTTGCCAAACAGGAAGTATGAAGAATGGGGACTATCAGTTAATCGAGAAAAAGGCCAGCATCTGGGCATCGGAAGCGAGGAAACAGAAGATTCCAACATAAACCAACACGTTAAGATTAAAGTGAAAAGTGAAGCAGTGATCGTACAGAAAGAGAAATAGAACAGAGAATTATAAAAGGAAAACAGATTACAGGGTGCCTAAATGATGTTCTGTGGTCTAAACAAATCTCTCGAGATAGAAAGCGTTTCATATATAACACGGTTTTCAAAAGATACGGATGTCAAACATGGCAAATCAAAAGAAATCTAGAACGTCGCCTGAAAATGGACTTTTGGAGAATATATAAATAAGGTGAGCTATAACAAGAAAGTTTTCCATATTTTCTTTTCCAATGTAAACTAAACGAATACAAAAGAAATACTACACTGTATCCCGCGACTGAGGGGTATGTCCGTTGTTTGTGAAGACAGAGCGTTGCGTTTTCGCACACTTTTGGTGCATTTTTGTGAATCTAAAGATGACGTTAACAAAATTTTCATGACTTGCTTAGTTTTTAAAATACAGGATGATTTTGAAAATTTGACGTTTTGGATTACCCCTTGTATCTCGGGTATCCTATGAAAAGTCGCAAAGGTGAAAAGCGCATCCGATATAGATTTTTAGGTATATTTCAGTATCGTAGTCAGCTTTTTTAGAAATGGTTACTGAACGGAACACCCTATATCTTACAGCCGAATTTGATTACGCTTCTCAAAAATGTACGAGGTTATTGTATAAATGGCTTCAATAAAATGAAGGATTTAAAATAGTTACCTTATTTTTTCCTGACAGAATAACTTTTATAATTTGCACGAAGGCAATTTATTTTAATATTAACATTTTACGTAGCTTTATGACCAATATATTTTATTAAAAAAGCTAGATATAAAAACAATTATTTAAAATGCCAAGCTCAAAAAAATGATCAAAACGTAGGCCATGCGTTAGAGAAGCACACTGTTTCAATCCCAATTGATATTTATTTTACTATTTAAATGTGGCCACAAAAAAAATGTAAAACGCTTCTTAGGCCAATTATCTCCAAAATTTTATGCGCTCTACACCAAAGATAGAACGTCCGATTTCTAGAAGGCTCAATCTACACCGCGAGGATCTCTCATTGATATCCACCTTTAGTAGAAGTAGAGATTCTACGCGACGTGAGGCAAGAATGTGTTCTGTCGCTGCTGCTATTTCATTTATACTCTGAGTCGGAAGCAGACCAAAATGTAACAATTGGTGTCCAATGTTAATGGAACATTGATCACTCACCCAGGATACTCAGATGGTGGTTTGTTAATGCTAGAAAATTCGGAAGATCTACAGGAGCTTTTTGATACCGTGAATGCAGTCGGTAATCGGCATGGAATAAAAATGAACATTCAAAGAACAGTCGGCGGAGAAGAACTCGAGAGAGTTAGCAAATGCAAGTATCTTGGTACTTTCATCGCAGAGAATAAAAGCAAAATAGAACTATCTTCAAAATGAACACATTTCTGTATAACTATAATCAATCTATAGAACTCCGGAAAATGTTTTCAGTGTTATACGGATGGAGGCATGGACTCTCTCAGAAATGTTGTTGAAAAGAATAGCGGCCTTCGAAATGTGGATGTACAGGGCCTGAGGATCCCGTGGACACACACCATCAAGGGATGAACACTCGAATATTTTGGTGGTGACAAATACAATTTGCAGCAGCTCGTGCAGGATAAAACATATCTGGTTGAAAGATCAAAGGAATAAAACATCATTGCAAATGTTTCAATTTGCGGTTTCCAAGGTGAAGATTGCTGCTATGTTAGTCGTCAAGCTTCGAGCATAGGAGATGGTACAAGAAGAAAACGAGAAGGAAACGTAAATCTGATAATAGCAAAAGTAATCTTAAAAAGACACCAAAACCCCTTAGGCATTTTATTTAACTATGCCATAACCTCACTTTCAATTTACATTTGTTTTGGACTTTTAGTTCATTTTTTCCCAATAAGAATAGGAAAAGGAAAATCTGATAACAGGAAAAGAAATCCTAAAAAGGCACGAAAACTCTTTCAATTTAATTTTATTGTGGGGTTTAGGTTCATTTTTTCCCAACATGACATAATAAATAAAATGAGCATTTTGTTTTACAGATCTGGCCGAAGAAGAAATCCCTGGTTAAAAGATCCAAGCAAGTGATGCAATAAAACATCACTTTCAATTTACCTTTGTTTTGGAGTTTTAGTTCATTTTTTCCCAATACGACAAACAAAAACACATTACGAAACAAAACAATAATAAGTTAAAAAGAAGGTATTTTTCTTTAAAATTCGGTAGCTTTCCGTTTACTTGTATTCGCACCAATTCATTATAAACAGTAAACGATTTGTCGTAACTCAACAGCCACAGTATAATGATACAACTCTTTTTAGTAGTTTTATCTATGGTAAAGTAGTTACCTGCCAGGTGCCTATGTTGGGAACCCGCTGACCGAAAGGTCTCTGACAGACGTAGGCGAGCTTGAACGCGTCGCTACGAATCTCGACGAGATTGTTTAGCATCGCGCACAATGCGGCGGGCGGGAAAGCGGAAGAAAACAATATTACGTAACCGAGTTGGATGGTCATTTCCAAATAATCGGCGAACGTTCCGTCGTACTGAAAGTATTCAATAAGGAACGCTGGAAATGCGTAATGACGTCATATCGGAGACAAAAAAAAACATGTTCCCCGTTTTGCTTGCTTTGCAAGAGTGATATTAGCTATTTTCACGTGATCGACCCCATTAATAGATCCATTAATTAATAGATAGATTTGTTTTTAGAATTATCTTATAAAATGAATTTATTTAGTCAAATTCGCAACAATATTGGTACCCAAACGGTCTACAAGTAAATACAATATAGAAACAAGACATAATAAGACAAAATATAAAATTTCCATCACTTGTACATTCTGCCATAAAGGAAGTAGCATCCAGGGAGTGTATTACTTAAAGTGGCACAATACAAAATATATAAAGGTACTTTGTTCTTATGATTCGTTTTTGGGCAATCGATGTGCACACGGTCACTCCAAACGACAATACAATACGATAGTGCGAAGTTAGATGTTTCCACCACATAAAAAAGTACTCATTTCATTTTGTTAATAACTGATTTAATATCACTCCCAAGAGAGGTTAAAATCTAAGTTAATGCCCAAAAATTTTACTACTTTACTCTGCTGAATAGAACACACTAACTGAGATTCTATAAGAGAAAAGAACTGATCCTGTTTCAGTCATAATCCAAACTAGGCATCTTCAGAACTTAGCACAATAAGAGTGGTATCATCTGCAAATAATAATAGCTTACCCAATATATTCAATGAACTGTGGTACATCCCTGTCAATTACACTCTTTTACAGTCACTCTCTGCAACCGTTCCACCAAATATGTGGATAGCCCAGTATAAGTTAGACTCCTGCTACATTTATAACATCCTGTGAAAACTGAACCCTCAAATAAGTTATTGAATTTAGTTAGAAAGGTAACCAGTTTGGTCTAATAAGCTTTTTCATAAATTTTAGGAAAAAACTGGCCTTAAAACTGTCTATGGTCCTTTTTATACAGGGTTTCCAAATAATGTGTCAACGCAATATATTTCGTTTATTATATGTTTTAGAGAAAAATTTTAAATACAATAAATGAGACTAAAAAAAACCATTTAAGAATATTTTCAAACATACAGGGCGATATATAAATATGTGAAAAATCAAAATTATATATTTTTAAAATGGAAGATCTTTTATAGTAATATGGGTTGTTGTGTTTTTCGTAAAAAATGGAACGTGTTTTATATCCTATATTTTTGAAACCGTTTCGACAGCTGTAATTTTATTATGCCGACAATAGTTCGAATTGTTAATACAGGATGAGTCGAAATAAAAAATATCAAATGGAAATAGAAGCATTGTCTATACCAAAAGTGAGGAATACACATTTTTACGAAGAAATTTTCGAAAATTTATCAAATTATGAGAAGACATAGCAATAAGCCAAGAAAAATAAGAATAAATTTAATTTTGTAAAAAAAAATCTGCCTTTTTTAAAACAAATAATAAGTGAGATATATTATTTTGACACACTAATTGGACACCCTGTATATTGGCTTTGCAACTGCCTTTTTCAGAGGTACTGGAAAAAAACTCTACCTGAAGGACTCAGTGATAAAAGCTATCTAGCAAATAAAAAAGGTTTGAAACTACACTTTTAACAAAGAACGAGAGTTTAGCCTAATAGTTATTTTTATATTTAGCTGGAAATGAATTATTTTTGCAGTTTTGTTGTAATTTTAAGATGATAATAATCAGAGTATTAATCCCACAGTGATATTCATATTCTTGGACTTACTTTTATCAAGCTGAAACTTGAAAACAATTTAATCCATTTAGTAATTTTTGAAGCAAATAAATTTCATACAGGCCACTGTCATACTGTTAACAAATCTTCCGGATTCCTCCAGCGTCGGTTTTTGATTCATGAAACTTGAGAACGTTTGAAACAATGGTGAAACAGTTTCAGTTAAGCAAGTTCGATTTATCAACAACCAACGAAGGATATTTTGGTCTTGTCCTTAAGGCAATTTACAAATGCAAAAATCGACACCGCGAAAATAGCTATTGTCATTTTAGGGATACAATCATAGAGGAATTTTGGGACAACCACAAATATAAGACCTCCTTTTTTAAACATTCGCCATGGAAAACATTTCAGTAAGTTGTCTCAAAATCTGTTCATGCAAAATAATACGTTAACTTGAGCCGTTAAAACGTCATTAGAAATTCATGAAAATCAAATTATGGGGTGACCCAAATGTGTGAAGTGTGACGTTGCACATTATGTACCGGGTGAGTCAGCGATCGAGTAAAGTTTATTATCTCGTTGGCTTCAAAACTTATAGGAAAATGGTAAATACTAAACTCGTAAAGATTGTCAGAATGCACAATTTAAAATTATTTTACAGTTTTTAGGGCGGCTCAAAAAAGTGTAACGAATAAAACATATATTTTTGTTTATTTTTTATTTTTAAAATTTTGTTTTGATTTTCTTTTAGAATTCTTCGACTTTATTTTAGTAATGATGCATACCTAAACCTAAACCTAACAGTTTTTCCAATATCTTAATTTTTCTAAAAAAATACTAGTTTACTCACTTGCAAAAAAATTACGACAGTTCCATTATTTTTTAAGATATTTTTAAATTTTATGAATTTATTTACTCAGTTGTCATGTAAACACAATAATGACGCTACCTAATTTGTAAAGTGTAAAAGCTAGAATTTTTTTTAGAAAAATTAAAATATTGAAAAAACCATTAGGTTCAGGTATGTATCATTATTAACAAAGAGGTTAAAGAATTTCAAAATGAATTGAAAAGAAAAATTTTAAAAAATGTTGTATTAGTCACGCTTTTTTGAGCCACTTTGTATGTTTTTCAAATAATTGTACATCCTAACAATCTTTACAATTTTTGTATTTAAGATTTTCTCATAAATTTTAAAACCAATGAGAACTCTATAGTTGACTCACCTGTACCGCCATCTTTTAAAAATTTTAGCTTCCTTTTGGCCTGGAAACGTGACCCAGCTGTTTATGAAAGTATTTTTCTATATTTCCAAAATAACATTTACTTAATCTTGTTTACTTGTTAACTTTGAATATTTGAAACAAAATAGTTATTAAATAGTGTCACACTTTGAACATTTTAGAAACGAAACAAAATTTAAACGATAGAAGTCAAAAAAGAGAATACCTACAAAGTACAAACCAAAGTTGCGATGTGAACATATATCTATAAGATAATATAGTGGCCCTGCTACAGTAAAAAGAAATGCCCCGCAGGTGGCTATGATATTTTCGTAGAGAAACTAACTGAGTTGCCACATTTCCGTAATTTTTCTGAAAAAATTGACTAATTTTCATAAGAACGCAAAATCAGTCTCTGAAATCCGAATATAATTGGCAACGCCGAACCAGGAACTGCTATTGCCAGGGGCTACTAATAGTCTGTGTCATTGTTTACATTTTTGGTGGTTATGATTCTCGCTGTAGTTTTTTTGGTGTTTTTGCGAAAAACTTGTGTCTGTGGACAAAACTGTAAGGAAAAAATATGCCTATATAAGGGTAAGGGTTGCCTTACGTAAAGTTAATATAAAAGATTTAAAAGTGGTTTCGATAGCCACATTTCGCGAATTCGACTTTATTTACATTTTCTATACAAGTTTATTAAAACATTCTGTTTGCTCCGATTTACGGGCACAAATTCGGGAAAAAATAGCTGGTATCGTGTCTATAGCGCTACAGAATTATACTAAAGACGCCGGTCCGTGGTACTCTAATTCAGCATAACATTAACTCTGCACTTGTCGCTAATTTTTTTAACAACACTTTTTACAACATTATTCCTTTTCGCGTGAAAATTTAATGGGATTTCGACATATTTTGAGAAAATACTGCATCCAAATATTGACGACCTGCCAGCGGCCATGTTGGTTGTTGAAAGCCGCAAGGCCTTATGGGTAGAACGTCATTAGTTAAAAATGAAAATTCAAATCTCGCGCACGTGCACATTGACCAGACCTCCTCAAAATTTTGGTACATAGTTGCTTCACAAGTTCCTGTACTATTAGCATAGGCAGGGGATGTATATATCTAGTTTTTTTTCCAGATTTTCAAACTTGGGCCACCCCATAACCAGAACCACATCTTCAAGTGGGATAAGGGATGCATCTAGAGATTCAAAACACAATCGACATTGCAAAATTTGACACCCCTCTTGGCAACAAAACTGGCGCGACATTTTTTCAAAAATACTGTTTGGAAATTTTGTTTTTTTTGTTTTTAATAAAATGCTATAATTTTTGCAGGGTTGTGTCTAACATTTTAATGGCTTATACTTTCAGTGTCAAATTAATATACTCTTATATTTCTTTTCTTCATATGTTATCTAAAAGTCACCTTTAGCTTATTAAATTACAAAAAATGTGTGGGGGGGGGCGGGGATAAATTTAAATTAAAATTGTCAAATTACACCCAAGTGAAAATATTATTAAATTAATTATATTAACAATAAAAAAAAATAAATTATGTTACGGTTGCTACAAATTTTCTACCTCGTCTCTGAGACAAAAGTAAAGTGAGCTTCCAGGCAAAACTAATTTCTATACAGCAAGTTGAACAATTTTCGGAAATTATTCATCTAAAAAATAAATGAGAAGCAAGTATGTACAAAGCAAGGTTTGTTTGGAAACCGATATCGCATACACAAATGAAAACTGCAAACTGCAAGTGTGTATTCTCAAAGTGACAGATAGCAAGACACAATTAAAGAAGTGGAAAGTAGAATTTAGAATAGGTTTTGAATAAATACGTCCTAAAACTCACTTGAGCTTCTCTTTTTTAACATATTTACTGTTCACCTTATAGAGCGAGCTCTCTAACTCAGCCTGGCTCATGCTCCTTTTAACTGGCTGTTCGGGCGGCATTTCTTCCTTCTGATTTTCCGATGCATTTTCCTGCTCGACAGCTCCCGGCAAGGGTTTAGATCCTACGGGGCTCAGAGCTCCCCACAAATCGAAACTCATTTTAGCGAACCTCAAATGCTCGAGCATGTACGGCAGGGCGGATTCTTTCAAATTGCCGATCACCTGTCTCGATATTAGCAAGGCCGCCAATTGCTAAAAGTGAACGGGAATGACCACGAGAAGTCAAACTAATAATTCGCTTGGAATTCTCGTTTCAAAATCTTAAATTTAAAACTTAAAAAAATTTGAAAAAAAAAAAACTTTTGGTATCTTTTTTTTTTTAAATAAAACAATACATACCTCTTTTAGCCTGGCCTGATCTTGTAAATAAAAGGCAATGTAAAACAATGACAGAAATGAATTGACAAACTGGAACTGTAATTAAAAGATCAGGTTAGAGAAAAATAGAAAACACTGGACCTCAATGCAAAAATTTGTCTTGAAAGAAAAAATATGAAAAAGGAAGTTATGAAATTTTGCAAATTGCATATTGTAGTACAAATCTTTGAATCAAGGCCAAAAATATTGTCTAAAGTCTACCTAATCTAATAGAATTAGAAACGTGTTAAAAAGAACCTAAATTACTAAGTGCATAAAATCGCAATAAAAATACAAACCAAGGCGACTTTGCCAATGAGATGATTTTCATACTTCGTTTCAAGCCTGTAATTCTCTGAGCAGCATTCCAGAAAATTATTGAAAGTAAAAAAACACTAATTCGTATTTGACTATATGCTAACAATATCGATCTTTTCTTCAAGCTTCGGTCCGATAGTCAAGACTCGCCAAGCAAAAAGGGCAAAAGAAATTTACTAATCGTTAAAAGGGTTCAATGTTCCATAAATACAGAGTTTTCTCTAAGAGTCTAAGAGTCTCTAAATTTTGGTAATTGTAGAGCAAATGGGAAAAAATGTATTTGTAACTGTACTTATTGATTTTAAAAAAAATCTAAATTGTATTTTCACTTTTGCTCTATTTATTCCATATGAGCTGTATCACAAAGTCACTCACCTTTATCGTTAAGCCACACGGCAACTTTGAAGTAGGCCTCATCCATCAGGGAAATCACAACGGCTAACATAATTTTCGGCAAATACCCCAACCAATGAAACAGTCCCCTGTTGGTCAAGAAAGCATCCCACCAGTCCTAAAATTTTTATTCAACAGCACTATAAAGCTATAAAGTTTGAAACAGGAACTTTACCTGTATCTGTAAAGATATAATCATAACTAAGAAAACGGTTATCAAAGATACCGCTATGATGGGCACAGAGACGCAATATCTAAACACGTGGCGCTTCCAAGTCGGCTGGAACGGTTCCAGCCGTCCGGTGACCGCGCTGGGCTTCAAAGGCCCCTGGAAACAAACAATAACATGCCGCGGTAGCTGTACAACGACATGTTATGAATCTAAATGTAATCGGCTATAGAAAAAAGCAGCAAAACTAAAATTAACAAACGTCAATTAATTTAACATGCAAAGTTCAGGAAATAATTTTAATCGGTAACCATTAATATTAGTAAAGTTTGGCCACAAAAGAAAATTGAACCAGAAATCCTAAAAACTCACCCTAAAAAGAGGCCTTGGCTCGGCCAACAGATCGTCCCTTTGATCGAGTGTTCCCCATCTGAAAGCCAACTCAGCAGAGTATCTTTTCCATGCCTGAAGATAAGTTGTCACCCAGACAACATTAAAAATTGAAAACACAACATATCCTATGTCTTCTAAGGTCTGGTGCTTGCCATTGCACAGCAACTAAAAATTAAGTAATAATATAAGAAACTAAAAAAAAAAATTGAGCTTACCCAAAAAAAGAAACCAACCAATGCCGGAATGCTTAAAGCGGTTGTGTAGTGTCCCAACCAAGCAAAATACATACCAATTTTGACCCCAAAATATTCAGTAATTTCATCTGAAAGCACATCCCTATTGAACCCTTCAGGAGTAAATTTATAGCAAAGTTACCAAGAGGTTGCCTGGCGAAAACGTCCCTCACCCAGCCTTGTTGCAGCCTCTCCAAGGCCAAAGGTTCATGAAGAGGAAAAATTTGTGAAATGCAATTTGATGTTAAACATTTAGGTACTGAAATTGTAAAAGAAAGAAAATAAAAACTAACCAAAACTATGTCACATATATCAGCCAAAAAAAAACCAACAAATACCTATGGGTTGTCCTTCCAAAAATGTAATATTTGGAATGGCATTCAAGTCAGTCTTTTTTGCTCTAACACTCTCAAGCAGTCTCAAAACCAACCACTGCTTTTCTTCTGTAGTAAAAAAATTATCTCGGTCATCACATCCTTCATAAAATTTAAATTCTTTGACCAGAAATTCTTTTAACCCTCCGCCTTTTGATTCCTTTAAGGGTTTTGGCAAATGATATTCTTCAGCTGCTTTTAACAACCTGAAAGTGGACCTTAAGCCTCAAAATGGTTATTAGAAGTGCAAATATTACAATGGAAATGGAGCTGTAATGTAAAATGCACTACTCTGAGTTGATGCATGATGTCTGACATGCACTGTAAGACCCGGCGATTCCCTAAGTTTAGATAATAACCAAAGAAGAAACTGATCCTCAGCTCCTGGTGGAAACACAAGAACAACATCACAATTGGCTGTTGATACTTTCTTAAGCCATAGTTTTTTGGGGGCTAGAAAGTAGCCCGCGCAAGGAATTTTTTTCTTTAATAACTCTGATGCTGTCAACAAATAAGGGTATTAATTATTCTTCTAGAATTAAATACTAATAGGGAAAGTTCACCTTGTCCAATTTTCTCTTTGGCGCATCTTACGAGTTTCCTTCTTCGCAATGTTCCAGGTCCTTGTTCCTGAACATCCAGCTCTTCAATTTCATCGTTGGCAGACATAACGAAAAATCAAAAACAATGCGACTGGCTTTAAAACGTTATTTAAATAAAACGCAAAAATTCAATAAGTTTCACCACGGTATAAATTATCTACAGAACAAAACAACAAAACGTAACTTTTTTAATCTATGGTGCAGTAGATCATATAGATATTAGAATTAGAAAGATCATTTGATATTGCCACCTATGGGCGTCAGATATATGTGATTAAGGCCATGACAAAATCTCTAAAAAATAAAATTGAATTTTAGTTAATCTGCTGATAATTAGATGTAAAAAAGAAACTGAAAATTGCAGTTGAAATATATAATTAAATTTTTAATTTCCCTGGTGATTTTAACCCATATCACTAAAAAAAACATAAAATTAAGCACACACGTTTTTTTTTCTTAATTCACTATTTGATGAGCTACCTAGAGATAAGATTCATAAATTGTACAGCTATAATTTCGATCTTGGCATTTAACAAATAAAGCAATACTTTGAAAATGAAAAATATGCACCATCTGTAAATAAAAGAACATTTGATGACGCAATTATTCCATCCTAAGTGTCATTAACAAAATGTGCACAAAAGAAAAAGCCTTTTGACGAGTAAAAAAAAAACAAATTTGAATTCCTGAAACCTTAAATGCAGTTTTCTAAATAAACAAGAGTTTTTGATGGAAATATTTAATGAAACACTTCTTTTTACACTTCGCAAAAATTTTTCGTGAATAATTTGCGGTTGAGGTTGGGACATAATTGGGGATTCGTTTTTCCATATACTGCGCCATACGTCACGCACGTTAATCGATTTTGTGAATTTGTTCAAAGGAATTCCCATTCGCTTGGTGTCTTTATTTCGACTGGAATGTATTAAGTTTAGCAGTTAGTTCGAATTGCCTATTCATTAGTTTAACAATACCCACTTAAAGACAACTTGACAATGGATAATAACGTCGACGGTCACAAATTGGAGATTTCCGGTCGAACAGTAAATGAAGACCCAAAGGAAACCTATAAGCTTTTGGCCGACCCCGATATGGAAGGTAAACTTGCATGGTCAGCTAAAAAACGAGTTCAACGGGTATAATTGTGTTTGATTGCAGAAGAAGCAATTTCACGACCCCAATCTTTAGTAATTTCAGCGGATGGAGCAGATGAGAAGATGCTGGCTAAAAATGACGGAATATCACAATATTCTAGCCCAACGAAAAATTCCATTAGTGAAAAGTTTAATGGAGATTCTAAATTAGATATTGGTAAGTTTTGATATGAATAGTAATTGTATTTAAACATATTTAAGCAACTTTGTGTAAGGAAAACGGCTTGAGGGCTTAATAATGTTTAGAGTAAATTTTAATTTTTAGTGTCTATAAAATATTTTGGCTAGTTTGTTTATTCATTTTAAAATTGATAAAAGTTGAGTATTTGTAGTTTTTCTTTTTAATAAAAGATCACTTAGAAACTTATAATAAAATTAGTATGGAGTCATAAGCAAGGTTCAAAGTTTCTGTTTAATCTTTGGTAGGGTTTTATTAGGAGTGATATGGACCCAATTTCTCCTCTTTTTGTTTCAAAAAACTTGATTTGTTACACTTATTAGGAATTGTGTTCAAAATCGCGTTTTTTAGGCATTATTTTCATTTTTCGGCGGAAATTACTTGAATATTTTATAAGTAATTTGCTATGCCAAGTGAAGAAGATGTTTTAATAAATTTACCAATATTTAGAGGAAATTGTGTTTGTAACAAAAATAATTTCAGATAAATTCGTACATATGCAAAATATTTCAAATATTTTTGCTACTCACAATATTGAGTTTTGGTAGCGAATAGCTTTGAACCCATTGCAAATAATAATTTTCTCGTTTTTAAAAAGCTCAGCTTTACTAATTGGTTTGGGAAAAATGTACTCTGCTTAAATGGAATTTTTTACTCTTAAGATTTGTATATCACCAATAGAACAAAAGAGGTCGTATACAATATTGGCCTAGAAATTGAAAATAACCCAATATTAAAATTTCCTCGCCTTCATTTATTATAAAATTTTTTCATTTTCTTCTTTTAGCAAAAACGGTAAATATTCCATAAAGGATCAGAAAAAATTGTTCTCCATCTAGGCCAAAAGATTAAATGTGCTGATAATTCAGTTGTTTTCAATTACAGGCTAATATTGCATATGCCCTTTTTTTGTTCTGTTGGTAATTTAGGAAATAGTATACATTTCCTTTGTTTTTTCCTAAACCTTACATTCAATTGTTTTTCTGTTTTCACCGTCCTAATCAGTCGAAAAAACGTTACTATTTTGCTAATTTAACCGACTTTGCATCTCTGCTTATAACAATGATGAACACTTAATTTAGATTAGTCTGTATAAGTCTCGCATTGAGAAACAGGGCAATCATTACAGTTTGTCTCACCTTGGGTTATAACGTCCTTCCAATGTTTTTTTTTATTCAGGTGATATAAAAAATCAATTTGTTGGGTTGGGCAAGGAGGAGCTTATGAAGTATGTGAACGATCCGTTCTGGATTCGTGTACGTTGGATCTGTTTCATTGGATTTTGGCTGATATGGGCGGCCATGTTAGTGAGCGCTATCTTGCTTATTTATTGGGCACCGAAATGTAATCCGCCACCGCCGAAAACATGGTGGGAGGAAGGCCCATTGACCGAGGTGGATTCGAGTGTCAAATTTCAAGTGGACGGGAATATCAAAGGTGTTATCCTCACATGGCCCGACGACACGTATGAACCATTTGACGAGTCCCATGATATTATAAAATTAGTTCAGTCTTTCAAAGAGAACAACACGAAAGTAATCATGGACATTGAACCAATAGTTTCCACAAAATGGTTTGAAAGGTCTGAAGAAAATGATCCCGAATTTTCTGATTACTACATATGGAGTGCCGGAAAGAGCACTCTGACAAGTAACGATCCACTTCCCCCCAACAATTGGGTAGGTTCCCAATTTAAAGCTCCACTCCGGGGTAATTATTTTTATCAATTCTCAGGTTAACCAGAACAACACTTCTTCTTGGAGGTACTCCCAAAAAAGAAAGCAATTCTATTACTCCCCATTTGATAAGCCGCACCTAAATTTCCGTAACGAGGAAGTTGTGCATAAGTTTAACGAGGTCATTTTAAGTTTCTTGTCGGCCAACGTCTCGGGCATCCGCCTCCGTAATGCAGCATTCCTTTTAATCGACCCCAATCTTGAAGACGAACCGATCAGGCCCGGTACCAGGGGGCTAGATCACACGCAGTATGGATTCTATATTCATTCCAAGACGGAGAATTTGCTGGAAATTGGCGAGCTACTTAAAAAGTTCAAAAGAGTATTGAGGAATGTGACCGAACAGGCTCCGCTAATGGTCGCTTCGGATTTAGGTAATCCTGAAGCGTTCAAGGTGAACGATACCTTGATCGTAGATTTGCCTTTAGAATCTCACCTATTTTCAAAAACTAGTTTGTTAGTGAACGAAACTGCCAACGGATTGAACTATATCTTTAATATTGAGAAGCTCAGTTGGCCTCTGTGGAAGGTAAGCACTGATTAGTGTTTGTTTCTTTGACGGTTTTGATTCCTTTATTATAATATTGATTTAATTGTTTCTTTTATGCCCTTGGGTGTTTATAATTAAAAATGTCTACAGATCCCTTCAAATAAAATGAGTAAATTTTTCCTGTTTTATTGCACAGTAGCGAAAATATCCCTGTTTTGAATTTTTACCTATGTGTCTAGTCATTTTTATACTCCTATCTTATGTTAAAAATGGCGTCAAATCGTAGTATGTATGTAAAGATTTTCTAAATGTTCTCTTAATAGTTCTTTTTGTTCTAATTGAAAACTTTCATTTTTGTAATAGTATATTATCCTATAATTTGCTAAATGTTATTTTAATAGTACTTTTTTTTTCTAATTGAAAACTTCTATTTTTTGTAATTGTATATTTATATAGTGGGTACGATTTGCCTCGTATAATTTCTGGCATTTTATTGCCCACTATGACAAAGGGTCCATTTGTCTTTGTGATGGTCCTTTTGTAGTCACTAATTAAATCTATTATTATTTAATATTTATCATAAACTTGTTATGTATAATTTATAAATTATAACCTCAGTAAATGATAGAGCATTAGTAACAGAGTGAACTTAATTTGAAACAAGAACATTATTATTACAGTTTCCTCATACTCTGGCAAAGTACTTCTATCTCTTCACATCTTCATCTATCACTTCATTATGTTTTTTTTTCAGGCTTGTACTTTTATTATTACTTTTTGTAGTTGCGACCTGTATATGTTAAATGTCTTTATGATGACCTTATCCGTTCCAGGCAACTACCAAAGCGCTGCCAAAAGATTCTCTCGACATGATAATATATCTTTTGCCCGGGACACCCCTCGTCGACCCATCTGAAGTCATCAACAAGACACTATTGAAGATTAGATCGGGCGGTTCCGTCATGAGGGGCTCTTGTTCCATTTATACGTTACAAAACGATACAGTTTTCGCATTTACTCGGTAAATTAACAACTTAATTAATATTGCAGACCATGAATGTCGCAAATAATTTTAGGGAATATAGGGGAAGTCCCGGTATTCTAGTGGCCACCAATCCTACCGACGACGCAGTCACGGTGGACTTCAAAGCTGCCATACCTTCTTTTGTGGACGTGGAGCAGGTTACCATAAGAACGTTTAGCAGCAGCTACAACGAAACATCTTTTATGGATATTAAGTAAGCTCGTAGCCGGTATCATTCACGGTACGCGAGGAAAACTTATTTTCAGTGGTAAGAGGCCCCCCACAGCAGTTCCTGTCACAGCCAAGTCGACGATAGTACTTGAATACGTGCCAAAAGTAGAAGATGAAGAATAAATTCCACTATGTGAAGTATTAAATGGTAGCTGGTAGAATCTTAAAAGGATTAAAAATAAAGTGACTAAAAATTACAAATTTTGTTATTTCATTTTATGATAAGCACTTTTTTTTTGTTATTTTGTCAATTAATTTTCTTCATTGAATTACTCTCCCACTAGCAGCACATATGACAGGGGCAGAAAAGTTAAAATTTTATCGTTACCGGTGAATCGAAAAATGCACGCTAATGTAACCGTCAATAATTCAATGGTGTATTTAGACTCCCGTCTGTGAAATACTTAGTTATACACCGATCTAGCGTGCGGGAAGCGTCACTTTACCACGTCAGCATCGTTTCCCGCGGATCGGATATTTCCGGGATTTTACCGCATGGGTTTAGGAGCAATCGGATGTTTTCGGAGATATTTCACGCGTCTTGACTTTTGACGTCTATAAAATACCTAATTACACACCGATATAGCGTGCGGGAAGCCTCACTTTCCCACGTCAGTTTCGTTTCCGGACATTTCCGGGATTTTACCGCACTAATTTGAATTTTGACGTTTGTCAATTCTGACTGTTATGTCATTGAATGTATTCGTGTTGTTTTGCGAAAATATACCCAAAAACTAACGGTGGTAGAAAAAGTATACTATGCAACAGGTTCGGTAAACTTTTTAACTCACTCGTTTATTAAAATCTCGCTCCGCTCGTGTCAAATAAACTCGTGAGTCAAATGCCGTTTGCCGCGCTTGTTGCATAATATACTATTTTCTACTCCCGTCTGTAAAATACCTAATTACACACCGATCTAACTTCCGGGAAGCGTCAGTCGTTTCCCACGAATCCGAGCCACTTCGGACATTTCCTGGACATTTCCTCGTGAGTCAAATGTTGCATAATATACTATTACAACACCTTTCTTCTAATATTCCTTAAAAGTTTTGTTTTGTTCTAATTGTGATCATGTACCCTCAAAGGTGCATATACGAGAGGTGTTGAAAAAGTAAGGTGACTTTTGTAATTTTGTGTACATTCGATCTTCGATAATTTTTTTCGTTATGTTGGTACGCATGTCCCGAACGTATGTTCACAGATTCAGCCAGTTTGCACGTTTACGTTTTTTTTGTGAAACAAGCGTTAGACGTGTATTTTGTGCTGTTTGTCTAAAAAAAAAATGGAACAAAGAATTTGCATAAAATTTTGTGTAAAAAATGGAATACAGTGCTGCAAAACACTTTACACGTTGACAACTGCATATGGCGAATCTACTTTGAGCAAAAAAATGTTTATAAGTGGTACCAGTTGTACCAAGATTGCCGAGAAGTACGTCAATAACTGATGAAAGCTTTGAAGAAGTGTTTGGTGTTGAAAAATCGTCGAATCACTATTAGAGAAGTGGCTGAAGGCGTCTATTGGCTCGTGCCATACAATTTCTTCCGAAGTTTTGGACATAAAACGTTTAACAACAAAATTTGTTCGGAAACTGCTTAATTTTGGGCAAAAAGTGGTAATTGGTGACGCATCATGGGTATATGGTTATGACGTCGAGACCAAAGTCCAGTCGTCCTAGTGGAAGAATCCAGAATCGCCAATACCGAAAAAAGCACGCCAAGCTCGATAAGATGTCAAGGTTTTGCTTACTGTTTTCTTTGATTATCATGGCCTAGTACATCGAGAGTTCTTACCACAAGGTTGTACCGTCAATAAAGAGTATTACCCCGAAGTTATGCGCCATTTGCGAGAAGCGATACGATGAAAACGTTCGGAATTCATGGATTTTGCATCACGATAATGCACTGATCATTGCTTGTGTCTAACTTTTTGGACAAAAACAATACCAAAATCATGCGTCCGCCACCAAGTTCACCGGATATGGCTCCCTGCGAGTTTTTCCTGTTCCCAAAACTCAAGAAACCCATGAAGGGAATGACGTTTGGAACGACTGAAGAGGAAAAGAAAAAATCGCTGGAAGAACTCAAGGCTACACCAGGAGTGCTTTGAGGATGGGAAAAACGTTGGAACAAGAGTGTACCTGGGGGATTACTTTGAACGGGACAATATTAATTTAGATGAATAAATAAATATTTTTTGGTAAAACTTAAAAATCCCCCTACTTTTTGAACACACCTCGTACATATGTATGTTTTTGTTATATTGTTATAATTTGGATCAATAACCTGTTATGGTGACGTAATTTCCTAGGTCCCAACGATGTTGTAACCGATATCTACTGTGACGTGCAGTACTCGAAACCCCTGAGTAATTCTGCATCAGTTGGGAAAAACCAAAAACTGACTTTTTTAATGTGGATTAAAATCGTTATAGTATTTTTTTAAAATGCTACTAATTTTTCATTCATTTTATTTTTATTTTATTTCAATGAGTAAAGCACCTAATATAATACGCTACATTTTCAAAAACAATCAACACAAATATCATATCGATAGGCAAAGGAAAAAGGACAATTCAAATATTTACCGTTGTTAGATTACGTTCGAATATTTAAATATTGGCGCGATCTATCGATTTCGGATGCGTCGGGAAATCTTCGGGTCTATTCGCGCGCGTGAGCCGGGACGCCGCAGAGGGTGGCGACGGGCATCAGTTTGATGCCCTGCTCTGGCATGCACCGCTCGACATTGACGCCAAGATCGGAAAAGTCGTCTTTAAAACAATCTCGATTTATTTAAATCTAACATCAGGTGTGGGGTACACGTGTAATCGTTTAACGTAATTTGGAGTGTGCTATAATGGCCGAAGAAGAACTGAATCGATCTTTGGGCGCCATAGCGTCGATCCTTGAGAATTTGCAACAGCGTGTCGGTACAAAGGAGCCGTCGCCGACATCAACCACATCGCCAGCCACCCAAACCACTCCCATTTCGTTGGCCTTGCCGAGTTTTGACCCCGACAATATGGATAGTGGTATTTGGTTACAAAAAATTGAAGGGTATAAGAACGAATTTGCTTGGTCAGATCGGGAAACCGTGAGTAGAATTGGTCCATTTTTGCAAAAATCTGCACTAAGATGGTTTTCGGCATGGCAACCCACGGAAGAAACGTGGGAAAATTTTAAATTTGACTTTTCTGTATCTTTTCCCAAACAAAAGAATTTGGGTAAACTGTTAAGCGATGCTGTAAATTATCGTAGTTCCGATGCGCGCAGTTATGTTGAATACGCGAGAATTAAATTAGAAAAATTAAAGCGCACGCGGGCAAGTTGGTCTGATTCGGATTTGATCGAAATAATTGCTCATTCAATAGACGATCTTGCGGTCAGAACTGCGGCCTATAATTGTAGTGCCGCCTCTGTTAGTGATTTAATTGCATTTCTCTCTAATTACATAAAAATTCCTCTGGTCGAAAAATCGGCATCCGAATTGAATAAGAAAAATAATGTATTTTCACACAAAAAAACGACGCAGGCAAATTGTTATTCTTGCGGTCAATCGGGACACTTTTCTCGCGATTGTAAATCTAAAACTAAGAATACCAATAACTCGGATAATAAAGGGTTTGATGTTTGCCGATATTGTAAAAGACCTGGTCACGGCATTGAAAATTGTTTTCGTCGGCAAAATAAACAAAGTCGAGGAAGTGAAGTTTCAGAGTCCGGACAGGACCCAACCGTAAAGAAATTTAAATCTCATCACGTTTTGCTCAATTCACATAATTTTAATGAAAACAAGTTAAAAACTGTGCCTATCGTTATTTCGGGTTACACTACAAATTGTTTAATTGATACCGGCTCCACGTGTTCGCTAATAAAAGAAACGTTGGTAGACAAATTAAATCTAAAGAAAATTCCGCGTGTTACTCCTTTACGATGGTTCGACGGTACCATACATAATTCTTTTTCTTTTACCAAAGCATTGGTAGAGTTTCCCGAAATAAAAATAACGCTTGATCTTGTTATTGTGCCGCATAGTCATTCCAAATATGACGTTATCGTTGGTGAAAATGTTTACGAAAATAATGTAGTTTTAATAAAAAATAAAAACGTTCAAAAAATTATGCCCATGCTTGCGCTTACAAATTCTACTCGAACCATTCATAACTCGGAAATAACAAGTGATCTGGAGCATGCAGAAATGGCTGAACTAATCAAACTGCTGGGGAATTATCAGAATTTGTCAACTGCTACTGATTTTACCATTAAACCTGTCAATACCGGGGAATTAACCATCACATTGACAGAAAACAAAACTGTTTATCACCATCCCTACCGTATGTCGGAGTTTGAGCGTCAGAAAGTACGTGGCATCGTTGCTGATCTAATTAAAAACGAAATCGTCCGGGAGAGCAATTCTCCATTTGGGAGCCCGATTATACTCGTTAAGAAAAAAGATGGGACATTTCGATTGTGTGTCGATTATCGTCATTTGAATAAAATAACTTTAAGAGATCGGTATCCATTGCCACGTATTGACGATCAGCTCGATCGTTTAGGCAAAAATAAATTTTTCACGTCACTTGATATGGCTTCGGGCTTTCACCAAATCCCGATTAATCCCGAGTCGATTCCAAAAACCGCTTTCGTGACACCGGATGGTCAGTATGAGTATTTAAAAATGCCTTTTGGACTGGCCAATGGTCCTGCGGTCTTTCAGAGAGCAATTAATATGGCTTTAGGTAACCTAAAATATGACACCGCGGTTGTTTACATGGATGACATAGTAATACCCTCCATCACACTTGAGGATGGATTTTGTAAACTAAAATTAGTTCTTGATGCTTTGTCTAAAGCCGGATTTTCAATTAACCTTCGTAAATGTCGATTTTTTATGCAAAACATCACCTATTTAGGTCGTCAAATATCGGCTGATGGTATCCGACCTGATCCGAATAAAGTTAAAGCAGTCAAGGAAAGTCTGTCACCCACTAACGTGAAACAAGTGCGCCAATTCATCGGTTTGGCGAGCTACTTCCGTAAATTTATTCCCGCTTTTTCTTCCAAAGTAGCTTGTATAACTCACTTGACTCGTAATGATGTTCCCTTTGTTTGGACGACTGAATGTGAAAAAGCAAGGCAGTATGTTATTGATGTCCTTACTCAAAAACCCCTATTGTCAATTTTCGATTCAAATTTAGAGACTCAATTGCATACTGATGCGAGCAGTATTGGTTTCGGTGCTATTTTATTGCAGAAACACAGTGATACCTTTCGTCCAGTTGAATATTTCAGTCAAAAAACCAATCCAGATGAAGCTATGTATCATTCGTTTGAACTAGAGACTCTGGCCGTTGTGAAAGCTTTAAAAAATTTTCGTGTATATTTGCTTGGATTAAGATTCACTTTAGTAACTGATTGCAATTCCTTAAAATTATCTGCAAGCAAAAAAGAACTTAAGCCGCGGACCGCCCGCTGGTGGGCTTATATGCAGGATTTCGACTTCGAAATTGTTTATCGTAAGGGCTCTGAAATATCTCATGTTGACTTCCTTAGCAGGAACCCAATTGAAACTGTAGCTCATATCGATTCACAACCCAATTTTCATAAAAATTGGCTTACCGTATCACAAAGTCAAGATGAGGAATGTAAACAAATCATTCAATCTTTGAACGATGCTAAAGACGATGTCAAACGAAAATATAAATTAGAAAAAGAGACCTTATTTCGTATTACAACCAATAAAAATAACAAATCGTCTCAGTCTTTACTTTTTGTACCATCTAATAACCGTTATAGTCTTTTGAAAATATTTCACGATGATCAAAGTCACATAGGTTGGGAAAAAACTCTTGCCTCAATCAGACTTTACTTTTGGTTTCCCCATATGACCAGGTATGTTAAAAAGTATGTTGAACACTGTTTGATATGTGCAGTACGAAAAAATCAGACGGGTCCTAAACAAGGCTTCCTTACTTCTATCCCAAAGCCCGATGAACCATTCCATACAGTTCATGTCGACTGTCTGGGCCCCTTACCAGGTAATCCAAAAAACTATAAATATATCCTTGTTATAATTGACGCCTTCTCCAAATTCTGTCTCCTATATCCTCAATCCACCGTTACTACAGAAGAAACAACACAAAATTTTGCTAAATTCCTCAGCATATTTGGCACGCCCTCCAAACTAATTCACGACGCTGGAACTAATTTCATAGCAAAAATATTTAAATCATTTACCGAATATTTTGGCATCGAATTACACGTGACAACCCCCGGTGTTCATCGCTCCAACGGACAAATAGAACGCTATATGCGAACTATTACCAATTTGTTAAGAGTTGAATCCAATAAAGTAACAGATTGGCCGAACAAAGTATGGAAGATCCAGTTAGTAATCAATACTACGAAACAAAAGACGACTGGTTGCTCACCTTTTAAGTTAGTATTTGGTCGAGAGGGTCAAACGCCTCAAATTCGTACAGTCTTAACCGATTTGCCAATCCCTGATGAAACTAAATCTCCAGTGGATTATTCCGCAGTTATAAAGAAACTACGGCAAAATTCAGAAAGGCAGTTGAATTATCTAAATAAGAAGCGAAGAGACAATCAGCTGTATAAAGTAGGTGATACTGTTTTGTTAAGCCGAGGTCAAAGACCTGAAAAGTTTTCTTGTGAATTTGTTGGTCCTTACATAATCAAGAGATCACTTACCAATAATCGGTATTTGATTAAGAAATTAGGTACTCCGAAAACTTTTAAATGTTCTAAGGATCAGTTGCGGCATTGGCCTACTGATTGGACGCCTGACGATTTCCAAAGATTATTACAACTAGACAATTGTAAGTACATAATTTGACTTGTTGTGCCGTGTTAGATTGATTTGAGTTGTGTATATAAAACTAATTTAAATAGTCTTTGGAGTATTTTGTGTTTTGATTTTGTTGTTTGAGAGCCCATCGCAAATACGTGCTTATTGCAGTATTTCCATCGCGCTGCTCAAGTCAACTCTGTGTTTTGATTTTGTTGTTTGAGAGCCCATCGCAAATACGTGCTTATTGCAGTATTTCCATCGCGCTGCTCAAGTCAACTCTGTGTTTTGATTTTGTTGTTTGAGAGCCCATCGCAAATACGTGCTTATTGCAGTATTTCCATCGCGCTGCTCAAGTCAACTCTGTGTTTTGATTTTGTTGTTTGAGAGCCCATCGCAAATACGTGCTTATTGCAGTATTTCCATCGCGCTGCTCAAGTCAACTCTGTGTTTTGATTTTGTTGTTTGAGAGCCCATCGCAAATACGTGCTTATTGCAGTATTTCCATCGTGCTACTCAAGTCAACTCTGTATTTGTAAATGCGTGCTTACTACAGAATTTCCATCGTGTCTGTCAGCTTGTGAGTTATTACGTAAATCTAGTCCCAATTGTTTGTGAAATTCATTTGATTGATGAATTCTCGTTTTTTGTTCATTACAGGGAACTCTGGGACGGCTGATGATAAATCTGCAGAATGAAAGGTTTACGAATTTTTACCGATGTACACATCTATATATTTTAACGTTGCTGTAAAGAAATAAAACTTTGTTTTTTTTCTGTGTGTTCATGTCTGTGACACTTCAAATGAGTCATGCATTCCGAGAGCGGAATGTTGTCAGTTTGGCCGTGTTAGATTACGTTCGAATATTTAAATATTGGCGCGATCTATCGATTTCGGATGCGTCGGGAAATCTTCGGGTCTATTCGCGCGCGTGAGCCGGGACGCCGCAGAGGGTGGCGACGGGCATCAGTTTGATGCCCTGCTCTGGCATGCACCGCTCGACATTGACGCCAAGATCGGAAAAGTCGTCTTTAAAACAATCTCGATTTATTTAAATCTAACACCGTTAATAGTTTTGTAATTTCAACAGCAGGTGCTTCAGCTTCCTTGCCTCATAACTGACCGTCTCTTTCCCGTTAAGTGTCTGATTTTCTTCTGCCAGTGTCGAATACGCTACCGTTGCCACCGTTTTCCCGTGTACTAAAAAAAAGTTATCCCAAATTGTGTAATGTAAATCAAAGTTCCGCGCGTACATTCGCAGCTATCCAGGAAACCGATGCACTCCTGAATGACAGAATCGCGCAATACGATCATATGTTTGGCTAAGTTCTCGATCAGGCTCAGGAAACACCTCTTCGTGTAGAACCAGGTGTCCGTGCCCAACTTTTTGTTGTAAGGTTCGAGGGATTTCATCACCCGCGATATCCCAAACTCGTAGTTGCCCTTCGAGCAGTATAGAGTCCTAAATAAAAACTCCAAATGATACGATGATGCTGACGTGCGGGTAGGAGCGATGATTACCCGATAACTAGGTTTATAATGCAGTGATGAAAGTACTTTTTTTCGGGCTCCTCGAAAGACATCTGGTCCTCCTCTTTTTCAATCTTCCGCATCAGGTCTTCGGCCGCCTCGTTTTGCGATATCATGATGTAAGAGACGCACAAATTGGCCAGGATGATGGCGTTGACGCTCAGAATCTGCAATCGTTCCGCTAGTTGACGCGCGATAAGGTTATAATATCCGAAAGAGATCGGACAAGTCATTGATGTCTGAGAACCATTCTCCTCCCCACTACTTTTGGGCGTGGATGAGATCAAACGGGTTGAAATTTTTTATTCCCGGCCTGACATGGATGCAGCTCAAGTATCACGATAAAACTTTGTGTTCTTTTAAATATATATCTTAGTAGGTTGCGAAAAAACAATTGAAGTCTTGCGTCAAATAGTTTTTTATTGAAAGCATTTTAAACAAGACGTATCTGAAAAAATGTCGCAAATAACGCAAATTGAGTATAGAGCGGTCATAAAGTTTTCGACAAAAGAAGGGTTAGCACCTAAAATTATTAAAGAAACGTTGGATGGTGTGTAAGGCCAAAAGTTCTCTTTCGTATTCTGTAGTGAAAGAATGGCCAAAACGTTTTCGAATGGGGCAGGAGTGCCTTGAAGATGTTTTAAGAAGTGGTCGACCGGTGGAGGTCATAACGGAAGATATTGTTGCGATTGTGGAAGAGGTGGTATTGAGTGATCGACGTTTAAAGGTCAAGGAAATCTCAGAAATTACTAAGCTTTCTGATACGTGGAATCCTGCATGCTCATTTAGGTATGCATAGTGCAAGATGGGTTCCTAAAAACCTTTCGGCTATTCAAAAACAATGCCGTGTCGAGTGTGCGCGGTCTTTTTTGGAACTCTGTGTGTCGGAACCGAAGCTGTGATAGAAACTATTGTGACGGGGGATGAAACTATGGTTCTCTATTATGACCCTCTATCGAAAAAAGAATCAATTGAGTGGCGTCGTAAGGGTGAAGTACCTCCAAAAAAATTCAGAGTCTGCCAGTCAACAAAAAAGGTGATGACCACGATCTTTTGGGATTGTGAAGGAATTCTTTTGTCAGTCAATGGTAAATATTACGCAACATTATTACATAAATTGCGAGACTGCATACGTGTAAAACGTCGAGGAAAACTGACCAGAGGCCTGCGTCTTTTGCATGATAATGCACCTGTCCATGCTGCTGGTGTTACACAAGCTGCCATTTTAGAGTGATAGATCATTCTCCCTATAGCCCGAAACGACTTACGTGGACGGTGGTTTAACGACAAATTTGAGTTAAAAGAGGCTGTTTTATCTCATTTTGCAGACAAACCAAAAGAATATTTTTTTAAAGGGATTGAGTGGTTAATAAAGAGATGTAATAAGTGTATTGAAGTTAATTGTTACGCTACTTTGTTTCTTTCATATTCAGGCCGGGAAATTTTGGCGCTGCCCTCGTATTACACTACCTAATTTAACGCATATTTAAAAAGACGTTTCAAATATTTTGTTTTAGAGGAGTAACACAAAGTCTTCAGGGGCCCAATTCGAGTTTGATAATTCATTTTATATCTAGTTACTTATTCTAAGAAATATAAATTATTTTAAGGATTCCCAAGTGCTTCTTTTTGGTTGGAAATTTAATTCGCGTATTGGTATTATTTGGTTTGGTTTTTAGTTTTACACTGGCAATAAATTCACGAAGTAATTGATGAATTTCTTCATGAAGTTTTTGACTGGAAACGAGGTCAATTTATTTGACATCTCAATCAAAATGTCATTTAACAGTATTTTGAGGTTATGTTTGTTTATTTTTGTTCTGGATTAGTGTTTACTTATTTATTTAAAATGTTTAAACGCCCGTCCATTATACAAAAAACTAACAGAATTAGAAAAAATAATGCTGCCAAGGACTATGAAGAAAGCTGCCATAGCCCTTATCCATAGAATATTATGCAACAAGTGCCGTAAACGGCATTTGACTCACGAGTTTATTTGACACCAGCGGAGCGAGTTTTCGAAAGACGAGTGAGTTAAAAAGTTTACTTTTTCTACGACCGTTAGTTTTTACCTTACATCGAAAGGCCTTGGCTAGAAATAAAGAGGAAGGGGGCTTAAAATTGCCAAAACAAGAGTTTAAAAAAGGCCCTGAACAGTTTAAGCATTTTTTGAGGATATCAAAAATATCAAGCTTTGATAAATAAATAGACCAACATTATTAACGTATATTATTTAAAAGAACCCCAAACTTACATCTTTTAATCTTTTACAAAACAAAAAATTGTGTTTTTTTTGAGTCAATTTTATTTCAAAATTAAAAGGTCAAGTTTCTTTTGTATAAAATTATACAGATACAACTTTCCAGTTCTTCTTTATTTACACTACTTTACACTTGCATAGGTCTGTATTTATTTCCAATTCCTCTTGCTGGGCTTGGTAAATAATATCCAAGATTTGTCTTCTAAGTCGTATACATGTAGGATTATTTGTTATTTCCCTCAATTCGGCACCGAACGTTCTACATACACAATTACAAACTGTTATATTGTTTAACCAAGTCATTTTACTACTTAGTGTTTTTATAAATAGCCCATTATAAATGAAAACCTTACTTTTTTGCTTATTGTATTTTTTACATAAATTTTATTACAAGTTAAAAGTATGTAAAATTATGGGGTCTCGTTTTGGTCCGATGTTCTGTATCCTAAGAATAAACTGCTAACACTCTGACATTTATTTTAAAAATCTAGTCAAAAAAAACCGCAGTATATTATTGTTGTTATGCGAAAATCTTTGAATTATGGAAGCTTACGATCAAAATGGTCATTCAGCTATACACACCTTTGTCCAAAGGTTGACAAATAAAAAGTTAAAGGCTGTTAAAGTTTCAATTTAATTTTTAAATATTTTATTTAACTTCAAAACTTTGGGTTTGGGATTTGTCCAAATATATTTTACCGATTAACTTTGCTAAAATATATTTTGTGATATCCTGTGTGTCAATAATCTCAAATTGATATTTTTTTTAAAAAGACAAAAATAAATTCACCATTATATCGAATTGCAACAAGTAGTATTCGAGTATTTTTATAGTATTGTACATGTAGTCCTGTGGATACGTTAATGGGTGCAAACCTGTAGCATCCCTGTCACCAAATAAATAAATAAATTGAATCGAATTGGCCCCATGGAAATTGTCCGAAAATCATTTTGCACAAGAAAAGTGAGGGGATCCTTTGCGGAATGTCTGATATTTCAATTATTCCTAAAAACAGTTTCTCATAGATTCTATTTATGACTTGTCGCGTCTCTTTATTTGGATATCATCGGTAGACACCAACATCTGAGTAGCTTTTCTTGACGAGGGGCTCATAGAAACCGGTCGCCTCCTTGAACTTGTTTTCCTGCATGAACAATACGTGCGCCACGTTAAGCCTCCACGTATCGTGTTCGTTGCAAAATTCCGCACTCTTTCGGAAAATTTTCTCTACCTGGGGATAGTTCTCCATGTCCCAGTAAATTTTCGCCTGAGCCATCAGCACCGGGATATACCTATATACGTAAACTCACGTGAAAAAGTTAATAAGTTCAAGGGTTTAAACCCAGATAACACAAGATTGCTTTCGAAAAATCGTCACTGGGCAGGGCAACTTCGTAGCGCGTAGCGCGAAGCAGCTTTGTATTTATTTTGAAAATTTCGCGGTTTCGTGTGGTAAAGGGACGCATTGTTTTTCTATCGTGCTCCTGCGGACCGCTATGGAACTTTCGCAAAATCGATATAATTTTATTGTGCATACACCCTGTATAAACCATCTTGCACGTCTCGCTGAATTTCAACGTTACGGCAAACTTTGATAAATATAAAATTGTGCAAGTAGCAATTAGCCATATTTTTTACTATTTTTGATTTGCATTTACTAATTTACTCTACAAAAAAACAATATCCTGGGTCTTTTACATTTTTGTCTATAATCGGAAAAATGCCTGAAATAAATGTTTTATCACTGGATCTTCCGCATCTGCTGGTTAAAGAATGTTGCTGATTGTTTGAATAGTTATGGAGAAATGCATGTTTTTCTGGAAACCAAAATAACCAAAAAAAAATTTCAAAATTAAAAAAAAATACTTTGCGGCATTTGATTACGCCCAACTTTAAAAGTTTAAGTGTGGGTTGGGACTTCTAACTCTCTGCCAAATCTGAAGTCGGTGGCTGCAAATTTGAGACACCTACTGCATGTTTTAATATAGTACAGAATATCGCGAACACCCTGTACAATATGTGAAAACTTTAAATACAAAAGTTTTAGCTGTCCATACTGGCTATACAGCCATGTAAAAAAAACTGACAACAGAATCACAGCCTTCTAGTTATGGTCAATTACCATTACAAAGGGAGCCCAATTTTAATTTTTTTGCAAATTATCGACGCACCCCGTATATTCTTAAAAAATCATCAAAAATAAAAAAAAATTGTCCGGATCTTGCGCGTCATTTGGTTCAAGAATTTTTTCGATGTGGTTTTTAAATTTTTAAAAATGCTTCCCGACCCCACAGCGCCCCCAGTTTCAATAGACTTCGTTACGGTTCCAAACACTATATATGCGTTAAATTTCAAGTGGATGGCTTCAAATTTCGGACACTTATCGTGTTTGATAGCGATGTCCAAAAAACAGTCGAAAATCTAAAAAAAAGATGGACGCCGTTATTCGAACGGAACCATTTTCCATTGACTTTTGTGTCTTATGGATTTATGAAAAGGAGCCAAATCTGAATACCGTAGTTCAAACCGTTCGAAAGTGACCGCAAAATAATGTCCCGTTTATGGAGAAACGGAGAACGAACAGACAAAAAATAAAAAAAAAACAATTTTTTTCGACGCTGATCATTTGGGGTCAATCAATGGGGGTCTCCTAAGACCTCCCGTTGCTGAGATATAAGATTCGTTTCCTGGCGCGTATACTTTCGAAAAAATCGATTTCATCATTCAAAAGAAAAAGACGTTCCTAATACGTAGAATTTTATTTTTGTTTAGGACCTCGACTCATGGAGATATTTGTTACATATATAGCGAGTTAGAATTTCAATTTTTAATAATTTCTTGAATATGACTTTACTCCAAGATTCCTTTTTGGAATACTCGTGTTAACTGTGATTTGTTTTTTCATCTACAGTGATCCACAATTTTTTTCTGTGTTTTAAATACTAACCCATTTGTAAATAATGGTTGTTCCACATAATTTTGGCCGAGCAATATATATATATATATATATATATATATATATATATATATATATATATATATATATACAGGGTTTTTCACTTAAAACTCCGCACGCCAATAACTTCAAAACGAAAAGAAATATTTAATTTATGTAAAAAGTAGTCAAAGTGTGGGGTCAAGTAGATATTTCCTAAAGTCTAAAAAATTCGACGCCTGCAAAGAGCTGGGCGTCGCGACGCGTCGAAAAATTATTCGATTGCAGAGACTTTGGAAATACGCGCATACAAAAATACATATTATTTAAAAACTTTTTTGTTATTTACTCAATTTTATTTACTTTACCCGTTTCTAAGTTATACCGATTTAAAGTAAACATTTCTTGATTAATAAAAAATGTGATTAACGCTTATTTTTACAGTAACTAACCAACCATTGTTATCGCAGTTGTTTTAAGTGCAATTACAAACAATAGATTTCAACTATTTTAGTATGATTTTATTTATTATTTTTTATCGATTTAGTTCTGATAACATGATAAATAAATGAAAAAACAGTAAAATACCTACAAGTTAATAACCAAAATTATTATTGCAATTAACTACATAATAAGACATTTCAAAAATTTTGTTCAAAATTATGTCCATCTGCTCGAACACAACTATCAAAAACTTTTAACAGATGAGCTTGGGTCACTTGTAGGAGAGTCCTTCTTGTGATAGCGGCACACGCTGCACTAATTTTGTTAATGAGATCGGCCATATCTTCGATAGGTTCTTCATAGATAACGTTTTTTAGGTAGCCCCAAAGAAAATAATCTGGTGGTGTAATGTCCGGGGACCTCGCCGGCCACCTTACCGGTCCATTAGTACCAAACCATCTATTGGGATATTCTCGGTTCAAATACCTCCTTACTATTTGGGCATTATGTGCAGGCGCTCCATCCTGCTTTAGCCACATTCTAGTGTCAAGAGGCACTTCTTCTAATAGTTCCGGAAGTGTAGTTTGAAGAAATCTTAAATAGCGATCTGCATTTAAAGTTCCTTCGTAAAAGTAAGGTCCAATAAGGAATCCATTTAATATGCCGCACCAAACATTGATACTAAAAATTCGTTGGTTACCTCTTTCTGTAATCCAACGAGGATGGTTTTCGGACCAAAAACGACAGTTGTGTCTATTAACGATTCCATTATTTTGAAATCGACTTTCGTCGCTCCATAAAATTTTCGAGAGAAAATTTGCATCTTGGCTATACAAATCGGACAATGTCGCTAAGAAATACATTCTTCTAGCATAATCGCCTGGTTCTAGTTTATGAACTAGTTTACTTTTGAACGGGTGAAAAGAGTTTCTATGTAGAATTCTCCACGAAGAACTTATGGTAACACCGGTATTTTCTTTTATCTCTGATAGGGATATCTTGGGGTTATTATCAACCTGCTGAATTACAGCAGCAGTATTTTCATCATTTGTAGCCGTCCTGTTCCTATCTCTTTTAGGTTTTATGAAGCTGCCATATTCTCTTAAGTTTTTACATAAACTTGAAAAGGTTTTTGCATCGGGGACTCTTCTATGCGGATAACGCCGTGCGTAAACTCTTTTTGCTTCTCTACAATTGCATCTGAATTCTCCAAACACCAGTAACATGTCTACTTTTTCCTCATTGCTAAATTGCACCATTTTCACATAATAATTCTTAGTTTTTTTTAAACCGAACAAATTTGGATATTTCTTGTGACAAAATGTGACAATTTTTTGATACAGCAATAACAACTTCCGTTTGTAATTGCACTTAAAACAACTGCGATAACAATGGTTGCCATAGTAACTAACATTCATGGCATACTTGTAAAAATAAGCGTTAATCACATTTTTTATTAATCAAGAAATGTTTACTTTAAATCGGTATAACATAGAAAGAAATATCTACTTGACCCCACACTTTGACTACTTTTTACATAAATTAAATATTTCTTTTCGTTTTGGACTTATTGGCGTGCGGAGTTTTAAGAAATATATATTTGTGTCCAAATATCCAGAGTTTTTTTTAATGTGGTTTGTGGTTGTGAGGAGTTGGGTAAGATATTATCACTAACAACTTAAACAAAAAAACGATTAATGAACAGAGCCGTTAATTCCAACTAACCAATTCGATATTCATAATTCATTCAATTTTAATCATTTAAATTTAACCGGAGTATTTTATATTTGTATTTTATATCTAGCCAGGTACTTACTCTTTCTTTCTTCTTTTTGGTTAGAATTCCCGTATTCGTCTTACACTAGTTTTACACTGACAATAAATTCATGAAGTAATTGATGAATTTCTTCATGAAGTTATTGACCAAGCATATTGGCTTTACAATGGAAACGAGGTACGTCAATTTAATTGACATCTCACAATGTCATTTAACAGTTCAGCCAACATGTAGTATTTTGAGGTTATGTTTGTCTATTTTTGTTTTGGATTACTGTTTAATTATTTATTTAAAATGTTTAAGCCCCAGTCCGTTATACAAAAAAGTAAAAGAAATAGAAAATAGAATGCTGCCATAGCCCTTATCAACATTTCTTTTTGGAATCTTCGTGTTAACTGTGAATTGTTTTTTCATCTACATTGATCCACAATTTTTTTTCTGTGTTTAACCAATTTCTAAATAATGGTTGTTTCACATAATTTTGGCAGAGCAATATATATTACACAAAATAATTATTTTCTCTGTGGCGAACGCTAAAGTTGCTGATTGTGAAATTAAACCAATTTCCGTCCAAATAATCAGAGTTTTTTAATGTTGTTTGTGGTTATGAGGAGTTGGGTAAGTAAAGATATTATCGTGGCGGAATCTAACAATAAAAAAAATGATAAATAAACAGAGCCGTTTTAAGATATACACTTAAATTCCAACTAACTCTTTCATAAATTCGAGTCCTGGGATCTGTACTGATTCGCAAAAGTTTTTGGAAACCGTTTCTAATAATAAATAAATAAAATAAATTATTTAAAAACACAGTTAATATAGTGCGTTATCCGATGTTTTAACTATTATTCAACAGAATATTATTAACTTGCTAAAAGATGCTAGAAGAGTGTTAAAACGGCTAGAAATTCGGAATCTCTCTCTCTGAATTGTGTTCAGTTTTCGAAAATCCCTATTATTTATTTATTTAATTTATTTATTTACGGTTTAACCAATTTACAAAACTTTCACATTTATTAAAGGCAAAGAGAGAAAAAGACAGCAGTATAACAGCTAGAAACCAGAACAAAATATAACAATAATAAGTTAATGTAAATGTTGATGGTTTGCCAATATCCAAAAGTTCTGGTAGTCTATAGAAAATGTAAATCTGAGGTCAGATCGTAGCTTTCCATTAATTCTTCCCACGGTTCCCATGTTAAAAAAATTTCCGTTAGATTATGTGCATTTAATTTGTGTTGGTGTTGTTAAAAAAAATATTTTAAATTTATGGATCTATCGCAAACCTCCATATGAACTTTCAACTCAAAACCAAGAGCTCTATCAGAAGTCAGATGTTACTAAATGATGCTTTCCAGAAAAATGTGTTTTTCTTTTAATTTTCTCTTTTTTTCTTTTTCTATAATTGGCATTTTAAACAATTTTAGGTTTATGAAACAGGCTTTTCCAAGGTATTTTTGAGTCGATGTGGCATCACCAAGGTTTGCGGTATTGAAATTTAAACTTGATAATCTTGTCTTACAAATGGAAACAATATATTCGTTGACATAATAACTAATTTGTTTGGAAAAGTTGAAAAAAATTACCTTACCTTTCTAAACATTCTTCATATTCCATTATGGCTTTTTTCACCACCTCGAGATCACCGCGATTTCTGTGTTCTTGGACTTGTTTGGCGAGCTTGCGCAGCTGCTCGGTATGCCTGCTGGCAAGCTCGTCCAGTTTCTGATATGCCTCGCTAGGTGACGTCTGTTGCGTTATCATAGCGTCCAAAAAATCATACAAATACTGAAACGGAGAACCCACTGTAACTTATATTAATCACGTGACCGTTGCACTGTGGGCCCATTGCCCAAACTAGGTTGCATTAATTCGATTATTTTCTAGTTACTTAAAAACCTTAAAAAATTTTTATTATTTATTATTATTATGCATTGCCGGTAAATAATAATACTTTTTTTTTCAATTTTCCAGCGTTGCCACATTAGTATTTTTCGGAGTATATTTTAAAAACTAGAATAAAAAAAAATACTGCACAGTTTTATTTAAAAACCTTCCGCGGTCACGTGAAATAATTTAACTGTATTTAAGGAAACAGAAAACACACTGGTTAACAAATTCCAAATATATGAACTATTTACCTAAATTAAATTAACTTATTGAAAATATAACTATTTTATTAAAACAACACAGCAAGCAAGAGATTATACAAAACACAAAAAACTTAAAGGATAAGAAAAAGCCTTAGAATTGGCTTATAAATAACCTTTTGGCAGAGATGTTTTCTACTTAACATACTTTTTTTAACCCTGAAACCCACTAGGTAAATTAGAATTTTAGCCATTCTCGCTGTCATGACATGTCAGACTCACTACCCATACACTCACAGTCATATTCGAAGGTCTCCGAAAAATAGTCATTTTTTTTAAGGTATGGAAGTTCTGGGTAATTGGCTATAACGGGGTCAGAGGACACTAATAACATTCGCATCAAGTCTTTATTCGTGGCAATGCGCGATTTTTTTGGGTGTGATGCTCGCGATATCGCCGACAATCTTTGTGACGTGCCTCTTGGGCCTCCTCAGAGAGCTGCGCAATAGGCACCACGCAATGTTTAATAATATTTGTGGAATGGTATAGCAGTTTCTGGACGGTTATGGGCATAAAATACCACGAGTAAAGATATTTTAAATATTTCTTCTACAAGGTTTTTCTTATGAGAGACACTCCAGAATTGAAACAACGTTTTTTTCGATATTTTGAGTTTAAACATGTGTATAAAATGAAAACAATATGTATAAAAATAATGCATTATAATTGGCTCATTGCGCAAGCAATACATGCGATAAACAACTTTAAAAGCACATTGATTGTTAATATGTTTATCACTCAGAGGTTGACATTTTTAACTGGCATAAGCTTTGCGACTATTTGCGACATTTTTGGCTAACAGTTTTCAGTAGTTTACACCCTTGCCTAATAAAAAATGTATTTTTTTTTGGCACTCGTCGGCCTTCATATTTTTTTACTCTATAGAATTTGAAAAATTAAATATTAATGGCACTTCTTCAAACATTCTACATTGCATGTACAGGTCTAAACTAATTAACAGGACTGACATCAATTGTCAAATACTTAAAGCGGCATTTGATTTCAAGGCCTACTAAACCATTTAAAAAGTGCGAAAACTTCGTTATTTTATTGAAGCGATAAAGTATTTTTAGAAAGCAATACTGTTTTTACATGTTTCAGTATGTTCTTAATTTGAAAACATTGACAAATTTTGCATTTTTAATAATGATTTATTGGAACCTAGTTTACGCATGGGGCCCACGGTGTGTTGTAGGTATACCGGCGTGAGGTATTTGTAGGTCAGGTGGGCGTTTTCCGCTAATATATCGGCCGCTAGGTCGTAGCACTCGTGCTGACAATAAAGGAGTAACAGGTTTGCGAACGTTTCGGGAGGGAACGGATTTTGTTGCAAGAGAAACTGCAGTTTCTCGAAACCTTCCATTGGATTCTGATCGAAGTTCATCAGTGCCTGGTTGTGAAGCGTCACGGCGTCTAGTTCGTATTCGGCTCGGGGTGGCATATCGGTCAAAGCTTCGCGAGCCGAATCGACTATATTGACAATTTAAAATAATTATAAACGCTTCATGTGAGCACAGCTTATGAATTATTTTATCTATCAGTACGAAAACCTAACATAAGCAGGACGCCACTGCTGCCTTGTAGTTATTATAGATACGAGCCACTGCGCCATCCACCCCTATACAGGATGTTTCAAAACACATGCTCGACTCGACTCAAGAGTGAAAAAAAGTTGTACCTTTTGTGACTTATGAGTATTTGTATTGTAGTTTTGATTTTGTTAATACCGCTGATGCAGGGACTTTTTAGAAATCACGATCTTACCATTAATATCTCGTTTAATATCAGTTGGAAATAAAAATAACGTGACCATTTAAAAAATTTCTTTCAAAAGGCTTACATGTCACAAAATTTGATATAGTATAATACGACCAAAAATATAGTGCATTAATTGCTTTCACGTTTTAAGTATTTTACAGTGCCTTAACGGCAGACCTTCGCAGGACCGTGGTAAAACCCATCCCAATAAATGTTTTTATTCTGCATTAAACTTGAAATTTTTCGAATAAGTAGAAGCGTTTATTTTAACATCAGGTGCTATGTACCGTTCTTAAGACTGTTTTCACTGGATAGTTCAAAGGTTAAGGGGAAGTAGCTGTACTCTATTTATTATAACACGAAAATATTTATTGAAAACGATTAGTGGCGGAGTTGATCTTGAACTCGGTCACGACAGTAGCGATAGTGACGATTTTTTGAGTGATACTTTATTATTATATTTAATATTTTGTATATTAATAATGATACTATATAGAAATGTAATGAAATAGAACGAAATAAATTGTTACTTGGTACTAATTTTTTTATGTATATGTTTCAAGAATTGCTCGGCGAATAAAATTGAAAACATTCTTATATCCCGCTTGTTAGATAAATAAATCTTAGGAAGGTACTGGAATGGTTGCCGGTAAGGCTCTGCAGGGTGCAGCGGGCTGCGGTTTTGAAGTAATAAACAGGCATAGTTAATCACGGGGTCGGTTGTACAATCACTATATTTATGGTTGAAGTATAACAGGCATATTTAAAATTTTTAAATAAGGAAACAATGACGATGTATCTGCTGCATTTTTCCTAAACTAAAATGTTTCTGCTTCGGTAGGATATTTTTTTAATGTCATATCGCTGTTCAAATTCTTTATCTTCATTACTTTTTGTAATGTTTTTTTTTTTACTTTTTCTTCGGATTTTACACGTATTTTCAATAGTTTCAGTCATAAATTAATATAAATTTGTATGTATATTTGAATAAATATATACATTTTTTTTAATCCTACTTATTATTCGTTCGCAATGGACTTTACAGTTTTAACTAGTTGTCATATTTCAACGAAATCGTTTACATATTGTTTATTGCAATTTATAGACCTAATATATATATATATATATATATATATATATATATATATATATATATATATATATATATATATATATATATATATATATATATATATATAAGAAATGTCCAACAATTAAAAATCAGTACAGATAAAATATAATGCTCTCCCGTCCCATATGCAAGTTTCCAATGTCCCAAAAAAAAATAAATATTATAAAAAATGCATATAGGTAGGTAATTAATGTAAACTATCTCACCCGACCTTCCCTTTCAAATATCGAAAGAGTACTCTCATAGAGCGAGAGAGATAGGCGAATTTGGGGGCGGAGCTTAGTGTCCCTGTTTGTTTTGATACATGAACCATCGATTACGTTTGACCTACTATTTTTTAATTGATACTCGATGGCCGCTTTAAGATTGAAAGCCTCCGTCAGCGAAGTTTCGTGCAAAGTTAAGGTGTTCCCCACGGACCGAACCTCTATGCCTTCGGTTTGCATTCCTATGCTCAGTTCTGGATGGTCCCGGATGCCTTTTTCTATTATATCCGCTGAAATAACACGTGACGTGACCACTCGATTTTTATTTGTCGACAACTTACCGCAATATTTCAACGACAGGCCGTATTCCTTAAGCCTGTAATAGCAGAGCGCCATATTGTACGCCAGGTAAGGTTTGAAACCCTGATTTTGCAACGCGCTCGTGAATTTCGTTAAAGCTTCTTCGTAATTACCGTCCTGCAATATCTAAATGAAGCAATCAAATTTCATAACATAAAAGGGAATATACCTTGTACAGCAAACATCCAAAATTTACTTCTTTGTCTGGATCGTCGTCGGGACAAGCGTTGACCAAACTTTTAGCCGACAGCACGTCTTCCTGGCTGTACTTAATGGCCGCTTGCAGTTTCGTTATTTGACCCGAATATTTGGGATTCTCTGATAATTTATTAGAAACCTGAATACGAATTAGCTATTAGTGGCCCTATCATAGTAAACATTGATTCGCCGCCGGATGCATTAATATTTTAGCGTGCACTTTATCTGTCAGCGGCCATGTTGGTTGTTGAATACTCCAAGGTCATTGGTTAAAAACAAGATTTTTAAATCTAGCGCATGCTTGTGTTGAATTGCCCTTATCAAAATATTTTCACCCACTAAACTGCACGCCCCATTTTTTTTATAAACTGCGATTTCCACGTACTTAACTCGTTTTCGCAAAAATGTATCTGTAAAAAGGCCGCATCCAAACTTACTGACGGTTTGTCAGCGGCCATGTTGGTTGTCGCGTCGCAACGTCATTGGTTAATAACGATTTTTTTTTAATCGACCGGAAGAAAAAAACCGATCCCCCTATTTTCAAAAATTTTTGAAACGTATTTTGAGGTTTCGAACGATCTGACATTCATTTTCAGATATTCCAGTTTTGTGTGGCAACGTCGCCTATGTCGCCTAATTAGAAACACGAGTATACCAAATTTCATCAATTTAAGTCTAATAATTCCTGAGATGTGCGACTTTTGACTAACTCAGTATAAAATAATTTAATCTGCTGTTTACTACAACTCAATGTCACTGTGTTTGTTTGTATTTGTTCGACTTTAGTGTATATTCGTAATAAACGGGGATTTATTAACAGCTTTATTCAATTAGGTTTATAAATAATAGTAATTAATAATAATCAGCAAAATTGTAACATAAGTTTCTGGAGCGACACGCGCGGCACATTCATTTCCTTTCATATCGTATCATAACCTAACCTAATCTTCTTCTTTTTCTTCTAAGAGCTAAACACAGAATACAGAAATTATAGAGAAAAGCATTATCCATATCTAAACAAATTTGTTCATAACTGTTGAGTCATAAAGTGTGTACTCAAAATTTCGTGTTATGCCACGAATTTAACATCTATCTTCAAAAAACAAAGCTAGAAATACATATAAAAGCTAACAAAATATTTAAACCATATAGTTACTAGAGATATGGAGGCCCTGTCTATGCCAATAATACATGAACTTATGAAGCAAACTATGAAAAAGAATTTGAAAAGTTTAAGGTCCATTTATACTTACCAGTGCCGTGTCACTTCGGTGTCAGTGCCACTGAAAAATTAAATATCGTTGCCCTAAAATTTTATGAACATTTGCAGTCTGCAGTATCAATTTTTTACTATAAGTCGGGAAAACTATTAGAGTTGGCACGGAATTATCCAGGATTGCATGATTTATCTCACAAACAGTATATGGATACCGGTTTTAAAGATGATATTTGGGGTAATATAGGAAATTAATTAAAACTCAAAGGTAAGTGGTACTTACTTTTTTTTTCAGAAATAAAAATTGTTTAATTTAAATTTTTGACTTTTACATACCTCAAACACGCTGCTAATAGTTACTTCGGTGTGATAGCTTTTCTCTAACGAGTGTCACGTTTCATTAGATACCTTTCTATTTTATGCAGCAATATATTGAAACAATTTTGAGACGTTTTGTAATATTGAAAAAAAAAATTCATCATATCATATTACAGAGTAATAAAGTATCCATCAATGTCTCGCTTTATCCAAGCTTCCCAATTTTTCATTAGTGAAACAGATCATCTTGTACTTCACTGAATGCCTACTACCTACTACCACATGTGTGAACTGGTATCACTGATCGAGAATGATTGACACTGAACTGACGCGGCACTGGCATGTACCATAAAATCTCGTATTTAACCAATGACCTTGCGCCATTCAACAACCAGCATGGCGCCTGACAGATGGTCAATAAGTGTGAATGCGGAGTTTTTACGGCAATATTTTCTCAAAATACGCTTAGATCTCGTTGAATATTTTGGGGAAACTAGTTAAATGTGTGGAAATCTCTGCTTACAAAGAAAATGGTGCAAAATACAGGTTAGTGGTTGAAATGTTGAGGCGTGTGCAGAAAATCATAACCTCTGCGAAAATATCAAAGCCGCCTATATTATCTAACTGTATGGTTTCGACCAATATAAACCTTGTGGCGTTGTACAATAGACATGGCCGCTGACAGACATTAAATTTTCAGTCAAGTGTGTGGATATCACTATTATGAAAAAAATGCCGCAAATTGCAGGTTAGGGGCATTTTATTCCGTACGGAAATGTTATATCTGCGCAAGGCATTCACGGGCACTACATGATCTAATAGCTATCAGCAAAACCACGTCACGCACAAACCTGAAAGGCTTGATCATATAAACAAGCCTGGTATAAAGATTGCGTGTAGTAAAGCTTGTATTCGTCGTTATCAGGATACATTTCAGTGAGTTGTTCGTAATAACTGGCGGCATTGTTGAAATCTTGCAGATAAAAGTAGCAGTAAGCGAGCAGTGATAAGCCGGGTCGCGTAGAATTTGATTCCGGTATCCCGTGTAGAACCTTTAAGGCTTCGTTGAAACGGTTTTCTTTAATCTAAACACACAATGTTTTTTAATTTGCCGGTTTTGAATATATTTTTTTATCTATAAACTTACTAGACTGTAAATCGTTTTCGTAAAATCGCCATCGTTAATTACCTGCGCTGAATACATTACTGTGAAAGACTTTCGTCCGTAAGCGTGTTTTCTATTAATTACGGCATTGTTTGTAGTGCCTTTATAGTTACCATGGTGACGAGTGATGTCAATAACGTAAATAAATACGTAACACGTGCCCAAGATGAAAACATTGAAAATTTTGTCGGATAACACGATAAAATTTAAAACATTTATGTTAAACAGATGGCGCTGCTAGTGGTAAATCCTTTTTTTGCGTAAAATTACTCGTTTCTTTTGCATAAATTGTTTTCTTCATTTTTGCCATTTGCCTGTTGAAGCTTTCTTTTAATATAATTGTTTGAATCTTCGAGGACTTCGAGGGCCTGATTTAGAACAAATTACAACTGCAATACCATTTCAACGTTATTATATTTTTAAAAATAATTATTATTGTTGTCTTCGACACTAAGATTTTTTTATTGAGTTTTTCTAACCTACTACAGGGCGACCTCGATAATCCGAACTAAATAAAACAGCGGTGATGTATTGGTTAGTATTAAGAACTAAAACATTTAAAACAAAACTAAAATATAGTACAAACATAAAAAATCATCTAAACAAAAGCATATTTCATTGAATTGTACATTATTTTGTGAAATAATTTGTAATTTTTGTTTGCTTGATCCTCATCTGGTTCATCACAAAAGCTGTTTCTTTTAATCTGCAGTACAAGAACATAATTTGGTGGAATATTATTTTCTTCGGGCCACTTTATGCACACATTAAAACTTTTAACTGCCACATCATTCATATTAGTTTGGTTGGTACTTCCATGTTCCTTTGCAGCACCATCTCTGTCTTCCAGTGGTAACAAATCTTCATCGTGCTCACGCTGATTACATATTTCTGCGTTCGTGAGATTTTGCTCCGTGAGATCATTCAACATATCTGAAACATCTGTGACTTCTTCATCAGAAGAAAGTAGATAACGTAGCATTTTACTAAGAGAAATCAGATCTTCAGCGTCATATTCAGTGTCTGAGTGTCTAAGAAAATTTTTAATTGCTTGCTGCCATATAATCAGCGCTGACACATTTGGGGGTAAATCTCCTATATATTGTTCTATTTGGTGCTCTAAGAATTGCAAATATTGATCTCCAGTTAACTTTTGTTCTATAAATATCGGACAAAACTATGCCCATCTATGACACCACACCATACGTTAATTGATTGGTGCTCCTGGGTTTTTATTTCGTGTATTTGTCGAGACCAATATCGTGTAGTTTGTCTATTACAATCTTTTCTTGTATTGAACGAACTTTCATCATTCCATAAAATGTTTTTCAAAAAATTGTTATTCTCATTATGTCTATTTAAAAAATCCAAACAGAACTGCATCCTCCTTTGACATTGTTCTGCACTTAGTTTTTGAGTTTTACGAAATTTAAATATTTATATTCTTTCAAAACCGACTGTATTGATTCCCGAGAAATACCTGTATCTTCATATATTCTAGTAGTAGTGGAAGCTGGATTTGCTTCATAGAATCCTAATGTGTTTGCCTTATTTTCTTCGTTTAAAACATTATGATTCCGGCATACCTAATGGGCATTTAATAAGTTACCGTTTTCTGAAAATTTCTTTGCCAGCCTTCAGAAACTGTACTCGAAGCATATCACTCTTTTCACGGATGCTAAATATGCGAAAAACCATTTTAATAATAATGATTTGGACAATAATTCAACCATTCTTGTTTACTAATATGTCACACATAAACATATTTTTATTTGTCAGTCAGGGCACTCTATGAAATTATATATATAAAGTGTGTTACGTCATATATATAAGGTACAGGGTGTTCCATTGAAAAAATATGATGTGGGCTTATATGTCAGAAAATTGATAGTGTTTTGTTTTATACGTCACTTTGTTTTTTGTTTACCTTGATATCTCTAAAAACAAAAAGGTTATAGCCAATTAAAATTGTATCAAGATAAAATAAACGCACGATCAATACGTAGTTTGCATAAAATAGACGTTTAAAAACGCAGATTCGGATTATAAAGCGCCATCAATCCGGATTCGATGGTGCTTGATAATTCAAATCTAAAGTAATAAAGTAAACAAACCAATTGAAAGCCTGGTTCGAATTATTAAAGGAATCCAGTGCAATAGAGATCCGGATTATTGAGCCACCTAATCATTTTTTATAAGAGATAGTTACTATACGAAATAAACGACTCTCATTAACTCCAAAATAAATTTTATTTGTTAATCTTGTTCGCAAAACGATAAGTATACAATATAATATATTAAATTCTATGTAAAAACAAAGAAAGCATTTTCAGATCAAGGAGAGCGATTATACAGCCAATTAATTTGATCACACAAAATCAACAACATTCCCGTCTTAACTGGTAAAACAATTACCAATAGAATAATTAAGAAGGTCCGAGTATATAGAAAACAAAAGGTCCATTTTCGATGTAAGTAAATGAATCATCGAACCGAAAAAATTATTTAGATATTAGTAAAAAATATATTATTATTATTTGACGATCGCACTGGACGCCATTAGATTGACCCCGCAAGTGCCGTCTCCTCTGTACACCCTGTAGTATCCCTGTTCGCCCCAAGATGGTCCCCACGAATTTTTCACTATCCAATACGGCAGTGTCTTGTTAAACAGGGAGTATTCTGGACAAATACATATTCAATTAATTTTTAAAAATTCACACGGATTGGCAATATTGCCTAACAAAAAAAAACATCCACTAATCTTTGCTAATTTAATTCAGAGAAGGGATGTGTTTAATTTATTATTTATTAATTAATTTAAACAATTAATAGAAGGATACATTCGAATTATCAAAATTTTGAAAAAAAGAAAACAACTTTTCTTATTATTAATTAAAAAAATTAAATTCCTGTTTTACTCACTGTGCACCCCGTAGCCGACGATGAGGACGCCGTGATCGAGATCCTTGGGGCTGCAGAGCATTTTCCATGGGTGAGAAACCCCGCCCATGTAGAACTGCATCGCGTTGGCGTTAATTCCGACGGAAATAGGCCCGTTGACGGTCAACCATTTGGCCATATCCGTTTCGTTTTGACTTATATTTAACGCCCCGGTGAGCTGCACGTTGACCTTGGCACTGTCAAACTTGCATTTTTCGTCTTCCGCTTCGTACGGGTAGACGGACTCTTGTTCAAGACCGCCAAGCTTTTCTATCGCGCTAAAGCAACGAAACGTCAGGTAGATGAGGTAGAGAAGGGTGTGTTGAAAGAACTGGGGTTTAAATCAGTAGCGTCTGGTGGACAAGAACCATGCGGGTGCGAGCCACAAGGCAGCTGAGTAAAGTACAAACGCTATTGAGTCGCTGTGTTACTGGAGCCATGAGCACAATGCTCACTACGGCGTGCTGAATATTTCACCAATGCAGATCTATATACAAGGCAAGACAAGATTCATTGGATATACTGCCCAGTCACAATTAATTAGTGTACATAGCAACAAACAGCTCTACAGGGAGATAAAAGCAACGTCCTAGGCCTGTCTATCGCCAGCAAAACTCAAACATTGCCGGAATTAAATCGCAACCAGAAAAATAATTTAGTAGATAGACAGCTCAAAAACTCAAGAAGGAATAAGACCTGGAATATCTGAAACTAGAACGAAAATAGAAATGTCTATTTCAATGTCCCACGCAGATATTACCGCACTAGAACACTGAGAAAGAGAACATTTCCTAATAAAACATGGCAATCTATACTAACAGGCAATAAACGGCAATAAAAGCTATAAAATCTAGCAAAATAACATCCAAATAAGTTTTGGATTTTTATAAGGCAAGATCCATTGGATATACTGCAAGGCCTAGTCGCAATTAATTTTTGGACATACCAACAAACATGGCAAGCTCTACAGGGAGATAAACGCAACGTCTGCCTATGGGCAGCAAATACACTCAAATATTGCCGGAATTAAATCGCAACCAGAAAAATAATCTAGTACATATACAGCTCAAAAACTCAAGAAGAAATAGGACCTGGAATATCTGAACCCAGGACGAAAATAAAAATTTCTATTCCAATGTCCCAAGCAGACATTACCGCACTAGAAAACTGAGAAAGAGAACATTAACTAATAAAACAATGACAATTTATACTAATAGGCAATAAAACCTATAAAATCTAGCAAAATAACATCCACAAAAGTTTTGAATTTTTTAAGGCGTTGAACGAGATAGTAAGTCACCCTAAAGTGACGCTGTCATGGGTACCAGGGCAAGAAGGCCACAAGATAACGATAGAGCCGACGAAGTAGGATGATTAGACCAAAACCCAAAAAAAAAATCGATGGAAAGAGAAATCTGGAAATGGTGGAAAACATGCCAGAACAAAAACATGGAAATCCTAACAGCGGACTTGTTTAACTACAAAAGAAAGGCCGTAAGAATAATGGTAGGTCTCCTGACGAGCCGCTGTTGCCGGTTTTTGCTTAGTCGAAATTGCTGACGTTTCGCTAATCATCCTGTTGGCTTCTTCAGAGCTTGACTGAAACTGGCTCGTATTTTACTCTATACCTGCTTATATATTGTTTGAGGAGGGCGGGGGGGCACTAATGAGAGGTATCAACACCGTCTCGGATGATTGATTCCCAAATTGGTGACAGGTAGAGACCTGAGTCGCGATTAAGATTGTTAGGTTGTTTATAGATTTCTATAGACTCTCGGATTTTTCGTTGGTAGAAGAACTGATTACATGCAAGAATTTTAGTTTTATCAAATAAAATTTTATGCCATTCATTCATTCCTCTGTTAGCTCACATTCTACTGTGTCCGTGCTTATATACTGTTTGAGAGAGGCGGAGCTAGAAGAGAGAAGTGAACGTTTCCTCGGATGACTGATTCCCATATTGGTGAGTGGGTTAAAATTGTTCGGCTATGTATTCTTTCATTTTTCTTTGGCAGAAGAATTGATTATATGCAAGAATTCTAGCTTTATCGAATAAGATTTGATGATGAGTTTATGTGTCGTAGTCTTAAGGCTGTTTCATGTTCTTTAAGCCTAGTTGATATTTTTCGCTCAGTCTCTCCAATGTATTCTTTGCTTTGGAATGCTGTAAACTCCTGGTATCTCAAACGGTATCTCAGTTCGATCTATATTTCCGCTGATAACAATTATACAGGTGTAATGTCTCTTTCGGCGCACGATCACTTTGCTATTGTTGGAGTTACCGAAAGGCTGCTTATTAACACCAGTAAAAAACCAATATCCGATGCTCCCTAATCCCCTAACTTCTTTGTTAAGGACTCGCTCGCGTAATTGAAAATTATCGATCCATTTGTGACTGGATTTATTCTAGTCTTAAGAATAATATTAATGTTGAGCAACAAGGTTTTATTACAAATAAGTCGTGCACAACCAATCTGGCAACGTTGCCTCAAAATTCATGTGCATCAATTGATGATTTAAGTCAGACGGATGTAGTATATATGGGTTTTCAAAATGCATTTGATCAAATACATAATTATATTTTATTGTTGGAACTTCACACCTATGAGATCGTAGACATCTTGAATTTAGCTCCCTAGTATTTCATCTTACGTCGAGGGTACCCCAAGGGTCAAATTTGCGACCTCTTATTTTTGTCATCTTTATTGATGATATAATTCGTAAGTCAAATTGTAATATGCTTACATTTTATTTTAGGTTCTAATTTATTGTGTATTAAGCGATTTCGCTGTATCCATGCGGACTTGTATATATTAATTAGTATTTCAAAATAATGCTTAGCTAGTAATATTTTGCAAGCAGGTTATTAGCGTCGATCGACTATTAGAATAGCTCATATAACTGTAAGCGTAGAGAACGGGTGTGCACGTTTTTATAAATAAATGTGTGAAACCTCTTGAATGTCCCCGTATATTCAATGCGTCTGAAGAACCGAGACTGACCAAGGAACTACAACTTTTCAGCACTATTGATTCTAACGAGGATTGCTTGTTGCTTCAGGATAACATTAATGTTATATCAGAGTGGTATCGTGGGAAATTAATTAGCTTTAACTGTTTCTAAGTGTAATGTGCTTACTCACTCCAGAAGGCTGAACATTTAATTACGTAACATATGGAACTGTATTGAATCGATTAAGTGAGGTTAAAGACTCGGGGAATGTCTTCGATTCCAGACTTACATTTATACCTCATATTGAGCAATTAGTATAGTAAGATGTTGCTGACACTTCAAATACCTAGAACTATTAGAACTCTACTATTCTTACGTGAGATTTAAATCAGAATATGGGTCATTTGTGTGGCGTCCAATATATTCCAATGTCATATTGATAGCTTGGAGTTGATCAGAGATGGTTCCTTAAATTCTCAGTTTCTAAGGAAGATAATATATATCCTCACAAAGGATTTGATCATCAGGTTCGGGGAATCACCTCTGGAGGCTAGGAAGTACATTAATTGTTTAAAATTTCTGTATGTTCTGTAAAGTAAAATCTTAGGTCCCCAGAATTGAAGCCAGATTTAGGCTTACATTTCATCTCCTTACACCTAGGTTAAATGTTGTATATCAGTCCCCAATTTTGTATATGTGCGGTAAGTTCAAATTGTTTCAGATATATGTGATATTAATGCGGATACACTTCGAGAGATTGTTGCCTGTTTTTGGGTGATGCGCAGAGCTTATAGCTGCGTGTGCGAGTAATTAGCTTCTTTGTATTTTCATTACGTTTCTCTTATTTATATATGTTCAGGCAGAGATTATAAAATTTTTGGAGGACTTCCAAATTAGACTACTGACAAGACTATATATGAAACGGGAGAATTTTCTAGACACTGTCTGGTTTCCACATTTATTCCCCTTCCTTCCTAAGAAAGCAAATGCTACTAGATGCTCTGATTATCGAATTATAAGTCGGTGATATGTATGGTATCAGGCTCAACTGTGGGAAGACCAAAATTCTTGTAGTTAGTAAAAACGATGAGGCGCAATACTACCAGTTTAGGGCCAATAATGAAGTCTTGGAACAACAGAAAAAATGCCGAATAGAAAAAGCCAGAACCGTTTTTAACCGCCTCAGAAAAGTCCTATGTAACATGCACCTAAATGTTACCATCCTGGAACTGGGAACCCTGGACGTTGACAGATGCCACATCTAAGCGTTTTTTTTGTGACATCTACCATGTCACAAAAAAAAACATCGCGGTCCAGTCAGTCAGTCATACATAATGTGAAAGTGAGGAAGATGGTGCCACCCTGGGCATGTGAAGCGTATCGAGAAATATCGATTTATCCAACTAATATTGCAGGGAAAAATAGATGGATGAAGAAGTCAGGGGCGACGACGAACATCGTGGCTGAAAAATATCAGGCAGTGGACGGGAAATGATGACTGGCAATAAGATTGTATGGACCAACATGATTGCTTATCCATAGAGGATAGGCACTAGAAGAAGAACATATATTTTCTGTAATATTAAAGCCTCTCCTATAGGTCAGTTTCGGTTAATATATGTAATATTTATAAACAATCAAAGTAGGGGGAATCCACAAGATTTACCCTGGGGAAGGTTCTTCAACAACAATTCTTATCATTCAAAACAATTAGGAATTTGAGAAGAAAGGAGTACTTTGCCGTGGCAGTCACAAAACGTAGTTTGCGCTATAGCCTATCGTAAATGTTTTCAATGTATGGTTTTTTTTACCTATAAGCGTTTGTCATGTAACCGCCATTGCAACCGTCGTCGCTTTTGTCGCAGTCGATCAGCTCCTGTTCCGAAAACTCCAGCAGTTTACCGTATTTGATGGCGAACTGCCCCTCTATGTTACCGGTGACGCTAAACGCCCAGCAACTTCCGCAACTTCCCTGGTCCTTTACCTCGGCAACGGCACCTGCAAGATCACGTTCGATACCACACGTAACAGTTTGGTAACAGACCAAACAATTCTAGCCGAAGGTTTACTCTAATGCTAAAAATTTACACGCACAAGCGGAGTTGCCACTATCAGGCTTCTTTTATCTATTCGAACTTGAGCTACGTTGCCAAATCAACTCGAGAATATTACGGTTCGAAGAATGCTTTTATATTACACTACATACGTTGCACGGTTGTTAAAACAAATTTAAGTATACAAGGTGAGTCACCAAATAGTTGAAACATATTTATAGAACTCTAAAGTTTTTAGTTAGGCAAAGGGAATAAAGCAACAAAAGAGATATAACGGACTCCATACCACAAAAAAAATTGAACATTTTAATGAGAAGAACATCAATGCAAATCGATTTCTCGTAGACATTAGTAACATACCTGGCGATGCTTTGCCGAACTTAACACAAGAAATCTCGCGTAAATTTTTAGGTGACTTTTTCAAACAAATGTTAATAAGTCAATCTTCAGTTGTTGAATTAAATATCGTGGCAGAATTAGAAAACTTTCATAGTTTAGATAAAAAATCAAACACCAGTAGAATACATTTTGACTGTGATACGTCATTAAACGCGCTTTAATTAAAACTCTAAATATAAATAAAAAAAATAACCGCAATTAAGTGGTATTACGCTTAGAGTAGTGTCTGATATGTTCAGTTTCAACAATTAAAAGTATTATTACCCAATTCAAGTCCAAAGGTACCGCAATAAATAACTGCAAATGTTCAGCTGAAAAACAAAAGGATTAGTTACGAGGATAAATATTAAACCACAGGGGAAGGGGACGAAGAAATACGAGGTTAGCGCCAAAATTTCCCGGCCTAACATAGATGCAGCTTCAGTATCACGATAAAACTGTGTCTTCTTTTAAATATGTATTTTAGTAGGCTGCGACAAAAAAAATTGAAGTCTTGCGTCAATTAGTTTTTTATTGACAGCATTTTAAACAAGACGTATCCGAAAAATTGTCGCAAATAACGCAAATTAAGTATAGAGCAGTCATAAAGTTTTTGACAAAAGAGGGGTTAGCACCTCTATCGAAAAAAGAATCAATGGAGTGGCGTCGTAGAAAATTCAGAGTCTGCCAGTCAACAAAAAAGGTAATGGTCACGATCTTTTGGGATTGTGAAGGAATTCTTTTGATAGACTTTAAAGAAACTAATACCAGTGTCAATGGTAAATATTAGGCAACATTATTACATAAAATGCGAGACTACATACGTCGTAAGACGTCGAGGAAAACTGACCAGAGGTGTGCGTCTTTTGCACGATAATGCACCCGTCCATACTGCTGGTGTTGCACAAGCTGCCATTTTAGAGTGTGGGTTCCAACAGATAGATCATCCTCCCTATAGTCCAGATATGACCCCCAGCGACTATTATTTGTTTGGATATTTTGAAAAAGGACTTACGTGGACTTGGACGGATTAACGACACAGTTGAGTTAAAAGAGGCTGTTTTAGCAGACAAATCAAAAGAATATATTTTTTAAAGGGATTGAGTTGTTAATAAAGAGATGTAATAAGTGTATTGAAGCTAAGGGGGATTATATTGAAAAATTAAAAAAAATTGTTACTCTACTTTGTTTTTTTCATATTCAGGACGGGAAATTTTCGCGCTGGCCTCATAAGAGTAGCATTTCGTTTTGAATTTTTTGGATTTTTAAAAAATATATTTGTTTTAATGATAAATGTAGATTTACAGTCAACAACCAAATGTTCAAAACTATCGGTATTGAAACCAAGGCAATCAACATCAATATCAATATAAAATAAATGTTATGGTGGAAATTTGCAGACATCATATTATTGGGTCATTTTTATGGACTGTAACCTCAGGTCAGAAACCTATTCGGACTTATTACAAAATCAAATTGAACCTGCACTAAAAAAGTTGTTCGCGAAGATAAAGAGATCTGGCACTAGATGGTTAGGAAGTATTTGGGAAATACGTTTAACGCGAATTATTGACCAAAGGTCCTTTGATCACCCAGGTCACCTGTCCTCTCGCCGAACGACTTCATTCAATGGGGTCACGGGAAAAGTGGTATCTACGAAAATGTTAAATTTGGAAATCTTAACCAGTTACAAAACGCCATTTCCTTATAATGCGACAGGATTTCACAATATCAACTAAATAATGTGAGAAATTAATTTTATGATCGCTTAGGATATTGTTCAACTGTTAATGGAGGGTTTTAACTTACTTAAAAAATAATGTTTCTTGATGATGATGAATGAAATTCAGTCCAAGAACGCTTTAAGGGTACATGGAGATCTTAAAAACCGAGTATGAGTTTCATCCTAAGAAAAACGTAATGATATACCTACATACTTAGTATAGTTCGAATGTGTGAAACCAAATGTGTATGTCTTTATTAAAAAGCAACTTTTATCCAATGTATAGCTTGACGTACGTCAAGTTTTGGGAATAGCATCACGGAGAATAATCGCTGGTGTCATATTTAAATCAATAACTGAAGATTGACTGATTAACATTAATTCAAAGTCGGTACATGAGTTCAAAAAGTTATATTTCAGCTTTGCTATAAAATGTAGAGTGGTTACTAAAAATTTACTAGCTATATTAACCTGTATATCTATACCGTGTCAATAGTACCCATAAAGACGCAAAATCGCAATCGGCCTTCTGTGCGTTTTATATTAGTCTAGGTCTGTTCAATCTACGGTTTGGCGTAATCGTGTCTTACCTTTTTTGCGCCAATCGAACTCGACTGGCAAAGAAACATCTGGAATTATCGCCCGCTTTAACGGCACTTCGTTTTCGTTTAACATGTCGAGCCTTAAACCGTGAGACTTGGAGAACTCTTTCGACGTCATATCGGCAAACTCGGTCAGTCCGTATCTGCCCGTCCCTTGTTCGAACTTGTTAAGCAGGGCAATGGTGTTTAGGTTATCCTTAAACACCTGAAATAAAGCCAATTCGTTAAAATAACAAGAAACCGGTTATGGGAGTTATTGATTACGTCCATGTACACAGTAACGGACTGGCCTGAAGCAGTCTAGGGTTCTAAACCACATACAATAATATTTTATTTTACATTAGGGGAGTTTCATTTAAAAACTTTAAATTTCCTCAAGATGGCAAAAGTTTAGAAAACCCCTCAATCAATAGATATTTCAAACTCTGATATATTCTTACCACTAACATAATAAAATCAGAAGTTTCATGTTATTTATATATCTTATCTTATTTATATATGTATCTATCTATCATACATCTTATTTATATATCTACCGTGTGGCGCTGCCATAACTATCAAAGAATGTATTTGCTGATGATTTTTAATGAAATGTTGAGTTCTTAAATAGCTTTTTTAATTTTAGGATACACTGCACCACGACTTGCTAACTAGCACCCTTTATTGTCTAAGCAACCTTTTTTAATATTTTGCCTACCTACAAATGATATTTAACCCTGACTGGCGCCTTCGCCGAATTTAACAAGTATTTCTAACACCCTCTCCTAATAATTGTTAAAAGAGAATCTTTTTTTCAACAAAACTAAACAAATCATTTAGAAACTTTACACAAAAATCATAATCAAACAAACCAGCTCTAAACTTATTAAATTTGTGTCAATAAATCAGCTACCTGAAATTGTGAGCTATGGTATTCTCATTGAATAAGGGTCACTAAATTTTGGACTAACAAAATGATGTGTTTGCTTCTCTCTGGTCGTCCACTTTCAATGTGACATTCGGCTTTTGTTTAATCAGCTCTTTAATAAAATACTTGAGATACAATCAGCAGCAGAATAAGAGCCCCACAGTAAAAAATGACATACTCTCGTGCTCTTTCTGTCATTTCATATCATGTCTGCTGTAAAGTCTGAGTATAGTTTGTCTATTTTTGTTTTATATATACTTCAAGATTCTTTTCACATTTGTTACATCTGGTTTGCTAGGTTTGTTTGTCCTTCTATTTGTCAAGTAAAGTAAACTTGGTCGTGCCTCTCTTGGGAAATCTGGATATTTCTGGTTTAAGCGTAAAATTAAGTAAATGCTCTAAAAATATTATTAGCGCATGCGCTAAATTAATACACCTTTACTTTAAACAACATACCTATTCTGAGGTCTTAAAAGTGGTACTTGTAATAACTTTTAACCTCAAAATTATAATAATTATAATGTATTGCCATCAGGATTAGAAATTTCTTTCAAGTAAATGATTATTTCACACTGCCAATTTGCATTTAGGAAGAATAAAGTGATTATCGCAGAAACTTAAAAGTTCAGGCGGTTAGGGAGAATGGAGTGTCGCCGATATTTTTTTATATTTTTTGTCTGTTTAAAATATTGCAAATAGAAGGCTTCACAATTTTTAATATCTTTGATTTTGATTTAACTCTAAATTTATGTAAGTTATATTACTATTTACAAATCTTCCGAATTCCTCCTGCGGCGGCTTTTGATAAGTCAAACTTTGCTGACGTTTCGCCAATCATTCAGTTGGTTTTTTCAGAGATTAACTGAAACCACACACTTGCCACTGTTGTCCTTCGTTACATTCAAAAAATTACTGACCACGTATCAAAAGTGTTCAATTTACCTCTTAACATATTCGTCAAAGACAAAATTCCGTTTGAGATACCAGGATACAGCATTCAATGCATACGGGGCAGAGAATAGACTAGAGAGACAGGACGCAAAATACCAACTAGGCTCAAAAAACACGAAAAATCAGAGAGTCTATAGAAATTCATATACAACCTAACAATCTTAACCCAATCTGATTCCCATATTGTCACCAATATGGGAATCAGTCATCCGAGACGGTGTTTATGCTCCTCATTTAGCTCCGCCCCCCTCAAACAATATATAAGCAGGTACAGAGTAAAATACGAGCCACTTTCAGTCAAGCTCTGAAGAAGCCAACAGGATGATTGGCGAAACGTCAGCAAAAACCGACGCAGGAAGAATCCTGAATATTTGTAAATAGTATTACGGTAGCGTATGGAAGTTTCTTTGAAAAACGATATAGTTACTTTGTCAGACTATTGCATCACCGTGCCCGTAAAATATTAAAGTAGTAACATTTTGCCCACCGAGTACACCTAAATAGCGTTATATTTACTCTCCCTGACAAGCGAGATGCGCACAAAACTCACCTTTAAACGAAAATTGTACTCCTCCTTGTTCCTGTAGACCTTTTCGTACTTCTGCAGGAACTGATTGAACGCTTTCGTCAAGTGATTGTGAACGTGGTTTTGGTTTTCTTCATACAACTCGCTGCCGGGCGTGAACGAATACACGTTATCGTCGCTTTCGCACGTGACGTTCATGTTCAACCCGTCGATTAACCACGGTCGTTCGTGTACCGAATACTGGCAAACCTCCTGTCGGCAGGTGTCTCGTATCTCGGAATATGCCGGACATAAATCGATGACGGTGTCGATGTTCCACAACGAGCCTGCTACCGTCTGCTTTCGCACCTGCCTGATGTTGTTCAAGATGTATTCGCCGTCGAAATTCGATTTGGCCGACAGATATTTGAGGCCCATTTTTACAAACTGTCGCGCCCTCGGGTGGACGACCGACATATCCGTTTTGCCTGAAATAGTAAAAGAAAAATTGCACTTGCGGTGGAATAAGGCCGTAACAATCTCAATAATTAAAAATAATTTATCTTCATCTACATACAGATGAGATAGGAAAGATCAAATTTCGTAATACTAACCTAGAAAGAACTTTGAAATGCTTTAAGAACTTGCATGTGTTTATCTTATTCGGCAAGTTATGAGGGAAACGTAAAGCCAACTGAAACTTGGAAATATCTTTGCCTAGGTTAGAATTACGTCTAGTATTTAAATTATTTATATCACTTTTTTTGAATTTACCACAATTTGTAAAAAACAATTAGACAAACTTTATACAAAAACAAAGACGGTATTGTTAACATGTTAATGTCTAAAATAATTGCTACAGCTATGGGCTTTTTTCTTTCCAGCAAGAGAACGCATACACCGTTTTAGTGCATCTTGAATTGTTTGAGATACATGCTGTTAATTTTGGCAAGTTTTTTGGAAAATAATGACTCAAAAATATTTTCTATGCGCTAAAAAGTTTATTCTAATTTTCAACATAACTTTGAAATGCTTTAAGAACATGCATGTATTTATATTATTTGGTAAATTATTAAAAAGTGTTTTGAGGGAAACCTAAGGCTAAGTGAAACTTTGAAATATCTGTATCTAGGTTATAACTACGTCTAGAATTTAAATTACTTATATATATATATATATATATATATATATATATATATATATATATATATATATATATATATATATATATATATATATATATATATATATATATATATATATATATGATGACACTATATTCCGGGATATCATCGTGTTCGAAGTGTTTTCGGAGCGCGAGCATTGAAGATGCCAAGTGAGATTTTGGCGAAACGTCTGCAGGATTCCAGTCGGATGCAAGATTTGCAGGATTCCAGTCGGATGCAGGATTCCAGTCGGAGTTCAACGAGCGAACGGATGATATCCCGGAATATAGTGTCATCACATTTTTCCATCCGTGAATCAATACGTGAGAATATATATATATATATATATATATATATATATATATATATATATATATATATATATATATATATATATATATATATATATATATATATATATATATATATATATATATATATATATATATTTAAGAAATGGTTCTTGGGTTTTTTTTGGTCCTTTTTTAGTGAAATTAAAATAAGTTTCCGTTACTTGTGAAACATTTTATTTTTTGCGACGTTTCGGCCTTCAAGACCTTCTTCAGACATTTAATTTTAACCTACAAAAATGTGTTTTTAAATAAAATTATTTATAGCATTGTTTTCCTGGTCATAATTAAAACATAGATAAAAATTTGTATAGGAGTCAGCATTGAAATGATTAAAAATTACTAGTGCAAGTCAATAGAACAAACAAAGTGATTAAAAATTGTATAAAAATAGATGCGCAGCAATAAAACATACATAATTTTTTATATTACGATTACATATATACCTTAAGCCAAAAATCAACGGTTCACTATATAGTTGTTTGGTAATTTACAGTTTTACAACATTCACAACAGACATATTGAATATGTAAATCGACAAGCCACATTGATAAGACGACGAACCAAAACAATAATGCGAAGCCCGGATGTACGTTTCTTCACAGTAGGACAACGGAGTTTTTTTTTTTCTGAAGCTTTTTTTTTGTGTGTGAGATTCACGGGTTAATGTGTCTCTTTATTTAATTAAGTTGTGATAAATTTTGCTGAGATTTTTTGTGTCAGTCTTAGAGTTTATGGCGTATCTTAAAGAAAAGATAAAAAATGTCAGAATACCTGAAAACTATGTTTTGATCTCGTTAGATGTCATTTCTCTATACACAAATATTCCCATCCCTTTAGCTAAAGATATAATAAAGAAAAAATGGCCAAAAATTAAACATTTCACAGATATTCCGTTAAATCACTTTCTTGAAGCTGTAGAATTAACATTAACATCAACCTATTTCTTATTCAATGACAAATATTACAGGCAGGTCGATGGTTGTGCAGTGGGAGCATCGATTTCCAGTGTTATTGCACAGTTAGTAATGGAAGATTTGGAAGAATCCGTACTAAAAAATATAAAACTTCATATCCCCCTATTTTATCGTTATGTCGATGACTGCGTAAGTGCTGTCCCAAAAACTGAAATCGATGATATTCTAGAGAATTTTAATTCATACAACGACAAACTTCAATTTTTAATAGAGATCGAAAAAAATAACGTCATTAACTTTCTAGACCTGACTCTATACCACAGCAAAGATCAGATCAAAACCAAATGGTACACCAAAGATACTTGGTCATCTAGGTATGATACGCCATAAACTCTAAGACTGACACAAAAAATCTCAGCAAAATTTATCACAACTTAATTAAATAAAGAGACACATTAACCCGTGAATCTCACACAAACAAAAAAAAAAAGCTTTAGAAAAAAAAAAAAACTCCGTTGTCCTACTGTGAAGAAACGTACATCCGGGCTTCGCATTATTGTTTTGGTTCGTCGTCTTATCAATGTGGCTTGTCGATTTACATATTCAATATGTCTGTTGTGAATGTTGTAAAACTGTAAATTACCAAGCAACTATATAGTGAACCGTTGATTTTTGGCTTAAGGTATGTATGTAATCGTAATATAAAAAATTATGTATGTTTTATTGTTGTGCATCTATTTTTATACAATTTTTAATCACTTTGTTTGTTCTATTGACTTGCACTAGTAATTTTTAATCATTTCAATGCTGACTCCTATACAAATTTTTATCTATGTTTTAATTATGACCAGGAAAACAATGCTATAAATAATTTTATTTAAAAACACATTTTTGTAGGTTAAAATTAAATGTCTGAAGAAGGTCCAAAAAATAAAATGTTTCACAAGTAACGGAAACTTATTTTAATTTCACTAAAAAAGGACCAAAAAAAACCCAAGAACCATTTCTTAAGAATATATAAAATTAAAAGGATCCAAGAACTCACAAACTAGCCCTAGTTCGTTAAAAACAATCAGAAAAAATTTATAAAAAACAAAGATAGTATTGTTAATATGTTAATTTTTAAAATAGTTACTACAGCTTTGCGTTTTATCTTACCAGCAAGAGAAGGCACGCATCTTTTTTGAGCAACAAAAACCTTCTAAACTATGTTAATTTGACTAGTTGAACATTTTCTTAAAAGTAAATTAATATATTCACACTTTCATTATATGTCTATGTGCATCAAATTTCTCAATACTAGCATAGAAAGTAAAAAAAGGATATCTTTGCCTTATTTTATGATGACGAAACTTATAAATATCTGTGCTTAGGTTAGAACCACATCTAGTAATAATCCGACACATTTTATACAAAAACAAGGACGGCATTGTTAAAATGTTAAAAGATTTTAAATAATTTCCACCAGCTATGGGTTTTTTTCGTTTCAGCATGAGAAGGCATACACCTTTTTTTTTCAGCAAAAACCTTCAATTCCTTGGATTTTTTATTATACATAATGTGTTAATTTGGCTAGTATAACATTTTTTAGAAAATAATGAATAATGAATAATGATCCGAGACATAAAATTATACAGTTGGCTAAAAGTCGAATATTTACCTCCAAGGAACAAAGACCTTTTTTCCCTAGACGAAGGATCGGAAGCGAACGTATACTCCTTGTCGTCACATTTCACGGTATACTGTCTCTTTTTCAGCCAGGGTCGGTCCCACACCTTTATGGTACAAACTACCGGGACCGATCCTTCGGTGACGTCACACGCATCGACGGGCTTCGGGTCCACTAGTTTACAATCCGATCGGCCGATTTTCACTTTGACGTTATAACTGACCCCCGAGACCACCTGGGACGTTGCCGATATAACCTTAAAAGAACAACCATATACCTTCACCGAACCCGAGGTAAGTAAAAATCGTGCAAATATAATACGACCAAAAATATAGTGCATTTATTTTAACATCAGGAATATGAATGGTTCTTAAGAGTTTAATCTAAATCGCAATATGTTCGTATATATTACGAGCTTTGACCCTGTGTGGCTGTTTTCACTGTATAGTTCAAAGGGTAAGGGTAAGTACCTGTAAGTTTGAAAATAATCATTTTTGTCATTCTTCTTCTTGTATTTTTGTCTTCTACATAGTTCTTCGATTATTTTTTACAACTACAGATTATATTTACTTTAGATAAAGGTACGTCATAAGAATACAGATAAATATTTTTGGAAGGTTCCTGTTTTTTAATACTTTAAAATGTGGAGACCGTGGAATGAAGCAGATGGTCCCCTGTTAGAAGAAGACATGGGAAACAACGCAGAATTTGAAGACGAAGTGGAGATGGGAGTCGAACCTAATGACAATTTAGAAGACGAACTACCTCAGCAAATAAAAAAAATGGATCCATTTGTCTTCGGATGCTAGACAAATTATTTTGAATGTTTGCAATTTTATAAGAAATTCAGAAGGGAAAGTAGGAGCAGCAATCAAAACCAGTGATCAAAGTTCCGAAGGCAACTGTAAGAAAAATTGTTGCGAGTTTTTAAAGAGCAACACGCAGATCTAATTAGGCGTATAATCTACGACGTGAATAGTGTTTAACCCTAGAAGAACTGCATAAAAAAGTACTGACAAAGTACTTTTTTGAATAAAATGAGTTTTCAGTTCCAAACAATTAATAAACGTCAAGTGCTAATGGAATCTCAAAGAAAAAAGAATGAAAAAATTTCGAGAACAAAATAGATGAAACGTGGTTCGACACGACACAGTAAAAATAGATGGTGTGATAAGAGTAACCAGTGTGGAAAACGCATAATAATGGGGTCTGCTGGGTCCAAAAATGGTTGGGTGGAAGATGCCTGAATTTTTTCTGCCAAAAACGTACAAAGATTCAAGTGTGGCTATAAACTTTGGCAAAACTTCGCCGTATACTGTTATTGTGTTGGATAATGCCTAGTATCGTTCAGACCAAAATAGAAGAATTCCAAATACTTCTTCAAATGAATAAGAAATTGAAGAATTTCTGTACAAAAATGATTTATATTTTGAAGAGAGCTACACGAAAAAACGACTTCTGGAATGATTAAAAATAAAACATTTTAATAAATACTTCAACATCGATTCGATAGCACAACAAAATGGACATGAAATTTTGAGATTACCCCCGTATCATTGTATATTTAACCCGATTGAGATGATTTAGTCTGACTTGAAAGCGCATATAAGAAGAAATAACACTGCACCAAAATTAAGTGATGGTACCATAAACGTAATTCGGCAAGAGGTAGCTAAAATATCAGTACGAAGCTGGTCTAACTGTGAAAAACGAGTAATAAAAGAAGAAAATATTTATCGAGAACGATTAGTGACGGAGTTAATCATTGTCGTCACCTAGGACGGTGACTATTTTTTAAGTGACTGATACTTTACTATTATTATATTTAATATTTTATATATTAATAATGATACTAGGACGGTCCTGGAATGGTTATGGATAAGAGTGTGCTTGGCAGTGTCTTCTATGGAGTAATAAACAGTAGGCAAAGTTAATCACGGGGTCGGTTGTAAAAGCACTATATTTCTGGTCCAAGTATACCTCAATGGCTTTGTGCTTATTGTCGCCTTCGGACACAGAGTCCAAATGCGCCAAACTGGCGCTGACAAATTCTTGAATCGTCGGATCGTTTACCGACATAGGCGTATGACCGCCGACCAACTGCATGGCGCGTTTGTATCTGCTGTAGTTCGTCCGATTCCTATCGTTCTCGTCCTTTTTGATATTCTGACACTGCGATTTGACCACTTTCGGATTGGAAAAGTCGTCGTCTACGTGAACCTGCACCTTGCAGATCTTCGTCAGGTTCGTAAACAACTTATCCCTGCAATTTTCGTTGTGTTCGCCCTCGAGACACTTGGATATCCCCAAACGCAGTATGATTTGGTAGTAAATACCGTCCAGTTTCAGTTTTTTCGCTCCCAAAATCTGAAGAATCACCCGCTTGTGGTTGTCGTCGTCGATCTTGTCGAGGGACGCGGCAGCAAAGTCTGCCAAGTCGCGAACAACAACCTAAAATAATATGTCAGTAAATGACGTCGCTCCATATAGACCGACTCCGGCGAACCTTTTCGTCTGACGTGATTTTTTCGAGCTTGCCCACCGAACGTTTGTGTCTGTCCTTATCGTCGCTGTCAGAACTGCTGTCACTCTTAAGCTCCTCCTTCCGTGAGTTCTCTACTTTATTGTCGTCGTCGCTATTGTTGCTTGAATGGCTTTTATCTTTGTCGTTGCTGTCGCTGGAACTGCTACTGTCCCCCGTCTCTCTTTTCACTTTTTGCTCTTTTTCTTCGCTGCTATTAGATTTACTATTGGACTCCTCTGATGTGTTTGCCACGTCTCTCTTCACTTTTTTCTGATTTTCTTCGCTACTATTTGATTTGCTGTTAGACTCTTCTGACGTATTTTGCAAATCCCTTTTCACTTTTTGCTTTTTCTCTTCACTACTATCTGATTTACTATTAGATTCCTCTGATGTGTTTGGTGCATCTCTTTTAACTTTTTTCTGTTTTTCTTCGCTACTATTGGATTTGCTGTTAGACTCTTCTGATGTGTTTCCCAAATCTCTTTTCACTTTTTGCTTTTTTTCTTCACTACTATCTGATTTACTATTAGATTCCTCTGATGTGTTTGGTGCATCTCTTTTAACTTTCTTCTGCTTTTCTTCGCTACTATTTGATTTGCTGTTAGAGTCTTCTGATGTGTTTCCCAAATCCCTTTTCACTTTTTGCTTTTTTTCTTCACTACTATCTGATTTACTATTAGATTCCTCTGATGTGTTTGGCGTATCTCTTTTCACTTTTTTCTGCTTTTCTTCGCTACTATTTGATTTGCTGTTAGACTCTTCTGATGTGTTGCCCAAATCTCTTTTCACTCTTTGCTGTTTTTCCTCGCTGCTATTAGATTTACTATTAGACTCCTCTGATGTGTTTGACACATCTCTTTTCACTTTTTTCTGCTTTTCTTCGCTACTATTTGATTTGCTGTCAGATTCTTCTGACGTGTTTTGCAGATCCCTTTTCACTTTTTGCTTTTTTTCTTCGCTACTATCTGACTTACTATTTGATTTGCTGTTAGACTCTTCCGATGTGTTTTGCAAATCTCTTTTCACTTTGTGCTGCTTTTCTTCACTACTATCAGATTTGCTATTAGATTCTTCTGACGTGTTGTGCAAGTCTCTTCTCACTCTTCCTTGTTTTTCCTCTTTGCTGTTAGACTTACTATCGGACTCCTCTGAGGTATTTTCTAAATCTCTTTTCACTTTTTGCTGTTTCTCTTCGCTGCTGTTAGATTTACTATCGGAATCTTCCGAAGTGTTTTTTAAATCCCTTTTGACTTTTTGCCTTTTTTCATGACCATCACTATTGGAATTTGATTCTTCAGAAGTGCCCAGGGCATTTTCCAATGACCTTTTCCTTCTGACTTGTTGTGGGGCTTCTGATCCGGCAGCAAAAACTTCAATTTCCGGAGTTACACTAATTCCAGTTTTTCCACCATCGAGATTATTCTTGTTTTTATTTTTTCGCTCTTCGGAACTACTACTGTCCGATTTAGATTCTTCACTGGAACTGCCCTCTAGCGCCCTTTTAAGCCTGTCATCGGTTACCTGCACGACACTGGGTCCATCGAAAGTCAGATTTTCAAGAGCGGATTCTGGTTCGCCAAGTGTTCGATCTTGACGCGGGTCGTATAGCATTACAAATGGCCCGTCTTCATCCACAACCGGAGCTTGAGGCGGGTCGTAAGTTTGGGCCTCAATACTGGGAGGGTCCACCTGAATATTTTCATTATCTAGAATTTCTTATATTATAGGGTTTACGCTCAAATCGGTTTGAAATACATTACCGGACTGGGGCGTACTCGTGTCATTTGTAACGGCGACGACGCCACTGTCGTCGGTTTTCGGGGTTTCTTTAACATTAGGTTCGGCCAACAGAATCTGAGATTCCAAATCCGCTAATCTCGCGGGATCCATTTCCGTATCTGCGTTATCTATCGCGAAAACAAATATCCGTAGCGAATTTTTGTGATCACAGACTTTAAAACGTATTGTGCGAAAATGTTGATTTGTGTTTCATACAAATTAATTTTGTCTGCACTTTATAAAAAAAAAATACAGACCACAATTTATTTAATACAATAGTATACCGGGTGACACAAGAAAGAGGGAACACTTTATCACTTTTAAACGGCTCGAGATGGTTGTTACACTTCCGGTTTGAGCGGAAATGATAGTAACTTTTGAGTTTTAAATGGCACAACCTTTATTTTTTTCATTTTTGTATTCAGATCATTCTACGTTTAATTTTTTATTTAATTTTTGAAAATTGTGTTTAGGAGGCTGTGACCATCGTAGACACTATTCACTATACTATTAAATGAAACTTTTCTTTACTTGTCTAGACTATTATTTTTTTAGGATAACCTAGTATTTTCAAATAGCTCTCTAGTGGGAACAAAAACTTTTTAAAACCGGTACATTTTTAGCAATATTTTGATAACATAATTTTCAAAATCCGTTAAAAAATAAGTTCACAGGAAGGACAAAATCAGATAAGTGTAATACTTTTTTATAAAAACAAAACTGGCTTTGCTTCTATTGATTATTAATTGTCAAGTCGGTAAGATTAAAATGCAGAAGAAACTCTCGAAGCTTATGCAGTGGAAAGAGAAAAACACGTTACTATTTCAAAAAATCTATAAAATTCAAGAGAGAGGAGATTCAATGATTAGAATTTTTTGCTGAAAGTGTTGTATTATGGTAAAAAGTTGATATGCTTTTGGACTACGGGGATACGGTCAAAAACTCATCAAAGTATTGTATGTAATACGTACGTCGTAAGCTACAGGAACTTTTTGTTTTTCTTTTCAAATCTGCCACTTTTTGGGATAATTCAACACAATATTTTGAAAATATGTTAGGAAAATAAAACCTCAACAATGTCGATAGAACAGTCAATAGAAAGTGATATATCAACGTGTGTGCCATTTAAAATTCGAAAGTTACTGTCTTTTCCGCTCAAACCGGAAGTGCAACCATTGTACATATTGTCAAAAAATTGGACATTCAGCCTATATTAACCCTTCAAATCGATATCGAAAGCGGTTTAAAATTTATAGAGTGTTCTCACTTCTTGTGTCACCCGGTATACATTACATACATTACTTTGTACCTACTGAACTTCTTATTATTTATTAATGAATTGTGGTGTGGTATGTCAAGTAAATTTGACTTTATTTATCGTTTTACCAATATGTGGGTAAAATACGAGGGTAACTTGAAAAGTTTCCGACTTTACCCTGAAGATGGCGGCATTAGTTACTAAAAGCTAGTGATCGTAGTTGCGCACCTCTTGATAGTTACTTAAAAATGTTTCAATCGTTTTGGATGAGAAAATGGAACAAACTGAGTATAACGCTGTCCACGCGTTGGGTGCCGCGTTTATTCACGTTGGTATTCTTTTTGCAATACCACTTTTTTTAATTTTTATTTTTTAAATTTCGAATCGTTTCTAAAACATTCAAAATATTACACTAATTAATATACATTTTATTTAAAAGGGTCACAACAAAACAAACTTAAGTAAATATAATTTTAAAAATATAGACAAATATTTTTTAAAAACAGCTGGGTAATGTTTCCAGCGCAAAAGGAAGCTAAAAATTAGAAATGATGACGGTACAGGGTGAGTCAACAATAGAGTAAGTTCATTATCTCATTGGTTCCAGAAATTTTGTTTTGAATTCCTTATAAAATTCTTCAACTTTTTTTTATTAATAATAATACATACTTAAACCTAATATTTTTCCAATATTTTAATTTTTCTAAAAAAAGTCCAATTTTCACATTTTCCAAAAATTTACGATAGCGTCATTATTTTTGAAGGTAGATATTTGACATTACCGTATTCGCAGATGACGTAAAAGATATATGCCATGGAATGTGAATTAGATGCTACAGGGTATTCAAAATAAACGAATATATTTCTAAAATGTCATATACCTACAGTGAAAACTCCCTATAGCAAAACTTTGTATTACGAACAAAATTTGTTATACTATTAGGTCTCCATACAAAGCTATGTGTTAATCCAGTCTGTATAATGAATTTATCACTCTCTTTACCGAAAGAAAAAAGGGCACATCAGGTAACAAAGTAAGGAATGTAGGCCGATTTGTAATTAATAGAGTCTCTTTCCTTCTCAGAATTCCTTACACTAATAATCTAATTACCGAGAGCCTGGTCGTCCTAAGTGTTTTTTTCGTAAGAAGCGATTATGTTAATGCCTTTATCGCTCTGTATAAACGCACAACATTGTTTCAATCAGTTTTAATTTGACTTAGTGAATAATGGCGACTAAGCGAAAAATTTTATATCTAGATGATGAGATAGAACGGGGAGAAAAGAAAAATGATGTGGGATGTCGATACGGAGTGCAAAGAAAAAATCATTCAAGCTGCAGCGACCGGCAGTTCTAGTAAAAAACTAACAAAGCCAAAATTTGAAGATCTGGATCGGGCAATGTTGCAGTAGTTCCAACAGCAACGTCTTAAAAATGTCCACTCTCTGGCATTGGCATTATCGATTTCAAGGCTTCGGAAGGATGCTTGGAGAAGTTCAAACAGAGACATGGTATAAATTATGGACAGATAAGTGGCGAAGCCCGTGATGTCGACAGAAACGTCACTAACGATTGGCTGGAGAAGACGTGGCCAAAACTAGCAGAAAAGTGCCCTGCTGACGACATTTTTAATGATGACGAAACTGGTATTTTTTACAAAATGACGGCAGATAAAACTCATAAATTTTGAAGCATAAAGTGTGTGGGTGGAAAACTTTCTAAAGAACGTATAACAGTGTTTAGTAGCTGCCAATATGAGTGGGACAGAAAAAAGAAAGCTAGTCGTGATTCGAAAGTCAACTAACCCACAATGTTTTAAGAACATCAAGCATTTGCCGGTCACTTACGAGGCAAACAAGTCTGCATGGATGACATCGCAAATTTTTGAAGAGGAGATACGGAAATGGGATGCAGAATTAAAGGGGAGGAAAATATTACTTCTCTTAGATAACTGCCCTGCACATCCCCATATTCCAAATCTACGGAATATTGAATTAGCATTTTTTTTTCAGCCAAAACAACAAGTATATTACAGCCGATGGACCAGAGCATAATAAAAAGAGTCGAAACAGCAAAAATATTTTAATGGAAATGGTCGAGTCCGAAGACAAATTTTCCATTAATATGCTAGATGCATACAACTTTATTAGTAAAGCTTGGAAAGAGGTGACAGCAGAAACAATTCAACACTCCTATCGTCATGCAGGACTTATTACCGAGACAGTGATAGATCAGGATTTTCCTACAACAGTAGACTTAACAGAGGAAGCCATATTACAACAAGCAAGAAACGGTGAGGAAGAGCATCAAGAGGAAGAAGATGAAGAAGTTGATCTGGGACCACCACCAACTATTCAACAAGCCCTATATTCAGTTAAGCTGCTAGAGACATTTTTTATGTATCTAGGGGAAGATGCCCCTCTCGAAGAAATGCTGAAAATATAAGCCAAAGTACAAGATGCGTATTGGCATACTAAAAAAATTCAAAAGAAAATGACCGATTATTTGAACCATTAAATGTAGTTCCTAAATATTCATATAAAATATTCCTAAGTAGATGTTAAAATATGTATATAAAATAATTAAATATTACAGAACCTCTAAGCGTATTGTTATTTTTCAAGTGCCCATAACTCTTTACATCGAAAACTCTTTATAACGAAAAAAAAAAAGCAGTTCCTTCAATTTCACTATATAGAGTTTCGACTGTATTTTTAATTTTTTTTAACCTTATTTCTGTCTAAGAGTATTGCTATAAAGATTAGTTCGCCATGATAACACTATTAGGCAACAGCAACAAACAGTTATTAGCAATTGTGCAATTTTTGTATTTACCATTTCCGCATAACTTTTGAAACCGATGAGATAATGAACTTTAATCTATCGTTGACTCACCCCAGACATTATTATGAGATGGACAAAAGTATTGTCATGGCTTGGACGGAAGCTGTTTGCATTAGAACGTAGCAACGCGAAAATATTTCGACAAATCTGATAAAACCATTTCCGATCCTTCTCTTTATAACAAAACAGGTTTGAAGAGTAAACACTTTTCCTTCCTTCTTTAACTTAGTGCGTTTCAACTTTATATAAAACTGTAATTTTTTGTTTTTGTGAATCTGGCTTTCATTTTTCTAAGACCAACTTTTCGTGGACTATTTGTTTCAATTATTTCAGTTTTTTCTAAATTCCATCCCTTGGATTTGACTAATCGCCGCATATAGTAGCACCAACGATTTAAAGTCAAGAATCCCAGTCAAGAAATTTGCAAAGGAAACTGTTCTTTGGATTTTCTGGCAAAGTTGTAAATTTTCACACGATTGAAATTGATTACAATTCAGCACTACCTTTTAACGGCTTAATCTCATTATCCAAATCGTCTTTCTGCTCGAAAACAGCAAGGCTGAACTCTTGAGATACTGTGCAATTATTGCTAATTACGAGTTTGTCTTTGCTAAGCCACGGCTTTTCTATAAACGTCACTTCGCAAGTCATAGGTTCGACGTTCAGGTCCAACTGGCATTCGCTTGACGATTGGACAGACTTCGGGCACGTCGTAGCAGAAACTTCAAGTTGCAGAATGTATTTTACCCCTGCAACAATCTAGAAAACGCATAGGTGTAGGTAAGAAATTATTTCTAATATTTTTGTAACTGCTCTGAACCTGTCGTTGAAGTCTTCGCACTTTAAGAGCTGCGTATTTGGGATCCCTTTCGCTTTCAATGTGCCGCAAGGCGATGGAGACAAGTTCTTCGACACCGTCGGCGTCCGTGGACAAATCGAATGGACACCCCAGACACGGAACCGAATTGCGCCGCATGGCTACGAAATCTACTCCTTGGTCCTGTTCGGTCGAAATGGGTTCCACGCTCAAGTCAAACTATAAAAGGCGTCTTTTACCATCTATTAGTGTGCTTTTTGTCTTTTTAATATTGTTATTATCTACCCGGACAATCGGGAGCGAAATTCGGCGAAAGTGCACGAGTATTCCGCCACCCTTTAAATACAGCTCACTAAAGTTAACTGACGATCTTAGAATATTATTAACCTTCGTCGTACCGTGTGGGGTACAAATGCACCCCAACAACTCAATTTTTCTTATATCTTTTTAAAAACTTTACATAAGGGTTCCGCAATTTTATTTATTGTCATTTAATATATACGTTAATATTTTAGTTATGACGTACAGTGTCAAATCATATGTGCAAGAAATTTTTCCAGAATTGGAAATGCACCATGAAATCCATTCCGAAGAACCTGAACGACCTGTTTCTGGACGATGTTATTTGTGCAATAGAAAGAAAGATCGCAAGTCCAGGCAACAATGTTTTGCGACTGCAAAAAATTTCCGTGCAATGACCATAGTGTAAAACAGATAATCTGCAGATTATGTATGGAAAAACGTAAGAATTAATATGAGAAGAGGAGTTCGTATAACTTTTTTTTGTTCAACTTTTTCAATAAATATAATATGCATTATACATATTTTGTTTACATTAACTATTTCATTTTGTTGTTACACTGTATATCTACGAGAATTGTCGCATAAAATATCACAAAGCGTTCAGATTAGAGTGGGGTACAATTGTACCCCACATGGTGTTCTGCGTAACTTTTTGACCGCGGTACGGCGAAGGTTAAGAAAAATATTTGACATATCACATACATGAGATTTTATTAGTATGTTCTGTGACCTAGTTTTCTTCAATGTTCTGTGATCGTCGATAGGATTTTTTGTTTTTTGTTGACATTTCCAAATAATATTTATATTAAGTGGGTGAAATAAACTGTTAGGATCATCTTTACCACAGTTGTAACAGATACGAAATTTGGGCATAAGTGATTTTCTGGAACCAGTTTGTGTAAAAACTATTCTCACGAAATTAGTACTCGTGAATGTTTATTTTTGATTGCGTATGTGTGGGCTGCAGGATTCTAATTGGTCAATCCGTCACCGGAAATAACGGAAAAAAATTAATCCCCTACCCTTTTTTCGTCGTTTTGCACATTTTCCGCGGCTTCCAAGGGAGAAGTGTAATATTTATCACTTTGCTGCGCATCCGCGTTTTTAAAAGGCGCTTCGGTGGTTTCCAAGGTATAAGTATCGTCGGGAGCGATGTTCCTAAACTTTGGAACACATTTCACGTCACTCATTATTTTATAACCGCCCCCTTCGACGTCATTTTGTACAAAAGCGTGGCACGTAAAGGGCTCCTCCCTGCATGGCACGTCTGGGTACTCGTTCGTACAATCAACGTACACGTCAACCAAAATCTCAGTTATGTCAGCCTGAAATATTTAACATAGATTATAATGAAATACGTATTATAGCAAATATTCTCATAACAATATCAAAATATACATAATAAATATATATTTTTTTTCAAAAATTTTTGTTTTTGCCTTTTTTATTTTGGACCGAAATAAATCATTTCGGGATTGAGGAAGCCAAAGTTTCTGAAAGTGATAGTGTTCATTTATTTACACAAAGTAGTGCATACGGTGTTGTAAGATTTTATTGCAGGAAATTCTTTTTTTAATTGCGCAAAATACAATCCAAGTCAAACCCTATATTCAACATTAACAGTAAACAAAATTGTTTTCTATGTGGAATGTATTTTTATAGTGTACCTATCACCACCGAAGATCCTGACCTCTGCCCCGAATAATTATCTTAATTTAGCTTGTGGATAAATTTACATGTTGCGAAATTTGAGATTGTGTTTTTTTTTCCGGCATGGCAACGACTTTGTTGCCTTTTCTTTCAAATTTCTAATATTCTCTTATAACAATAAAGTAATATTAAAAGTAAGAAGTATTCCGAAAATTGTGGTTGAATATTCAAAATCTTAGTGATCTAAATCTAGATTCATGACACTAATTTCTCTGACATTTAAACAAAGGGAAAAAATAATTGCCATAGAGGAAGCACTTTCCATCTATCAAAATTGTCTAGAAAATAAGTTATTGTTAAGATCGTGACATTTTTAAAAATGATATAAACCAATTTTGTCAAGCCCACGTAACGTCCTAATTTAGAATTTAAATCTGCCATAAAAGAGCGCCGAATTTAGAAGCACTTTTTACAAAAGTTTGGCAAACTAATCGAAATAATTATCTTGTTTATTAAGTTCGGCAAAAGTTTTTGACCTCTTTAGCTTAGCTATCGGCATTAATACAATAACATATGAACATAGATTTAGTTAATGAGCTGTGAAACGTGTACCCAATAATATCAGTTTTCCATGTTTCAGAACATTGCAATTTGATTGTTAAGTCCTAAAACAATTAAACTTTCGAGTTGTTAAAAATACTATATACATATGCACACACTATACACTTGAATGCGCACTATTCTAATTAGCATTTGATTATTAGATATTTTCAAATGGAACTTTATTGCTCTTACCTTTTTTTGGGCATCAATTAAGCTCCCCTTGTTATAATTGTATATTCTACCTCGTTTGGCATTTAAATAATTTAAGACTGACGAAACGTAGGGGTCGTTGATTTCACTTTCCGCAAAATATTGCGAAATTACTGCGCTATTGAAAAATAGAAAACAATAACAAAAAGCAGCAACAACTCTGTTTAGCGCCATATTCGCGGCGACATGCGTCGCTATGATTTAATTCACTATTTCTAACTTGTTCTTTAACGCGTCTTACAGTGACTAACACAGAAATGCAATTAAAATAACAACAAATAATGGTTTCTTCCAGTCGTATTATTTTTAAACTTTAAAATGACATCACAATGTCACGTTTGTCAAAATATCGATACGTTAAGATGGAGTCGATACCATCTCGATCCTCTCTTCTAGCAGCAAAATTGCTAATAAATTTTGGGTTTGAATAGCAGGACACAACCAAGAACAAAATGGCTTTTATAATTCGATCAGAACCCAGTAACCTCAAAAATCAGTTGTTGGCTGGCTATTATTGCCAATAGAAGTTAGGAAGAAGAATCACCAACCTTACCATTATAACCCAATGGCAATATAATATTTATTTTTGTAGATTTTGGTTATTTAATTAGGTATCTTCTATGAAAGCACTTAAGTCTTCGTTAATGGTATGTTTTTCTGATTTAACAATTAATTACAATGTTGTATATGTCGCCGTAGGATACGTGGGTTATATTAATAAATAACACCAAATTTATGCATCATATTGTTTCTAAAACGTAAGAATGAATACAAATTACAATAAAAGAAAAGCTGATAACAAGAACTATTATTCTGAAAGAGGACGCCGTTCATCTTATCTTAGGTAAACTAATATTTCTTCCCTGCATTTGATGAAGCAGTGTTACATTTTAGACCACATAGGCAAAATGTTCATTATTCCCATTCCCGGTATCATTATTACAACTTTGCAACGGGCTACCCCAGAGCAACGAGAGCAAATTCAAATCACTACGATAAGGTAAATAGACCGTCTGTGAGAGCGGCTTCTCCAGTGGAGGGAACTGAAGAATTTACTATGAAGCAAATTCAACAAACCAGTGCCATTATCATGAGACAGTTATTATCACCAGAAGAATCAACTGAGAACCTTAAAAATGATTGTCCCCATAAAGTGAATGAATCATTGAGTAGTCCTAAAAGCCAAACCACAACAACAACCAAACGGGACAAGCAGATTTCACTTCCGAAAACAAGTAATTTTAAAACAAACAAGAACAACGAAAAGTTTGACATCAATGTCATTCAGGAAAAAATAATTAACCACATTATGAATTTAAACAATGGTAAGAAAAAGAATCTGATAAACTCCGCATGCAGTGGATACGATAAAGCCATCTGGCAGATACAGAAACAGAAACGGCTTGAGATATCGAGAGCGTTAAGGAATATGTGTGCATCCCAAAACACTCAGGAATCCACTAACTTTATCAACTCTATTATGCCCGATATTGGGATTCAAATTCAAGACTTACCAATTGAGGTTATTGAAGAATTAAGAATGACTCTCAGTCTAGATGGTGAAGGTTTAGGTAAGCAATTATATTTGGTAACTAAAACTGCTTAATGGCAATATTGTAATGTGAAAAAGGCAGCCATCAAATTTTCTTCATTACATTCATTGTGAAGCCTAATATAACCAAATGGACACAAATGATCGATTTTAGAAATAAGTCACCTCTATGACAATTTAATATGCTTTAATACCAGTTTAAATTGGTTAAAATTTTTGCTACTTAGGTTTAGCATAGTAAAATAACTTATTTTTTAATAATAGGTATGATCCACTCTTGCCCTAATAACATCTCTTACTCGATTAGGCATAGATCTAACAAAATTCACTATTGTTTCTTGTGGAATGTTAAGCCACTCTTCCTCTACTACAATAATAAGCTCAGGGGTACGAAGTCTAGTTCGAATTCTCCGTTTTAGCTCTTCCCATGAATGTTCGATCGGATTGAAGTCGCGACTGCATGCTGGCTACTAAATAACTCGAAAACCGACTTCTGTAATGTAATCTTGCACGATTCTTGCGGTGTGGGGCCTAGCATGTATAAAAATGAATTCTTCTCCAATATAGTCGACATATGGTACATGATCTGATAAAATACCCCCATGTACCCCGTGTGTCAAAAAAAACGACCCACTATAGGATCTGGACAGCCATAGGAGATAGGAACAAAAGTTTCGTACAAAAGCTTCTTGGATTTAAAATATTATGTTCCCTCTGACATCAACTTTGTTATTTTAAATGGAACATCCTGTATATATCGCCATTTTTGGAATCCTTGGTTATAATAAAGATCTTTTTCTTACGGAATTCCTATTCGAATTTTGCATAGTTTAGGCCGAAATTGAGGTTATGTGTTTTTTTTTCATATTATGATTGGCCCATATAAAATTGTCTTGTGACGCTACTGATCCAGGTATTGCAACGAAAATTTAACCACAGTCTAAGGAGATGATCCACCACTCAGTTTGACAGATGCCCCTTAGCTTATACAAGGTATCCCGAATGGGTTTTGGCGAATTTAATTATCGAAATCTCAAGATTTTCAAATGGAACACCCTACATTTTTATTCAGCTCTCAATTCTAAGAGAAAAAATAAGGTAAGTTTGGAATTTATCTTTAATTTAATTTTTTCTTACTTTTTGAGATATTCGAGGTTTAAGATAATACCCACTTGTTGGCAATATTAGGTATTTTTGAAATAGCAAAGACGTGATCCTACTTTTAAAGATATAATACTCCAGATATATGAACGAAACCTATTGCTAACAATACAGATTTAATAAAACTTCAGAATTCATATTTAAAGAAACATTTAATTATCTAGGTTGATTGAAAATACTAAATAACAAAAATAGGTGATTAATGTTAATAGGTTAACTAATCAAGGTAACAAATTTGAATAAATAAATCTATAGAAAAAAGTTAACTAAAAAGCGTTCGTTAATTCGGCCCATAAAGTTTAGTTAAAAATGTTGCTCTTAAAATGCTCGTTTCATCTGGCATCAGAGCAATAAAGAAATATCAAAATATTTAAAAATGCAGTTGCTATGACATCGCAATATTTTTTTTGACACATTAAGGTATAAACAAGCTTTGACATTTCTGTTTGTTTTTTGTTTTTCATATTTCTCTTTAAAAAATTCATAGTTTTTTGTTAGTATATATTTTATTTGTATTTTAAATAAGTTATAGTTTTTTGGATAACCTATAAACTTTAAATGTTTATTTTTGTTATTAGGTATTTTTTTTAGGTAATGTTTCTTTAAATATGAATTCTGAAGTTTTATTAAATCGGTTAAAGTGTGTAGTATAGAATTGTTTTTTCTAATGTTAGCAATTGGTTTTATTCGTATATCCGGAGTATTATATCTTTAAAAGAAGTAATATCGTGTCTTTGCTATTTAAAAAATGCCTAATATTTCCAATAAGTGACCTAAATTTAAATTCAAGAAGAATTTATACGGGTCTTATCTTAAACCTCGAATATCTCAAAAAGTTTGATATCTGAATAAAAATTTAGGGTCTTCCATTTGAAAATCTTGAGATTTTGTTAATTAAGTTCACCGAAACGGTACCACCTATTTGGGATACCCTGTATAAGCTGAGGCGCATCTGTCAAACTTATTGAGTAGCGCATCATCTCCTTAGTCTGTGGGTAAATTTTCGTTGCCTGGATCAGTAGCGTCACAATACAATTTTATATGAGGCAATCAAAATATGAAAAAAAAAAAAACACATACCCTCAATTTCTGCCTAAACTATGTAAAATTGGTGACAGGTAGAGAGACCTGAGTCGCGGTTAAGATTGTTAATTTGTTTATAGATTTCTATCGACTCTCGGATTTTTCGTTGGTAGAAGAATTGATTACATGCAAGAATTTTAGTTTTATCGAATAAAATTTTATGCCCGGTTTCATGAGTGTGTTCGGCAACAGCTGATGAGTTTATTTGTTTTAGTCATAAGGCTCTTTCGTGTTCTTTGAGTCTATTTGATATTTTTCGTCCGGTCTCTCCAATGTATTCTTTGCCGCATATGCATGGAATGCAGTAAACTCCTGGCGTCTCAAATGGAATTTTCTTTTTAACGGACGGCAGATGTTGAGAGATTTTCGGACAAGTGGTAAATCTGGTTTTGACGTTATACTTCTTTAGAAATTTTGTTATGTGGTCAGTGATGTTTTGAATGTAAGGAAGGACCACAGTGGCAACTGTAGGATTGCTTTCGGCCTCATTGCTATTGGAAGGTTGTGGCGAAGTGTATATTTTGATGGAATATCTTTAATGAGAGAAGAGCAGAGGTAAGGTGTTTTAATTCTGTTTTCAGTGACTCGGGCTGAGATAGTTTTACGGCTCTGTAAACAAAGAGTTGATAACCGATGATTTTTGCGCCGGATGGGGATGTGACCATGCATTAAGGTATCGGTCTGCGTGCGTAGGTTTTCTGTAAACACAATGACCCAATGTTAGGTCTGATTTTCTATTGATAAGAATATCTAAGAATGGCAGGTTATTATTAGCTTCCAACTCAATGGTAAAACGTATGTTATGGTGTATCGAGTTTAAATGTCTAAGAAAATCTACTAGGGTTTCTTGATCATGAGTCCAAATAACAAAAAAAAATTATTCGATAAAACTAAAATTCTTGCATATAATCAGTTCTTCTACCAACGAAAAATCCGAGAGTTTATAGAAATAGAAGAAAATAGAGTTTTGTAAAAAGCATTACAGCAGTCTGTGGAAGTTTCTTTGAAAAAAGTGACTTTTATTTTAAGCAATGATTCCAAAAATGTCGATATATACGGGGTGTTCCATTTAAAATAACAAAGTTGATGTTGGAGGGGATACTATTGGAACACCCCGTATCAACAAATTATAATATTTTAAATCTTCAGTACAAAAAACTTTTGTACGAAACTTTTTTTCGTATCTCCTATGGGTGTCCAGATCGTATAGTGCGTCATTTTATTTCGCACCCGGTGCACCTAGCACCAGTTAAACCTCCTGGCCCTTGATCACGGTCGCCCCTACGGATGAAAACAGGGTCGGTTCGTGCGTCCATACGAATTGCACACCATAAGGGCTCCGCTCTTTATTGTGGCATCCTGCAAATCGCTCTCCCGTTCTTCGGTACACTTTTTTTGGTCGGTCACTATCAAAAAGGCACAGAACAACCCCCCATTGGTAAAATGTTCAAGTGTAGGCGTACTTGTGGATGAGCTGGAGTAAGTTTTGGACCAATTGCAGTTGTTTTGTAGCAGTTGTTGTTTTTGAGGTTCTTGTTCTTTTTTCTTTACTTCTAATGGCCACAACTTCATAAGGTCATTCGGCCAGCTTACACAATTATGAACATTATTCAAATATCCTGAAAAATGCCTTCCTTACCAATCCATCATCCTCCAGGTTGATTAACTTATACAAAAACGGGAACAACTTCTAAATAAATTGTCAAAAAATGACGACCGATTTTTCAAACGTTTCCCGCAATTATCTTACACGGGATATACGATCCCATCCGGCCTGATTACCAGCGTGAGTACAAGACACCCGGAAACCGTGTTAACATACACATCATGGAATAACAAATCACAAATCCGTGAACAACCGCGTAAAACGAAACACTATTTCTCAAAATTATAGGCACTACGCCTCTATCACTTCAGATAACAAATGCACAAAACAAAATTTTCTTTAAACGACACTAATTTCGACCGATTTCTACACTTTTTTTGGAACCGGGCATGAGCAACGTCCGCCATGTGCAATGGTTCCATCGAAAGTCCCTACAGTTTTTCAGGTTCCTTACTTCCTTCCATTACTTCTATTGGCCACAATTACTATGGTCACTTGGCCACTTACGAATATTGTTAACGTTTACTTTATGACCTGGGGGTGCCTTAATTAAAAGAGACTGGACGGAAAACATGACGGGGCCGACAACGATTATAACAAAAAATGAACCGACATCCCCCCGCTTCCACCGGGGACCATCCGGGCCCATCCGGCCTCCATACCGGCGACAATTATCACTTTAAAACATTCACTAAACACTAAATCCACCAAGTGGAAACCGATTTCAAAATTTTTCGGGACGATTACAAGGGATTCTGAGCGATTCGGAGCGAACGGAGGTGAAACCGTCGCGAGCAATGCTCCCTCACAGAATCCTCAGTTTTTCAGGTTGTTTTCCTTCAGTCTTCTTTTCATTGTCCATTGACTAATAGCAACTCTTCGAACTTCATGGAGCTGAATTGCATTTGAACCGCATTAAGGTGACGATTTCTTATTATTGTTGACACAAGCGGTCACCACGAGCCGTTGTAATTCGCCTTCTGCCTGTTCGAGAGCGCCTAGCAAAGAATCAGCTGTATCATCCGGTGTATTTAACTCGAAAGTTCCAACTATATCAGTTGGTTCCCCAAACTCTTGTAGATTTATGTTATCGTTCATGTCTTCTTCGTCAGTCAAGGCATCCATGCCGGGTGGAATATAGACCGCGTCAATATGTTCTGTAAACATTTTTTTATGTTTTTTTTGACATAAATTTACAAGAAATGGAATGCTACAATACATAAGAATGTAAATCCAAATAATACTTACGACTTTCATTGTTATTGCTCTCATCCATCACGATCTCCTCCATAGCCGCCTCTAATTCCTTTTGAGTCAAATACCTCGGAAATGGCATATTTTACGAACTGTAACGTTCATTGCACAAGGCACAAACTAATACTCAAGAACACGCTAATTGTTGGATGTTTATTCTACATGCGCTGACTTGTATAGACTTGCAATAACAAAGTTTTGTTTCACAGATAAAACCAGTGGCGCATTCACGCACCAGTAAATATTTTCAAAAAGTAAAGCATAATCAATATAGTATTTCCGATGCTGTAGACTTAACAAATATTTTTTTTTATGTACCCCTTTTGTTAACTGTTGAAGTCATATATAAGATCTATCCTTTACACATAAATTAGCGATTTCTACGGTTTTATGTCCTTTAGTAGTGATAATAATAAAATTTCTAAATGGATGTGCAAAAATATTTCCTGGATGTGACAAAAAAAATCATAGAATAGGTAGTGCATTAACGCACCACTGGGACCAAATGGGTTAACAAGTTTGTTACTATCACTATAACTACTGCCAGAACACTTTTCATTTGTTTAACTGTAGCTACGCATCTAAAAAAATCAGCACTCTTGACAAATTTACACTCATATTAAACGCATATTAAATTGTCTTCGAAGTAGCGTTTATTTTTTGGTTCAGATGAATAGTTTTTAGAAAAAAATATATTAGTCAAAAATTTACAGTTATGTTATATAAATATTATCCAAAAGCCCCGAAAAGCGGATTAGATTCAAAGGACCAATGTAATTAAAATAATCTGCAAATTGCAACTGGCCTTTTTCTGTTTATATGTACTATAAAAATGAACAACGTAATATGTATACAATGCAAGAAAATATAAAGATGTAGTTTCCTGTGAAAGCAAAAAATAAATGAAACGCAAAGAGGTAATTTTTTTTTTAATCAAAATAAATAAGAAGTAAAAGTTCAGATTTTCACGAAATGACATGACAGTTGTTTCGACAACACCGTGTCTTTATCAAATGTTTGATAAAGACACGGTGGTGTCGAAACAATTGTCATGTAAATATATATAATTTCGTGAAAATCTGAACTTTTAGTTCTTATTTATTTTGATAAATGGATTTTCATCAAGTAAAAGCCACCTCAGTTCAATTTTTAAAAATGTTTATATTCCACGTTCCCTTTCCAGTTTCCACGCGTTTTAATATTACAAGTTACATTGTTGCAAATATTTTTTGTTTTATTTACGAGCGTGCAGTCTGGGGCGATAAGAAAATAACGTTTTTCTTAAAACATCGTGTAATTCGAAAATGAAGAGGTTTGGGACATATAGGGATTTTTTTAGATAACTTCCCCTTTGTATCTGATAATGCCACTAGTCCTCTCTCTAAAAGTTGTAATGATAACGTCGTGATTGATGTCAACCAGGAATCGGAAGAAACTGAGCCTGTGGCAACTGAGGACCCAAACGAAGTTGCACCAATTAAACTGGAAACATTTGCGGACGACATAGCGAGTAGGACCGAGGTTCGAAACGAACAATGCTTATTGCTATGCAACGAAACTTGCGATCAAGTGAATATTTCAGTAAAGGAGGAAATTGAACCGAATCAGAACGAAATTTGCGACGAAGTAAATATTTCGATCAAGGAAGAAGACGAATTGAAGCAAAACGATCAAATGGAGAATGAACCTTCTGAGGAATTTAAAGTGAATCGGATAGAAAGATGTTGCCAGACGGATCGTCCGGCTCCCACGAGCGAAAGCTTTTTAAATTTCTTTGCCGAGGAGTTTGGAGGCTGCGACACAACTAGTTTGTCGGCCGTAATCGGCAAGATGCATTTTGTCGACGAATGTGTGGGCAAGTTGATCGAATACAGACAGTCTCTGTTTAAACGGTTGCAGATTGCCGACAAGAAGGCGGAAGAAACGGTGCCGCCGGAACCGCTACGGGAGAAAGGCAAGGAGAGCGAAAAAGAGCATAGTTACGACGTCATAAGTTTTCCCGCTTTGCAGGAAAAAGTTGTGGACATAAAGGTAAAGTCTGTTCGTAGATATAAGAAAGTGACTAACTGATACGAATTAAGGAAAGACCCTGGCAAGCTGTAAGAATGAAATAAGGCCCAATACGTCCGTACTTTGCTTAGAATTGAATTATTTGAGGTTTTGTTTGGAAAGATACCAAACAATGTTTATTTATTTATGTATATATTTATGTTTAAATCTAAAATAAAATTACAACTTATTTTTATTGCCTACTTAAATTACTTAAAGATATTCACATAATATATCAGTATCACTATCGCTATCATCGCCTGTTCTAATTATTATTTGTTCTATATTATTTGCAATATGGATATACGATTGTTCTGCTTTTTCTATATATTTAACAGAAATTTGCCCAACTTTGTAGAGGGATGTCAAAAACTTCGGTTTCTATAAGTTTGAGGACATTGGAGTTAACACGGGGAAAACATTGTTACGACGAATGGCAGATTTTAGTTGGTGCCAAACATGTTCAATTTTTGCATAATTATCACAGACGTATTCCTTTTGTAGGTTCAAGCTTTGTAGAACATCAATTAATTGCTGTTTGGTATAATCTTCGTGAAAATAAATGTCGTTATTATGCATGTAGTTCTGGATTGTTGCTTTTGTGTCACACGAGGAAGGGGTTTTAGTCAACTGTCTACTGTGATAACTTGCATTGTCCATTAGAATGACGCTATTAGGAGGAATGTTTGGAACTAGTTTGTTTTTAAACCAACCTTCAAATAAATCAGCGGTGGTGTCTTCATGGTAATCCAGAGAAGAATCTTTAATATTTTTCGCAGACAGAGAACGTCCATTTGGAATCCAACCATCCCTTTTCCGGGGTATCATAAGTGTCGAACAACCAGGTTTCATCCAAGTAAATAATTGGACTTTGTTCTCTGTAAATCCTATTTTTTTCTAGATATTCCAGTCGCCATTTCCGAATTCCAAAAGATTCCATTAAAACTTGTCAGGTAGTTCTGCCACATTTAACACCGTTCCTCGTATAACTGGTAAATTTTACGCCGTATTATATCTTGATCACTTTCATGTACACTCGAGAAAATGTCAGCATCGCTTCTTTTTTTCCTCGCTGAAATGGGATTATTCACAATTTTCCATACAGTTAATGTTGGAATTTTTGTCAATGTGGCCGTTTCTTCTAAAGATGCTTGCTTGCTGGCACCACGTTCAATGAGGGTCAAATAAACATTGTGTATATCTTCCTTAGTTTCAATAGAATAGTGTTTTCTACATTTGGGCAGGAGCATCTGCTGGATGCACTAGAGTCGCACATATTTTGTATATAAGTAGTATACCAAACCAAAGAGTATTAAACACAGGTAGGTATAAAATTATTTTCTATTACGGACCACAATTTTACCTGAATTTAAATTCCGAAACTTTAGGTAATAATCTGGTTGCATTGTATGTTAATGACCACCGCTGGATAATCCCATTCAAAAGCAATTGGTCACTTTCTTATATCTATGAACAGACCATATATTCTGGTAGTGTGAGCCGCGCCTACGAGTCTGTGATTACTTTTAGGTGGTGGAGGAATACATAGTGGCCGCTACCGAGAAGGGACGAATTTTGTATTTCAGTTTAACGGGACCCCTGGTTCACGCCATATGCGTGACGAACGTTCCCTTGACCTGTATGCTGCTGTGTCCCAGCAAACTCGATGCGACGTACATGTACGTCGGCTCGTTGGGCAGCGATTTGATAGTTTACAACTTCGACAATCGGAAAATCGTCAAGGCCATAGCCATCGCGGATAGCGTGCAGTGCATGGATGCGAAGTGGGGCTACGTGTTCGTGGGATGCTTACGGGGAACGTTACTGAGATATTCCTTAAAGGTACCCGCGATCAAGTCTAAATAAAACGTGGCAAGGTGCAGTCGAGCGCGTTTTCAGAAAGAAAAAGTGGAGTTCGAGGATAAGTCCATGACCAACATTCACGTGATAAAGGCGGTCCAAGAAGGGCCTCGGTACGTTTTGTTGGTGGGAAATCGCAACGCTCCCGTTTGCGTGCGCGACGCCCTCTCGGGCCTTTATCTGCGCAATTTTTCCAAGGACGAAATGCCCGTCACCGTCTATTCGTTGTTGTTAGAACGGAATTTACTTTATTGCGGAACCACGTGCAAAGACATTTTAGTTTATAATTTCCACGTAAGTAGAATTCCAATTAAATTAAAAGTAAACAAGGATTGTCTAAAAACGTTTTTGACACGACGTTTCGTCGTTTGATGGACCGCAGGCTTCGTGGACCCATCTCTGACAAGAACTACATCGAATCCACTGGTCAACAGGTTTGCTTCTTTCAGAATCTGTTTTCTTTGGTGGTGCTGGCTTGTTTCTCCCATTCATATCTTGATTTGGAGGTTTAGGGGGTTTCTTTACTGATAGGCCCTTTCCTTTCAAAGAAGGCAATTTACTGGTTGACACCATACGTAGTTTCGCTCCGGTACTGGCTAGCAATTCATGTTTATAAGCTGTGCTCGTTAAGATAGCAGCTTTACTTCTAGAAATACTAAAAGGATGTCGGACTTCCATTGTCTTTATTTTTAACTTGCACAACGTTTCGTACAGTTGTATCACTTACCCGTTATCAAGGCTACAAGGTTTATATACTAGGCGACGGCACTCATCCATGACGGAGTCGGGAGTAGTGAAGCGTGAAGTTGTTCAACTAGAACGCCAGCATTGGCGCGCCTCATTAGAGGTTGTCAAATTGTTGGTATATCCACTCTTGGATTGCTGAAGATGTTTTCATTGTTTCTAATGAAAACTGCTTCTTTAAAATCGCGCTTTCTCCAATGCTGTTCTCTGTGAACAACCATTGGATGTTGTGTTGTTTGGTCCACACGTTTTCTGCGATACCTGATTTTTGCGTTTCACCTTTCATTGTATGTTTCTTGTGTTCTTCAACTCTTATTTTTAGAGGTCGTTTGGTTTCGTCAATATATGACTCTCCGCATTCACAGGGTCTCTGGTAGATACACTCTTTCTCTTAAGTCGACGTTTCAGGCTTTGCTTTTCTTAATGTTGATCCATATTTAATTCGCCTAATCTTTTCTGATATTCCTTTCACGTATGGGATCGTCAAGAGAGAAAGAGTATCTACCTCACATGGTTCCGGTGTTGTTTCCCGCTTACAGTTTGCTATTATTTTGTTTATGGATTTTTCGGAGTAACCGTTCTGAAGCAAATCCTTTTTAATATTATTCAATCCGGCATCGAGAGATGCTTGGTCGCTACATATTGTGATTGCTCTTTTGCACAATGTTTTAATTATTCCTAATTTAGTTGCTTCAGATTGCTTAGACTCAAAATTTAGATACTGTCCTGTGTGTAGAAAATTAAATTTATCGGAAGCCATGGAGATTAACAAAATAAGACATTCAAATATTTAACGATCAATTAGATTTAAATACCTCTCCTTTATTGAACTTAAATTCTCACATTGATTGTCATTTTTCGGCATATATAGTAGCAGGTAGTTTGTAAATATTACATTTGATAAAGACAGGGTGTTGTCGAAACAATTGTCATGTAAAAATATAGAATTTCGTGAAAATCTGAACTTTTAGTTCTTATTTATTTTGATAAATGGATTTTCATCAAGTAACAACCACCTCAGTTCAATTTTTAAAAATGTTTATATTCCACGTTCCCTTTCCAGTTTCCACGCGTTTTAATATTACAAGTTACATTGTTGCAAATATTTTTTGTTTTATTTACGAGCGTGCAATCTGGGGCGATAAGAAAATAACGTTTTTCTTATCGTAATTCGAAAATGAAGAGGTTTGGGACATATAGGGATTTTTTTAGATAACTTCCCCTTTGTATCTGATAATGCCACTAGTCCTCTCTCTAAAAGTTGTAATGATAACGTCGTGATTGATGTCAACCAGGAATCGGAAGAAACTGAGCCTGTGTGAAAATCTGAACTTTTAGTTCTTATTTATTTTGATAAATGGATTTTCATCAAGTAAAAGCCACCTCAGTTCAGCTATTGGAAGGCTATTTACAAATCTTCTAGATTCCTGCTGCCTTAAACTTGCTGACCTTTCGTTAATCATCTGGTTGGCTTCTTCAGAACTGAAAATGGCTCGCATTCCACTTTGCACCTGTACATTGTTTGTTAAAGGGGTAGTGCAATCTAAGTGTATTAAAGAAAACAAGGCGTATTTCAAATCAAAAGCCTTGCATGAATATATTCTAACTCATTTACCCTTATTTTTAAAAATATTTTTGCATTTAGCACACTGTACCAAGTGCAGTAAGTATACAAAATTACATTATCAATTTTAATCAAATTTATTAATGAAGAATCGAGTTTATATTAATTGTGAATTGAAGCCTGGCGGAGAAAGTTTACGGTTACCGTTGCCTCCAAACACCTCAATTGCAGCTTCGAATTATTTATTTTTCTGGTCCAAATGATCTCTTCAATTACTCAAATTTTGGACGAATTGTAAGGAGAATCAGGTAATTTATTTTCGATTTTTGAAAGTTTCTCACTAACTGTGCACCATTGTTCTCACCCTCAGACGTATCTAAAAGAGGAGCATTAACATTCCCTCTGAGTCACGGTTAAGATTGTTTGGTTGCTTATAGATTTCCATAGATTCTCGAATTTTTCGTTGGTAGAAGAATTGATTACATGCAAGAATTTTAGTTTTACCGAATAAAATTTTATGTCCGGTTTCGTGATTGTGATCGTGTTCTTCTTTCAATGTTGTAAACTCCTGGCATCTCAAACGGAATGTTGTCTTAGACGGATCGAAAATGTTGAAAGATTTTGAGACAAGTGTTACATCTAGTTTCCAGGTTATATTTCCTGAGAAAACTTACATAAAAGAAAACAAATCGTTTAAAATCGTTTTCCTGTATTGACGCGTTTTTTGACCAACAAATTCTTTTGGGTTCATTATTTCGAGAGCCTCTCTACAGAATACATTAACAAAAAATTGTACGTTTCCAATTTAGAGCAGTTCACTATATCGCGAGCCTACTGTATTTTGTTGCGAATAAAAAATTTCTATTAGTAAAATATTCAACAAATGAATAATTAAAAACTATGAAAAATACATGGCTACGAAAATAGAGCCTCTCAATACAAATACAATACATCAACAAATAGTTTGGTTATTTTACTTACTCTTTACTCTTACTCTTTTTTTTATAACAATTGGTACAGTAACCATCGTAATAATATTATTATTAGGTGCAAAAACATTAGGATAGAATAGAAATATATCTTCCAAAATGTAAAAATATATGTTTATTTAAAATAATATATTTTGTTAAAGCACACATTGAAAAAATATAATTTTACCTCGTATCTCAAAAAATTATCTTTTACAATAAATCTGAGTACCCCACTATATTACGAAACAGGGAGTTTAAAATACAAAGAGTGCCTGAATGGCCAAATTTACTGTTTTTGTTTCTCCCTGTATATCAAAAACAAAGTCAACATTCGTTTCACATAAGCCGAGCCCAGTATTGCGAAAACCGCATGCCTCTATGAATAATGATGAAGAAGTAGACACATTGTATAGAAGAATATTTAATATAGGGATACTCCTAATTTTTTCTTTCATTTTTCGTTTATCTCTTTTTTTCTGGTACATTTATATACATTCAAATACATTATACATAGTTTATAAGAATTTACAACAATATTATTATTAAATAATTAGAAAGCAAAGATTTATTGAAATATTGATGAAGCAGAGCAATTACCTGATATCTTTTAGGAAGGGCATTTCGTCAAATCACTTGACGCATCGAAATCTAAAGGTATAAGTTGCATGGTTATCCACAAAGGTCTTCTTCTTGCGGGTTGCACCAACGGGTTAATATACGCCTACACTACCAAAACAAATGCATTTGTGGCCAGTATTCAAGGACCCGGAGGCGTCATCTTGTGTATGGCACTGTTTAGAAATCAGGTAATTATGATCACAGTTTTTTTATTTTTAAAATATGTCAAAAAACTAATCTCTATTGCTAAGGTATAATATTCAAATAAAAACTTTATACTTGTGCATGATTTATTTGTTTTAAGTGCCGGAATTTTGTAGGTTATCGTGGGCACCATGTCATATCAGTTTCAGTCTGTCGTGATACCAGATCATATTTTATCATTTTTGTAACGTAAATTTGTAAGTATAAAAATAAATAAAAAGTTATAGAAAAGTAAATGTGATATATCAAATTTCTACTCCAACTATGTATTTATAAAACCCGATCAAAATGAACTTTCTTTTTGATCTACGAAAATTTATGCATAAAATTGACTTAATTTTATAGCAGCTCTAAAGATTCCGCTTACCGTGAACTTATTATAGTGGACCTATTTTTTCGGGTCCCAAATACTTTATTTCCTTTCATAACGAACCCTTTTTCTGAAGCGACCGAATACAATCTACATATTTAGAAGTTAGTGAACTTGCTAAGCTTGTTATTTTTCCACATATCGGTCTTGAGGTTTTATTTTTTATCAGCTTATGCGAAACAAATTTTAAACGGAAGAAATTAAAGGAAAAAACAAAATTGAACTATTCTAGAAGTTGAATCAAACGTTTCAAAAAGAGACACAATATCAGTAATGGAACAATTGTGGAATGGACTGAATACTGAATAAAAGATTACAGTTCTAGCAGCGGCAAGCATGTCTGGACCAGAAATAAGGAAATTGTTGCGGATATGAAAGTCTCTCAATTCAAGATGTTTTAAAAACAAAAATTTACCCATAAAATGAACTGTAAAGCTTGAATAACATCAGATGAAGACCTGAAAGCGAACAACTTCAGCCAGTGGACCATTCCCTCAAATGTCACCGAAGGATTTTTTTTTTATGAAAAAATAAATCCTTTTCTATAGATCTCTTTGGACGCCTAAATTATATTCACAGGTCCTGGCAAAGGGTTACTAGATAAACCATTCCCAATTGCTCCGAGCATGAAGGACTTTTAAGAGTGGAACTTGAATATGACTCCTAGACCCAGAATTGGGATACGATGAAAATGTGCAATTAATAGAAGAACACGTTAAAACCAAATTTGGTGACTTTAGTTTTAGCTACTATGTTAGGATTGACAGTGGATATTGCAACAAGAGAATCTTTGCTTTAAGGCATGCACATCTATTTGTTGTGCATTTTGTTTTACATTGGCATTTAGAAAATCCCTGTCCGGTACCTATCGACCGTTTGGTTGCAATATTAATATATTTTCGGGATACACGCTAAACTGAGATCTGGAGAACCCTTTTAAAATTCCATTGCGTGTTCCAATTTGAAAATAGTCATCATCCGTTTTGGTTAATAAACATTCCAATATTGCACGAGAATCTCCCCGTCCTCTGTCAACTTCCAGTACCTTAATTCTTACTGTCATTCCTACCTTCGCCGGAGGTTGCGGAGCATCGGAAATTAATTTCATGCGCTTAGCTTGCTTATGTAAGTTTTCTTTTGATTTTGCTCCGGCATTATTGATCTGTGATTGCACCGTGCAAATATCGCACATTTTATTCCGACTTTGACTAAATGTGTTCATTTCGGTTAAAATGAATATTTTAACTACGGAGTTTAGCAAATGTATGCATTGGCTAGTAAATGAATGCTTTGACTGCAACATATACATACTTATATAATATGGTATGTTAGAAAAAACATTAAACAAAAATTAGTAAAAGAAACGTCAAATACAAAATTTTGGGCGTGAAACGTATAACAGGAAAATTTGTTCCGAAACAGCTTCTAAACAAAAGGACCGGTGAAGTAGCATCGCTCAACAGCTGTTCAACGACATCAATCTTGATGTGCTCAAAAAGGTCATAGCTGGTGACGAATGATGGGTATATGGTTATGATGTCGAAACCAAACGCCAGTCGTCCCAATGGATGAACCCAGAATCACCAAAACCGAAAAAAGCACGTTAAATTCGATCAAATGTCAAAGATATCTTAATTAAAATGATACAGATATCTTAATTTTTTAAATATGGAGTACAGTGTTCATTGCGCTTAACCCCAGTAAGAATTCTTATAGCCCTTTTTTATATCAAAAATATTTGAACAGCATTCGCAGAGTTTCCCCATAATATTGTGCCATATAAGATGTGGGAATGAAATAAAGCATAATACACTGTCATTAGGGCATTTTCAATCCTTTTTCCAATTTTCCAAGATTATACCTACCTAAATCAACAACCAAAAATTACCAAAACCTTTCGAGAGCCCGTCCCTAGTGTTCTGTTCTGTTTTAATACCTAAAGGACCCGAGTATTACCGTTGGCAGGTAGAAAGCAAAAGCCAGCACGATGAAGATTAAGACAAACTATACATATTTTATATTTATTATATATATAGCGAGTTTCAGAAAAATTTACGGTTTCGTGATATCCAGATATTACTGTAAGTATTTGCCATTATATTTATATAAATGCAGTAATGTCTCTATTAAAAGCAATAGTTAGGAAAGTTGCGGCGAGTAGAGTTGGGATGTCATACGTCATATCTGCACCACCTCATCTATATCCTACTAAAAATAATAATCACGTCAAAATTTAAACAGTTATCATATCTTGGTAAATCAGTTTCGATTGAGTTATAGGGCGCAAGTTAGAGCCTGAAGACGGCCCGGTTCCCCTCTAACTATTCGACTCTTGAGTTTAATAAATTCCTGAAACAAATTTACAATGTCGAATAAGTGACATCGTCCCATAAGTTCGAAAATTGATTTAAGAAAAACAAATTAATCCTTTTTTTGTGTCTGCAGTACGGAAGTGAGTTGAAGCTTGAAAATGTGCAAAAAAATAAAAATAATAACAATTTTTTCTTTACCTCATATCTCATATCTCCTCCTGTCATCCTTATCATATGTTCAAACTCTGCCACTAAGTCGTTTTGAGTTGTACCTCTGACGTCTATGAAATGACAGTCCGAGCTAGCGTAGTGACACGATATTGCTTTTCTAAAACCCTGAGAGATAAATGATAAAATTTTCTAGGACTAGAAGAGATTGAACAAAAAGTTAAATACAAAAGATACTTCATGTATACAGGGTGATTCGTTTCACCAACTGTTTTATTGCGGATGGAACATTCTGTATACCACTACTAATATAGAAAGAGGAGTTCAATAACAGTATGGGGTTTAAACGCGACTTTTCGGAATTATTTAAACTGATTTACCCATGGTATTTTGTTTTGAAAAACTTGCATCTTTAAATGAAAAAATCCCACAGTGTTGCCATATGCTAACTAAAACAAATTAACAAATATTTAAAATGTTCTAGATGACCTCCATTTTGCGCAGTCCATGTAGTGTGTGCGGTCTCAAAAGCAACAAACTGTTTTATTAGGATACTGGATACTTCACTGATTTAGACTCTTGAGTTTTTTTATGCATGTAGAAGTACCCCATAAAAAAAGTCCAGTGGAGTCAGGTCTGGACTCCTTGGGGGTCAAAGGATAATCACCTATTCGTTATACCGTGTACTTCAATAGTTTTCTATGGCGTACCACTAAGAATAGTGGTACGTGATTGTGTTGCTGCCAAATTAAATTTTCTCTTTCTTCCACTTGTATTGGATAACCAGTTAAAGTTTTTGTACCGGCAAACATTTGTATTGTATTGTATAATATTGAGATCCAGGGGGCAATAGAATATCCACCTTTTATTTTCACTTGTATTCCTTAATAAATAACATTTTGCAATATCAGTTTTTTCTTCCATAGTAAACATTATGATAGAAAAAAAAGTAATAAAGAAAAATAATTAATAGCGTAAATACCGGACTACTATTGCAGATTTCATGGCTATTGGAGAATTGACGCTGAATGTTTTAAATGCTCTTTAATTCTGCAGGATGTTTCAAAATTCACTGCGGATATTTTAAGGGTGTATTCTTGAGTCAATTTTATTTCGAAAGTTTCATACTGAAGATGATGCAATAATTTAGAAACGGTGATTTGGCTTGGCCCTCGTTCAGTGATCTATCTAGACATAGCATAATATACGGAGGTTTGTCTGGCAACATTGTAAGATTTTCTTCATTTAAAAATGCATCTCCTTTAAATGTAAACTATGGGCAACTGTATATATATATATATATATATATATATATATATATATATATATATATATATATATATATATATATATATATATATATATATATATATATATATATATATATATATATATATATATATATATATATATATATATATATATATATATATATATATATATATATATATATATTAAAGCTGCCCACGATCAAGGGATTTCTTTAGTGGGTTTGTCTGTATTATATTTGCCGTACTATAAAAATAAGACAAAGACAATGTTCATGAACCCCTCAAACCATATATAAGCAGGTACAGTCAAGCTCTGAAGAAGGATGATGGGCGAAACGTCAGCAAATTCGACGCAGGATGAATAGTAGTCTTACAAACCTTCGTAATGTTGGGCCCCGAACCATGGAGCAACAGAGGATGAAAAAAGACAGTGTCGCCCTTGTCCATTTCCAAATATGTTTTCGGGACGTGGTCCAACCCTTGCACACCGTGATAAAAATTATTTCTGATTCCCTGCAATAATCCCTTACCGATTAGTAGATGCACAAGAAGAGTACAGACGAACATAACCTCAATAAATAATCCTTTACCGATTAGTAGATGCACAAGAAGAGTGCAGACGAACATAACCTCAATAAAGGCAGTTCAGACGAACATACGTACGTATCGACGTCATACGTCACGGGTAACGCTGCATTTATCTTGGGATTTGTTTTGAAAAAAGTAGGTTAGAGAACTAGAACACTATTTCATGTGTGATCTGCATCTCAATAGATCTAACCATTTTTTATTCTAACCTGAGTGCCAAGTGTGTTGCACATCACACTTAGCATCACATATCACGTGTGTGTTGCAGTTCTTTGTTGCGCAATTGTTTCACTACGTCCTAAGAAATCTCTTCTAAAATTTAAGCGCCGCTTAAGAGGGGTCTATACCTTATCTCGAAACCTACGGGGGTTACAAAAAAAAAATAAATACAAAAGTTGTTTCTATTAAAATGACCTTTATTTTTATTTATTTTCCAAATCGTCACTTTTTTATATACAAGGTGGTAAAACAAAGTTACATTTTTTAAATAGAACACCCTACACTTTATTGCATTTTCGGATAGTCCGTTCAAAGACAAATTCAACGATATATGTGAGTATGGGTCTGTGATGCACCGTTTCGAACTTATTAGCGATCATCTTCATAATTTAGGTTATGTTTAAACCATCATTGCGGGGTTTTATTAGGAAATGAATATTTTCTTAAAATACGCTCAATTTTCTTAAAGGACATTATTGGATTTTCGAATAGCCACTTTAATAGCAATTTCAATTATGTAACATAGTACGGGTCTTTGACTTACCGTTTTGGCTTAGTTGGTAGATAAAACTAAAAACTAGGTATAAGATTTAAATTATTAAGATATGAAACTTCGAATTGCTCCTTATTAACTTGTTCACAACCGTTTTAGAGCATTGTTAAGAAGTCATATTAAAAACAGAATATTGGGCTTTGCACGATGTTGCGAAATTTCGCAAATTACTTATTTCTACGTTGAAATGATTACAAAAGATTATCACTAACTACTAATGCACATTACTTGCAAGTTAAATTAATGAAATTAGTTTTTCAATATGTCCGCCGTTTTGCAGAATGTAAGTAGTATATGCTATTTCTAAATGGTATATGGCATTTGAGACGTAATTTGTTTTATTCAGACAGACTATTGCCGCGCGAACTCGTCACTTCCAAAAGCGTTGACGGTTTAACTTTGTAAACCATATCTTTCAATGCGCACCACAAAAAAAGTCCATCGGGGTCAAATCTGGTCTCCTTGCTGGCCAGGAGATTTTCGTTTAAATGATCGCAGGACTTCGATGGTAAGGAGCGCCATCTTACTAATCCCTAATAAGTTTAAATATCGTATATTGTTGGTAAAATATGGGTCCTAAAATTTAGATCTCCAGATTGTGCACCGGATCTTCGCCAATGCTTGTTTACTTCAAAAACATTTATTTTATGAACTCCAATAATGCGTATTTTTTCAACGGTCGAAATTATATTTGGAAATATGTTATAAAAGAAATGCCTATCCATTGTTATAGTACAGAGTTCGAGTCTTAAGTGGCAATAATATACAGGGTGTCTCATTTAAGAAAATCGAGAAAATTATCTTTTTGCTAAACGTGGCAACACCGCGTACTTTAAGAACACATTTCAAATTTGATCATTACCTACCGAAAAGGATTATTTTCGTAAAAATAAAAGAAGTTTAAAAAGTTCATAAGCCTGAACCACCCTGTATACAAAAAAGTGACGATTAGGAAAATGAAAATAAAATAAATAAAGGTCGTTTTAATAGAAACGACGTTTGTATTTGGAGATAAGGTAAACGACCGCCCTGTACATCATCGTCACGTACGTGTGTTCGTCTTTAGGTTACTCTCTTTATGCATCGGATTCATCGGACGGATACCGTTGAAAGTATATTCACCTGTGGGTACTTGTGCTCGTACAAGATCTGCCTCGAGTGCGAACCTGGTATAACGTAAAGGCACCCATTCCGTTGGTCGACGCGTTCCATGGCAGTCCAAGAGGCTACGATTTTGTCCGCCGGACGGATCGGAAAGTAATGCAAGTCCTGCAAGTAATGCGGAGACGCGAAATTTGGAAAAATCGCCGGTTCTGCGTTTTACTTGATGCAGCGGATGCAAGGAGATTTCTTTTCGCGAATTCGGAGGTTTGTTTATGAGCATCGAGTTGATCACCGTTATTTTCGGGCCGATTATCCGTTCAACTATGTCGACTACGGCCGGGTAGCTCGCGTATTTCCATAGGCAATCGTCGTTGGTGAAGTCTTGGATCTTAAAATAAATTAGAAATTTATTCGTAAATGTAATCAGTATAAAATTATTTCGTCAAATTGACTGAATTCAATGAATACACTCACTTGTAATAGGGGCGTGGTCGCCAGCGAAATTTGGCGCGATTCTGAACTTTTCAAAAGTGTGAGGTATACATGAGAAAACGAAAAGTCTGTTCATAGATATAGGAAAGTGACTAACTGATACGAATTAAGGAAAAACCCGGGCAAGCTGTAAGAATGAAATATGGCCGAACAAATTCGTACTTTGCTTAAAACACGCGATCTAGTGTATCTCTCTTCTTTTTTTTTCTTTTCTTTTTTTTTTTTTTTTTTTTCTTTTTCCTTTTTTTTTTTTTCTTTTTCTTTTTTCCTTTTTTTTTTTTTTTTTTCCTTTTTTTTTTTTTTTTTTTTTTTTTTTTTTTTTTTTTTTTTTTTTTCTTTTTTTTTTTTTTTTTTTTTTTTGTATATTATTTGCAATATGGATATACGATTGTTCTGCTTTTTCTAAATGTTTAACAGAATTTGCATAACTTTGTGGAGGGATGTTAAAAACTTCGGTTTCTATAAGTTTGAGGACATTGGAGTTAACACGGGGAAAAACATTGTTACGACGAATGACAGATTTCAGTTGGTACCAAACATGTTCAGTGGGATTAAATATACAGTGGTAAGGCCTTAAAACTGCGTGCCCTAGATTGCTTTTTGGTATAATCTTCGTGAAAATATATGTCGTTATTATACATGTAGTTTTGTTGCTTTTGTGTCACATGAGGAAAGGGTTTTAGTCAACTGTCTACTGTGATAACTTGCATTGTCCATCACAATTACGCTATTAGGAGGAATGTTTGGCACTAGTTTGTTTTTAAACCAATTTTCAAATAAATCAGCGGTGGTGTCTTCATGGTAATCCAGAGAAGAATCTTTAATATTTTTCGCAGACAAAGAAAGTCCGTTTGGAATCCAACCATATTTAGAGCCAACATGCAAAACAGTTATTCTTTTACCTCTTTTTGATGGCGCGTTTGTTTTACACTTATCAAATAAATTATTGTTCTCTGTAAATCCTATTTTTTTCTAGATATTCCAATCGCCATTTCCGAATTCTAAAAGATTCCATTAAAACTTGCCTTTTGTCAATTTTTTTAAATCTAAAATCAATGTGTGTTGAATGCACTGCCATATTTAACACCGGTTTCATCTTTTTCAAGACTCCTAATTAAGATGTAGACACGCTTTGTTCCTTGTATAACTGGTAAATTTTACGCCGTATTATATCTTGACCACTTTCATCTACACTCGAGAAAATGTCAGCATCGCTTCTTTTTTTCCTCGTTGAAACAATTTTCCACACAGTTGATGTTGGAATTTTGGAGTGTTGGTCAATGTAGCCGTTTGTTCTAAAGATGCTTGCTTGCTGGCACCACGTTCAATGAGAGTCAAATAAATATTGTTTATAACTTCCTTAGTTTCAATAGAATAGTGTTTTCTACACTTCTACACATAATTCGCACACGATTCAACACACGCTGTATTACACACGAAATAGGAATGATTACTAATAAACTTCAACTAAGTAGTATACCAAACCAAAGAACATTAAACACAGGTAGGTATAAAATTATTTTCTATTACGGACCACAATTTTACCTGAATTTAAATTCCGAAACTTTAGGTAATAATCGTGTTGCATTGTATGTTAATGACCACCGCTGGATAATCCCATTCAAAAGCAATTGGTCACTTTCTTATATCTATGAGCAGACCATACCTGACGATTATTAAAAAATAATAATGATTGAGCTTTATGTTTTCCATTATCGCACTATGGTTGATGTTGTTTTTATGTTATCGTTAAACTCGTCAGTTCTCTCCCCAAAATTACAAAATTGAATTATTTAAACTTTTTAGTTCACCTATAAAAAATCTCTCTTCTGTGACATTATGTTTTTTTAGTTTGTAAGTTAGGTAAGATTTAGGGGCTGACACTTGAACAATTTAATTGCCGCCCACCTGCTTTTTGCGTTATCTTATAAATATCGTGTTTCATCGCTTTTCAAGATATCAATTGTCGTTGTTATTAACTTTGACATTGATACATTCTTTTTCGTTTTTATATTAATTAGAGCAAAGTTCATTCCTGATTGCCTTTAGATGGCTTTTTGATTTCGATCAACACATTAATGAGAATACCTAAAAACGTTCGAGGTCAACAAAGTCCACTTTCGGGGCAGCAATGTTCATAATAAATTGTTTACTTTGAATGTACAATAAGGTACCTGATAACATGAGACACATGTCAGATATTTCACCGAGAACAATATAAGTGCTTTACACTATTATGAAAAGCATCATACTAGCCAACAAATTAATAAAAAATAATTTCATAATTAAACCAACTGCCGCAGTAATATGTAATACTACTTTTTATAAAACTTGTGGATTCCTCCTGTGTCGGTTTTTGTTGACTAACGTTTCGTCAATCATCCTGTTGCCTTCTTCAGAGCTTGACTGTAACTGGCTCCCAGTTCCACCAGCCCATAAAGCGCACCAAACAGTCAGTTTTTCTGGATGTAACGGTGTTTCGACATACAGTGAGGATTAGCTTCGCTCCAAATGCGGCAGTTTTGTTTGTTGACGTAGCCATTCAACCAGAAGGGCGCTTCATCGCTAAACAAAATTCGCTTATGAAAATCGGGAACAATGGCAATCTCCTTTTGGACCCATTCGACGAATCTACGCCTTACTTGATAATTGTTTGGCTTCAATTCTTACACGAGTTGAATTTTGTATGCACGTAAACCAAGATCCTTCCGCAAAATCTTCCATAAAGTGGATGCACACAGATCCAATTCCTGTGCTCGATGGCAGATGGACTCATTCGTGTCAGCAATAGCTTCTCCTGTGCGCACCGTACGGCATCTCTGGGGATGCCAGTTATCAATAAGAGTAAACGTGGTGCGAAAACGTTCCATGGTTAATCGAATTAACTGCTCTGATGGACGATTTTGTCGACGATAAAATGGACGTAGTGCGCGATACGTATTCCGCACAGAACCATTGTTTTCGAAATAAAATTGCACTATTTGCAAGCGATGTTCAGGCGTGAGTCTATTCATGATGAATTAATTACCAAACCAAACTGAAAATAAATCACTTGACAGCTGTTAAATCGGTCGCCATCTTGAACAGTAATGCCAACTTACAAAAAACACCAATTATAAAAGCAGGTACAGAGTAAAATGCGAGCCAGTTTTGATGTGATTGGCGAAACGTCAGCCAGTTCAGTTTATCAACAACTGACGCTGGAGAAATCCAGAAGATTTGTAACTAGTACCATCGTGTATAATTTTATGGTTTATTTTATTTTGTCGGTGGGAAAAAAAAATAAATAAACGAACCCTATTGACTAAATACTCTCCTTCGAGCCCTTTGTTCTTCAAAGACGGATCCTTCGTCACCACCGTAACATTGTCTTCAGCGCCATTACATATTTCAATGAAGCGCTGCCTGAAATTTTCCCTGAAGCAGATCTTTATAGGTCGATTTGCTTACTTCATTTCGTCGAGCAACTCATGCCGTACGTTATCCTTCACAAGAATGTAACCGTTTTCACGGTAAAATTCCATTTCCTTTCCCATTGTGAATTCGTAGTGGACTTCAATCTAACACAACCCAATAATGGGAAACGCTAGTACGTGGAGCTTGCTTACTTTCATATAAATGAGACCAATGTAACGACAAGGAACCCATTAATGTTTACATTTAATTGATGTTTACTTCGATGCTGAACAAGGACGCGAGATAATAATATAAATAAACTGGACGCTTGAGCGTAACTGCATCTGAATGCACCGATCGTATGGGTTCATTTTAAAAAGAAAACTTCTTAACCTTTGAGATACAGGGTGGAAAAGTTTTCAAAAATAAAAATATATATTTTTTAATATCTGTAAAACCACTTTAGATATTTTCATGAAATTTGACACACATGACAGCATTATTTATTGTACCACAATGTATTTAAAATACACCAGTGGCGGCCGTACGGAATTTCACCCCTTCTCTGCACGGTAATTAATAACAATATCGTCAATATGCACCATGCAGACAAATTAGTTTTTATTTTTAAGTGAAAATCTACTCATAAATGATACAAATGTCATTTTTTTAAAGGAAATCAGTGGCGTGCCACTGACTGTCTATGAACAAATAATATTTTGCTTTAGGAAGTGGCAACTGCACTGGTTACATCGAGAACTTTTTTTTGTGAACAATAAAATATGTATCTAAAACAATATATCTAGTTTTTGGATCAAGTCTGTTCATAGATATAAGAAAGTGACTAAAAGATACGAATTACGGAAAGATCCGGGCAAGCTGTAAGAATGAAATATGGCCGAACATGTCCGTACTTTGCTTAGAATTTAATTATTTGGGGTTTTGTTAGGAAAGATACTAAACGATATTTATTTATTTTTGTATGTATTTATGTTTAAATCTAAAATAAAATTACAAATTATTTTTATTACCTACTTAAATTACTTAAAATTATTCGCATTCAGATTATCACTATCACTACCGCTATCATCGCCTGTTCTAATTATTAGTTGTTCTATATTATATGTTAGTGAATAGTGAATTTTATGCCGATATTTTTATATCGAGATTGAACAGAATAACTCTATTAATTTTTTAGACTTAACTATTACGAAAACCCAAAACAAATTAGATTTTTCCATTTACAATGAACTTTCACACACGGTCACAGATGAGTTGACTCTAACATTGGAACAGCAAAAAAAAAAATTAATGATTTTTAACAAAAAATAGAAAAATCTCCACATGCTTTAATTTATCAAATATAACAAATGGAAATGTTATACTGATTTTGAATATGGCGTGGTGCACTTGTTAATACTTGAAAGCTTAAACCAATACCACAGTTCCATTAATCAGTTGACCATCGCTCTTACAAAGTTATAAAGACTGAATCCCCTTTGTATTAAAATGTCTGTTTCCCAAATTTGAACCATTGCACACAACTTATCACTTTTGGCCTGACGTGTAAAACTGGATCATGATCAGGGAAAACGTGGGCTTATAACCACTCTTCTAACTCGTCAATTATTTTTTCCAGATCTTGACTTATTTGCTCTGAACTTTGAGGCATTTAAACTGCACGTAACACGGTATCCTAATCAATGCATTGCCCAAAAAATGTAATTTATTCCTTGATTTGGTTTTGCTTGTAAGGAATAATTTAAACTTATTCTTTTTGTGCTTGTGCTTTTAATGCTGTAGTTTTTATACCACAAATATCAAGGTAACAGACGTCTCTTAACTTTGGCTATGAAATGTTAGGTGTTTCATTCTTAGTTGTTCTCTTAGTCTTACGCAATTTTACAAAATTTAAGAAGTTTGTCCTTGAACAGATCAAAATTGTTTCTGTTTAAAATAAATATATATTAAAGATGTGGTTTCCTTAAGATCCTCGTTTTTCCAAAAATTCACGTTTATAATGCATTGGCGTGAACAGTTTATAAATATGTTGCACATGAAATTAAAGTTATTAAGTATGAATTTCATATTTATTTAATATTTCAAATGGCTCCTCTCAGTATATTCCACCTTCCACGGTTACCGTAGCAACCATTCTATCCTAAATGTCAATTGTTATCACAACAAAGATTACCATAGCAACCATTCTAGTCTAAATGTCAATTGTCATCACAACAATGGTTACCATAGCAACCATTCTAGTTTAATGTAAATTGTCATCACAACAATGACAATTATATGGACGGTTATGTGGCCCCTTTTAGTTGGACGTCTATGGTTTCAAACGTTCACAGCACATGTTTTCGTTAGATCGTTAGATTTTTTAATGTCTATTATAGTCGGGCCATTAAACACAAAATAAAACCACACAAAGATCATTCTCTATTTTTATCCTTTATTTTATTAATCAATAAGCTTAAAATTCTCCATTTTTAATTACAAAAGCATTTTCCATTTTCTATGTATTTTTCTTTACAAAATTTACATAAAATTTCCTATCCTACGTAATACTTTCATCAATTTTACAAACGTTTAAAGAGTATTATTATTACTTTTGTCTTCATCCACAAAATTCGGAATTTTATAAAATTACTGTAGGCACGTCAAAGGCACTATTGCAAAATTCTGTTATCTGTAAGTACTGAAATTAAGATATTAAACATTTCTAAAAGCGCCCCATTAAATTGCAATTTAAAATACAAAAATGTAATTACTTTTAAAAATATTTAATACGTTTACAATGTATTTCTAACTGTCAAGTACATATTTACATATTTACAATGTTTATAAATGCTTTGCGTTTAAACCTATTACAAACTAAAAACATTAAATTAAATTACAGTGACAAGCTATAAAATAAAGATTAAACCTTAAATTAAGAACTATCCAGATTCCCGTTTTTCGTCGAAAATATAAAATCGGCTTTTCGAAAAACCCGCCGAATCTGAGGCGAATCGAAATAACTGGCAGGGCAAATAAATAATTTTCCGGTTAAGTTGCATTTTGATTCGTACCAATTATTTCAACATTAAAATCGATTAAAGAAAACTACTTTATATTTTAAAAAGATACCAGGAACAATAATACAATAAATACAAAAAAAAATATAAAAATCAAAACAAAAAATATATGTACACGTTTTCAAGCTGAAGGACAGGCACTAAATTTAAATAATGCATCTTTTCTTTTTTAATTCTAACAATTATTATAAAAACAAAAAATTTAAAATATTAAATAATATCACACTGTTAAATAACACTTATTCACCAGGTGTTTTTCATCACGAGATCAATTCTGCGCATCATTCGATTTTTTTTATTACGATGATAATTGATTTTCGTTAGTTACTCAATGACACGTTCCTAGTGATAAAAATGTGCATTTCCGGTTGTTTTGACGTTCCTCAATTTGCAACGATTGACGATAAATGTAAATCAAACAATTGCAGATTAAAAAAAAATATTCCGAATTTGAAAATTTTTATTTAAAATGATCTTTTGAAATGTTTTGGTTAGTTAGTTTGTGTTAGCTCTTATAACATTTGCTACTATTTTTCCCAATATATAAGGGATTTTCTAGAAAATTACAAAACCATTCTTATCTTATATATTCTCCATTAAGATGATGAAAAAGATTATTTTATAATAATTAAATTGGAGACATCAATAAAACTTGAACAAAATTTATATTTAAATTTGCTATTTCAACCAATAAAACTGTAAAAATAAAATAATCACAGTTTAAAAAAAGATTATTCCAAATTTGAAGATTAAATTTAAATTCATTGAAAGCGATCGCTTGAAAAGTTTAAGTTAGTTAAAAAAATGTGTTTGTTCTCGTAACGTTTTTCCCAATTTTGTCCAATATATAAGCACTCTTAATGTTTTAATAGAATAAGAAAAGATTATTTTAAAATAAATTGATTACAGTTTTCAAGTTTAAACAAAATACATATTTGAATTTTTTACTGATTAAAAAAAAGATTAAGGATTAAATTTATCTATTTTAAAATTTAAAATGATCTCTGTTAATTAGTTTAAAAAAAGAGTTTGCTGATAACATTTTCCCCAATAAATAAAGGACGACGAATACATATTCCATAAAATTTTAAAACCATTTTTATCTCTTATTTATTCGCCATCAAGGTGATGGAAAAAGTGTTTTAATAGAAGAAGAAAAGATTATTTTTAAATTATAAATTGGAATTGGAATTTGAATTTGTTCAATGTAATATGGGAATACAATATAAAGAAAACTTGAACAAAATATATATAACTAACCAAAACTAACCAATAAAACTCTAAAAAGTAAATCAAACAAAATCAAATAATTACAAAGTAAAAAAAGATTATTCGAAATTTGAAGATTAATTTTATTTTATTTGAAACGATCATTTGAAAAGTTTTAGTTAGTTAATTTTCACCATTTTGCCCAATAAATAAGGGAAGACGAATACATTTTCCAAACATTATAAAACCATTATCATCCCTTATTTATTCACCAGTGAGATAATGGAAAAAATGTTTTAATAGAATAGGGAAGGATTATTTTAAAATATTAAAAATTTGACCCGACGGTCTGTTAGGTGTATCATCAATCAGCATATTGAGCGACGTCAAACATCCGATTCTCATAATTGCAATCAACCTTTTATTCTTATAGACATAAACTTTTAGCTAGAAACCGAAGGTAGCGTTCCTAACTAACCGTTTACCTCTAGCACTACGGCTAAAAATAAAGTTTCAAGGTTATCTCTTTTATAATTTTGTTCAGTACTGATGTGTTATATTGCTCCTATTTTTTTTTTTAATCCCTTGTGAGTTTATGTAGTGTCGACCGATCTAAAGTCCTCGCAGTTTCCGACAACAGTGAAACATACAGGGTTAATAAAAAGTAACTGAACGCTTAAATATGTCGAAAACTGCCAAAGCTGGAACGATAAAATACCTGACAGCAGTGTTGCCAGATTTATCGCTTTTCCGTTACACGTTATAATTTTTAATATATATATTTTTTTTATTAATTATAGTAAGTATCATAAGATTAAGATGACTTTTGCTCTGGCAGAGACCCAACAGATGGATATTTTGATTTTTCTTGGTTACGGAAATTCAACTGCACCAAAGATCACTCTATAACGTTTTCAAAAATAAAAAATTTAGTTTCACAGATAACGACTTTGCAAATATTTGATGCAAATTACCTTTAGAAATTCAGACTGATGCTAGTCAAAATGAGATAGGCAGTGGTCTGTTACAAGGCATTTTGTTCTAGAAGTATGACTGAGCTGAGTGTGGTTAGCCTCAAATTTGATTAAGAAATCTCTATCACTTTGCGTTTGGTAGGCACGTAGGTAGTAGCAAGACATAATAAAGATATTTATACGATTACAGCTGCACTTGGAAGGTTGAAACTTAAAATGTTGAAGTATAATTTTTCTGTGGAGTATCTCCCGGGAAAATATATTACCGATCTTTTATCTAGGTCATTTATAAAATCTAACTCCAAAAAAAAACCAGAACTAGACTTATCGATTCCTGATGAAGAAAAAGGACGGTTTTTGTATCAAGTTATAAAATATTGCGATTTTGGTTGGCCTGATAATGTTAAGTCTATTCTGAGTACAGAAATTCGATCTTTCTTGAAATTAAAACCTAATTTATTAGTAGTTTTAACGGCCCTTGGATTAAAAATCTTAACTAAATTACATGTAGGCTAGAAAGTTATTTTAATGGCCAGGATTATCTAAACATGTTCACGATTTCGTATCAAAACCATTAATACAAAAGTTAATACAAAATGAATCGTCAGATTTTCAGTTTCTTAAAATCACGGCTGATATTTTAACTTAGGCTTGAGACAATTCCTCTTAAAAGTAATTTTTTCTACATATCTGAGATTGTTTCCGATAACATGCCTTTTGGTAGTAAAGAATTGAAAGAATTCACAAAAAGTTGGAATTTAAACTCGGCCCTCGATATCACAAGTCAAATGGACTTGCCTAGAAATCTGTTGCTATAAGTAAGTAAAGAAATGTAAAGAATCTGGTAATGATTTGCATGAAGCTTCACTTAAAGGACTTTTACCACCTGAACTTTTAAACAATCGATCAAAGTTACCTGTTTCTAAAACACTTTTAACAGATTTACCCTATATTGACCAAGTTCTGTACTATTGAGATTTTGCTTTTTCCTGATGATGTTAAGTCTATTTTGAAACCGGAAATTCGATCTTTCTTTAAATTAAAAGATAACCTATTTGTTCATCAACATTTATTGTTTATTGATTATCGGTTGACTTACGCTGATAAAGATTATCTTTCAATTAAGTAATTGACTTAAGATCATTCCTCAGCAAAACCACCCCACAAATAATAACACATGGTATACCTTCTGAGGTTAGTTCACGAGTCCTCGATATTCCAAGTCAAATGGACATCATGGAAAACCTGTTGCTATAGGTAAAAATATTCTAAAGGAATGTAAAGAATTTGGTAATGATCTGGGATTTTCGCCATCTGAGCTTTTAAACAATCAATTGTTAAGATCAACTTTACCTGTTTCTAAAAAACTTTTAACAGATTTACCCTATATTGACCAAGAAAACATGAAGAAAAACATAGTTATCATTTTTAAAACGTAAAACGTAATAAATCTGTGCATCTCAAAATCTGGGAGGTTTTTGAACAAGGGAAACTTTAGAACTGTGATCAAAATTCCAAATATCTGCATCATTCCAGTTTTGGCAGCTTTCGAGATGTTCAAGGGTTCCGGTACTTTTTACTAACCCTGTATGAATAATATATAAACCCATAACGGTTTCTTCTACTCTCCTACAACTAAATTGCACAAAATCAGAAAAAAAAAACATAAATAATTATACTGTCGTCGGAAGTGCGAGGTGGGCGTTCCCCGACCTAAACGAGAACGGTCAACACGTCCGCACTGGCACTGGTGTTGTGCATAGTTCTCTGTTTGTTGACGTTGATGATGCTCTTGCTAAAGTCCTTGTGGCCCGACGAGTCGTCGAAAGCCGCGGTGTTTTTCCGGACGTCCGGATTCTGAGCCTTGTAGAGCATGATCTGACTGCTTCGGTGGGCGGGGCTCAGACCGTCGCCCAGCGTCATGGTCTCGTGCAGTTTCAGGTTGTTCTCGGAACCGCTGGTGCCCGGCAAAACCAACATGGTTTTCCGGGAATTCGGACATTCGACCTCCGAAATCATCTCGAGCATTTCGCTGGACGTTTCCGCGGGGATGATGGACGATAGGGGGCGCACTACGCTGACGCGGGGCATGTCGAGAGCGCACGCGCTCGCCGCATTGATGCTACCCATGCTGCCGTCTTCTTTTAACGGGTTTGCGTATCTGAAAGGTAAAGTATACCCTACTGTAATTCGACATCCGTGAGGGTCGACACACGAACGGGGTGGACGTTTCAGTTAAAGGAATTGCACACGACTCTACGAAAGAATTTTCGTCCTTTGTCCTAAAGGTGTCGAGAACTTTCTTCTCAAAGGCTTCCATAAATATATTCGCGATGACTGGTGATAGTGGAGAATCCATAGCTGTTCCCGACGTTTGTTCAAAAATTTAACCGTTATAAGAAAAATATGATAAATATAAGATATATATGAGTATGGGTCTGTGATGCACCGTTTCAAACTTATTAGCGATCATTATAGAATTCAAGTTATGTTCAAACCCATCATTGTTGGGTTGCTTAATAACTTTTCGCAACATTTTTCTTAATTTTCTTAAATGAGACACTCTCCATATTATGTTTGTAAAAACCGTTTCCATATAAAATTCCCCGTTATTTTCGACAATAACCTAGCTTTTTCACCCCATTTTGTCCCAGCGATACGTTAATGCACCACCTATTCTATGATTTTTTTTTGTCGCATCCAGGAAACATTTTTGCACATCCATTTGAAAATTTTATTATTCTCACTACTAAAGGACATAAAACCGTAAAAATCGCTAATTTATGTGTAAAGGAAAGATCTTATAGGTGACTTCAAAAGTTTACAAAACCGGTGCATTGTATCATATTTTGAAGTAAATCCAAAATAGAAAAAAAAAATTTTGGATTTGTATTTCCAAAACATCGCAGAAAACATACATTAGAAATACTATATTGAGTATGCTTTATTTTTTGAAAATATTTACTGGTGCGTCAATGCACAACTGATTTTATCTGTGAAACAAAACTTTGTTATTTGCAAGTCCAGACAAGTCAGCGGATGTAGAATAAACATCCAACAATTAGCGTGTTCTTGAGTATTAGTTTGTGCCTTGTGCAGTAAACGTTACAGTTCGTAAAATATGGCATTTCCGAGGTATTTGACTCAAAAGGAATTAGAGGCGGCTATGGAGGAGAACGTGATGGATGAGGACAATAAAAGTGAAAGTCGTTAGTATTATTTGGATTTACGTATTCTTATGTATTGCAGCATTCCATTCCTTGTAAATTTATGCTAAAAATAACGTGAAATAATATTTACAAAACATATTGACGCCGTCTATATTCCACCCGACGTGGATACCTTGACTGACGAAGAAGATATGAACGATAACATAAATCTACGAGAGTTTGAGGAACCAACTGATGTAGTTGGAACTTTCGAGTCTGTCAGCTGTCCTTCAACAGTCCTGTAATTCATCAACTACTGAACCTGAATGGGGCTCAACCCTGGAATTCAAAAGAAGACGTATGCTTTCTGCAAACGACAGACTTGCTTCTACTGTCAAATGGAAGAGAGGTCAGATTGAGTACACTGACACACGTATATCCGATGAATTTAGATCATGCGAGGAACTAAAAAATAGCCTTCCTGGAAAAACTCCGCTCGAAATATTTTTTATGTTTTTTGATGACGAAGTGATTGATTTGATTTTAAATCTTACATTGCTTTGCGACTTTCAAACACTTTCGAAAACTGATAAAACAAAGAAATCTTGCACCTTATATAGATGAAGTGCGTTATGATAATCAAGGTCACCTCATGATTGTTCACGCTAATAAACCCCGAAGAAGATGCAGAATCTGCCACAGCCACACAATTTACGTTTGTAATAAGTGTAATGTGCATTTGCATACTTCATGCTTTGTGAAATATCACCAAAAATGAAACCGGGTGTTACCAGAGGTGCACTCACGCAACATAAAATATTATGCGTTATTTTGTATCAAATCAGGTTCTATTTGGAAAACAATCTACTTTTAGTTATTTCCTGTATTTCCTTCTTTTGTAAATTTATGTATAATTTATATGTTACATCTTTTGGGCCCCAAAACATTATGTAATGATTCGTTTACGCACCAGTATTTTTTTTGTATGTTTCGAGTTTTTGTGTTTTTTTTTGACACATGTAATGTATTCTTAAGTGCAACAAAATAAATAATTTCAGAGCCAAAAAGTATTTTTTTATTTTTTTTATACTTGGGATAATATTTTTTGAAAAAAAATATATACTTATAAAAAAATTAGGAAGGTGAAAGCAAATGTTTGAAAACTTTCTTAAGTTGATTTACTATTTTTGAAGCACTATCCATACAAATTATAGGGATGTTAATTAGTGACGGAACATTTTCTATGGGTGTAAACCTAAATAAGTCTTAAGACTTAATTTCATAAGACATACTTATGCATATATTATATCTTAGGTACGTCGTTTATTCAGATTTGCGCACTAAACAAAGATCAAATGACGTCATTATACTTCTGTATACTTCTAAGCCCCCAAATGACAGTTTGAAGACAAAATTAATTACCTTCTGAGGTTTTCTTCGTTCTGCAAGTTGTTCGATTTTTCGTCCTCGTGATTTCTGTGACACGTGTCCGAGGAAGGCGACAAGTTCATGCCGCTCAGGCCGAGGCTCCTCCTCCTTTGACGTACGTATAGGAGACCAGCGAAACCGGCGGTGCATAGTCCGATTATTATAAAACAGACCAGCGCGATGACCAGCTTGTTGCTAGGTTGCTCTCCGGACACTAGAGCCGTCTCGACTTTGACCTCGACTATCGACGTCAAGGCGAGCAGGGACGTTTGTTTTCTCGAAATCGCTTCTCCCACCACTCGGATACCGTCCAGCACCCAATTGTTCCCGTACTATTGGAAACGATTAAATCACTCCGTTAGAAACGTAATAAAAAAATTACAAGGGGACGTTGTGTTTTGGTCGGACAACATTTAAAGTCAAAATATATCTGCTATATATAGAAAATGCCCAAGTTACTAAGTAGTTTCGATAGAAATTTTCTTTTTTTTTTCAAGTTTGGCTACGCCACTGGATTCGCAATTGGTCCAAACCCAAAACGAGTGAAAATTGTTTTTACAAAAAAACCTAAAAACCTTTAATAACACTGGCAACACAGCAAATACGAGGTAGGACATTAAAGCTACGTATATTAGAAGGATCGGATGTCTTATTCGGAGCTACTACCTTTTAAAAATATAGTAAAACTAGGCTGTAGTTGAACCGATTGTGCCACAAAGCTTAAACATTGCTTTTATCAAAATATAACCACGCCAATGGATACGACGTTATAAGATATGAAAGGAGAAGGAAATATTGTTTAAAGAAGGTACGCGCATAAAAAACAAAAAATTAATTTGTGTGTAACAGTGATGTACTGTTTTTGCCGCGTTGCCAGTTTTTCGGTTTGTCTTAAATCTACGTAAAACTACGTTTTAACGATTTTTTTTTCAAAATATTATAAGTGTGCTCATAATGAATTACGAAAAACTTATACGCCTTTTCTAAATGTCTAATTCTTGTTAGGAAACCGTTGCGGTAACAGGAAAAAGATACAAATATACCCGCGAATTATTTTTATTTTTCTACTTGCCTGATTCTAAATAGACATAGACAACGTTGCCACATTTGCTTTTTTTCCCGACGCTACCAAACTTTATTATTTTAAATATTTTTTATTCAATTCAAATTCAACAATTTTTACAGAGATAACAAAAAACTAAAATAATTAGTGATTTAATCAATTACTGATAATTTTAATCAATTGGTATACTTAAAGAACAATAAATACTATTTAAAAACACCGAAAAAGGTACTTATTTTAATAAACGCTCAAACTGACGTCCTAAAGTCGTTGAGTTTGGTTTTGTACGCTTGAGTTCTGCGGGGATTTAAATCTGGTGAACGAGACGGCCATTCGATAGCGACTCCTTCTTCGTCGCCACTTTTGACTTTTGGATATAGCAAAGATAATTAGGGGATAACTGGGATCCTTAAATAAATATATCAATTTTCACCTACAGTTAGCAGAAAATTTCGATTTTCATTAAATAAACGGAACGTTTTTATGAGTTTTAGTCTTTAT